ATGCAGGATGGACTGTCAATAACTGTGGCCACTCAGAAGATGCAGGAGTCTTTTGTTTACCACATTTAACTGAAGCCCCTGACATATTTGAAGGTAAGTCATATTTTTTTCTGGTCACTTTTGAAGAGTATTTCAAAAACAATCATGAAGCGAAACCTATGTCCAGTTGAATCTTTGGTACAAAAGTATTTGCATCCTTTGTCTTACATCTTGCATCTCCCTTCTCCGATCTTGCATCTCGCCACCTCTTGTATCTCACATCATGCATCTCAAGACATGGTGTCTCGAGGTCCTCCCCCCCCCAAAAAAAATTTGGTTTTAAATATTGAGACAAGTGTTTGTGTCCATTCGATTTCCCTTCCTGAAGTAATTAAAATCTAACTGTAGCCTCAGCTCTCAGAAGGGGTATGAAAGGTTTTATGAATAATTAAACAAAATGTTTTGCTTCTTTCTGCCATGCTGTTTTGATAACATACCCCAGAAAATCTTAGATGCATGATGGGAGATGTGGAGTTGCAGAAAATAGCGGGTGGAGGTAGTTAAAATGTGCCCGTTTGTCTCATAAATGCGCCCCTAAATTATAAAGAAAGGCGCAAATACTAACGCCTGCTTGTTTCTATACTTGCCATGAAAAATACCTAAACTTTTTTTTTAGAGTTGAAGCAGTAACCAGAATAATGATTGTGCCCGTAATCTGGTTTTCACCATCAGAGGGTAGTGTTCGATTGGCTGGTAGCACATTGTCATCTGAAGGCCGGGTTGAAATCTATCACAACGGCGCGTGGGGGACAGTTTGTGATGATGGCTGGGACCTTGCAGATGGTAACGTTGTCTGTCGTCAGCTCGGCTTTAGTTCAGCTTCATCTGTGAGGTCGTTTGGTCGAGGAAGTGGGCCAATATTTCTAGATCAGGTGTCCTGCTCAGCTGATGACCAAACCCTGGCAGAGTGTGATCACCAAGGTTTCGGAAGTCATAACTGTGACCATGTTGAGGACGCAGGTGTTGTCTGTGAGATAGCCTTTGTTGGGGGTAAGCTTTCGACATAATACTCTTAAGTCCTCAAAATATACTGACCAAATATATGATGGATTGCTGGTTGTTACACTTGAATTGTTCAGTTGGTGGAGTTTATACCTCATTTTACCTGGAATTGTGTCGTTTGCAGATGGAAGCGTGCGACTGCAAGGTAGTAGCTCTGCCCACCAGGGCCGTGTGGAGATCTTCCACAGTGGTGTGTGGGGCACAGTCTGTGATGACTCATGGGATATCAACGAGGCCATGGTAGTCTGTCAGCAGCTGGGTTACCTATCTGCTGAGGCAGCACTGAACTCGCAAGAGGCCGGCTTTGGAATGGGCGAGGGACAGATACTTCTGGACGAGGTGGAGTGCTCTGGTGAAGAGAACACCTTGTATGAGTGTAGCCACAAAGAGGACCACAACTGTGAACACTCAGAAGACGCTGCTGTCATATGCACAGTACTTACCACTGCGCCAATGGTTACCACCACATTACGCAGCACCACATCACGCAGCATTACTGCAGGTAAGAAAGGGAAAATCTTACCGGTATATAATGCATCAAATGCAAGCACTTTCTGCAGACACTTCATAACTTTGCACTTTCAGAAAGTTTCACTTTGTAAAAACAAACACGTACTGAATGCTTTCATGCATTACTCTGTTACATTTCATAAAAGGCGAGCAGTTTAGGCCAATCAATTTTGTGCAGAAGGAGGGTACTCAAATACCAACAAAAGACCCATTGGTTTCTCCATTTGATCAGCCAGGCTCATCTCAATTGGATGTTGATCCAGGTTTTGGCACACTCCATCCCACATTGATTGTGATGAAACAGCCACCTTTTCACAGCAAACACTTCTCCTGACCACCAGATTGTCATTATTTGTAGTGAAGTACAAGGTGTTTTTCAAACTTAGGATTATCACCACTTTTGAGAGTGAAAAATGCCGGTAATGCCCAGCAGCCTGGTCTTTTGTTCGGACTTCGGTCTTTTGTTACCGGGCCCTGTTTCCTTTGTCCGATTTCGGAGTCCCCGGCAGGTAGTGGTTAATAGGTGCTGGCTGAAAAAGATCACAGGAAAGAGGGTTTGGAAATCTGATGTCACAGCAAAGCCTTCCGTATTCCGTGTGGCTGAATTGCTAACCGTAACAATCTGCTGTATTGATGCGAAAGGCGGACAGATTTTATGGTCATTCTCCAACCATAAAAGGTCAAAGTGATATTAGAACAAAAAACAGTCCTAAGAAAAATGCTGATTTTGTAAGCCAAATACTAATTATCTGCTTTCTGAACACTGGAAGAATTCTGAAAAGTTTGGCAGCTCTGCGGTAATCCCATTTTCATCTCCAGTTGACATCCTGGACTTGTCCATTTTTTGTCCTATAGAGGAACATACAAAACTAAGCCAAGGAGGGAAGGTATTTACAGCCCGTACACACTCTAATGAAAGATACTTGTAGATTGGCCTTCAGGATGGAAAGGACATTACATGAGAAAAGAATGTTTAAGTTCACTTGTTGAAAGGAGGTCATCTACGGATGACCCCTCACCGAGTGGATACAAGCTTTGTCCAAGTACGGCGTCTCTGTTTATGCCTTTCATTGTTTGACAGATTTGCCTGTGGAGGATAGTGCCTTGCGTCTGGCTGGAGGGACATTACCCTCAAACGGGCGCCTGGAGGTTTACTACCAGGGCCAGTGGGGCACCGTCTGCGACGACAAGTGGGGTCTCCGGAATGCTCAAGTGGTTTGCCGTCAGCTGGGCTATGGCTCAGCTGATCCAGTCCTCTACCAGTCCAAGTACCGCGGGGGGAAGGGCCCCATCCTGTTGGATGAGGTGAACTGCACTGGTGCTGAGTTGTCTCTTGTGAGTTGCCCAAGTAGCCACTGGAAACAGCATGACTGTACCCATGCTGAGGATGTTGGGGTGGTGTGCCAGAGACCAGGTAAATTAATTCATGATTTCATTGCATATAATTTAATCCAATGTTGTGCATTTGATCGAGTTGAACAGGCCAATCTGATAAAACCCATCAAAAAAGCACTCCCCTCCCCCCAAGAAACTAATAAATAAATAAAATGAAACAGGAAAATCGAAAATGAAACAGCTTCCATCGGGCATAGAATATTTTGTACACTTGGTTAATACCTCAGTTTAACCAGTTGTGGAACTGTGTTGTGATAGTTTCATTTGGTACAATTTTTGAATAAAGGATGTGCGAGGACATGTATGTTCAAAGAATGCATTGTTTTTACATACCTTTCCCATTTAAAAGTGAAAGATCCAAGTATTCTATAAAACTGCAGTATAAAATGAAAATGTGTTTGTTTAAATTTGAACTGATAGGTTCGGTGCGCCTCGTCAGCACTGGCGATTTACCCAACACACTGGGACTACTTGAGATGTTTGTGGATGGGGCATGGCTTCCAGTTTGTCGGCAGGGATGGGAGATGACCGTTGCCGATTCAGTGTGCCGACAGCTTGGATTCAACTCTGCCACAAACACTGATGTCAGCAGGGTGGATGGCATTGAACAAGGGAATAGTGTGGTTCAAAGGGTTGGTACTTTGTTTATTGTATTTCCTTGTCTTGTCTTCTTGTGTCTCTGTTGTTTGTGTTCACATTTTGATTATTATTCTGTCTTATTTTAGTGTATTTAGATTTGAGAGGGCCTTGTTTTGTTCACAATAGAGTCTTCCTTTCACACAAATAAGACAAATTTCACAAACTTCCATTATACAGTTTGAGGAAATCGTGTTATATTGTTAATTCGTGGAATCTTCTATTAGTTTTTATCTGTTAGACAATTTGGAGTTGAATGCACCTCTGAGCTTGAAATCTTCATTTAGGTATTGGGTAGTGAGATGGGAATTTAGAAACTTAGTAAGTTTTCAAAAGTCAGCTCCGTCATCTTCCCTCTATTTGTACCCAAATTCACACCCAGAGAGCAGAGTTGTAATTGAGTCAGTCCTAAGTCAACACAAATAAGCGAGTCTTTAGTCAACTCACAAGCTCTTGTATTGAACGATGATGTAGGCATTCCCCTGTCATTGTTCATCTCTTTAGTTCTGACCTGATTTGTGAATTGACTATATTGACTGGCTTGAGATTGGCTTGTGACTGACTCTATTCTAACTGTGCTAGATGAGCCTCCATAGTCTGCCACACTCTACTAGCTATTTTCTGTGCATTCGTGCCTCATTTGAAGTTCCTTCTAGACTGAAGTTTTGCCCATTTACTCTTTCCACTCTAGATCTCCTGCACTGACTCTAAGGCTCAACTGAAGGACTGCAGAGTGGATGTGACAAAGGGACACAGTTGCCAGGACGCTGGCGCAGATGGCAATGTATTTGTGGAATGCCTCAGACACAAAACAGGTGAGAGGAATCTGAAATGAGGAGTGCTAAGGGTGGGTAAATAGCTTGTAAGTCCGTGTACATTTCATCACTTTCACTTTCAAAAGGAAAAAAGGGGAAATCCTACAAGTCAATTCTTGTGTACAATATGAAAACAATAAATGTGGACCATGAAATGCATGTTCCAAAAATTTTGCATGTTCAAAAAATGAAAGTGATTTCTTTTAGATTTCATTTAAACCAAATCTCACTCTACAGCACATGTAGTCTGAGGTTGAATTAATTCCTAACAAATCTATAATAGTATATGGGTGGTAGCCGTTGCCTCATTAGATAAAGTATGACGTCGTGTCTGGATGTAAATCATATTTTTTTCTAGGTGCAGCATGCACAAACTATGTCTGTTATTTTTTTAACTGCCAACATAATTACAGTTGTGTAAAAGTTGACAGCAATATGCAAGAAAAACCCAAACCAAGCCAAACAAAAACAAATTGAGGAACTGTTGAAGAACTGTAATGCATGTGGGGAAATATTCAAAGAGAACAATTTTAAATATTTGTGGATATTATCGACAGTGCACTTCTTGGGAAGGAAGTTGCTTTGTAGAATATAATTTCTGTGTTTGTTGCTCCTTTGTTTTCTTTGTTGGCAACAAAAATATTTTTAATCCTCTATTCCAGCCATGCTTAATTCATGTAACTTGTTGGGCTACAGACTTACTAGGAGACATACATGTATATCTTAATATTTTGAATAAAAAAGTGCATCTATGTTTTGTTGTTTTGATAGATTACATTTCATATGTTTTCACGTTTACAATGAAAAAATTGATGGTCATTTTTGTTGTGAAAATGAAAAATAGATTTTTTTTTCGTTTTGAAATAGTAGAAAAATGTAAAAAGAAAAGGCCTTATTGTCCAATTTGCTTTTTCACTTTCAAATAAAAGCTAAAAACAATTTGTTTTTGTGTCTGGTTTTCTGTTTTGAAATCAAAAAATGAACGAACAAATGTACACAGACCATCAGGGCCTTTTTTAGTTCATACAGATTTGGTGCATCAATACCGTATCTGCCTTGGATCACATTGCAATGAATCATACTTGTGGGTTGGGAAGGTGAAATCAAGGCTGTTGAAGTATGCATCAAATGAGTTTTTGTGAACGGATTTCCCCATAATTCATTCGGAACGTTTTTCCGTGGTTAAAATAGCATGATTGAATTACTTTTCCTGGAAATTAGACATATCTTATAAAATAGCCTTCCTGCTGAAAACATCAGAAGCAGATGACTTTGCCTGGGAAAAATATCCAGCCATTTGGCTTTTTATGAGTTTTCTTTGTCCTGGCAGGTATATGATTAAACTAATGTGCCCCAAGAGCTGTCCTAGGAGGGGGAAAGTCCATCTTTTTGGTAGTTGTTGAAGAGGGTTTTTTATTTGCTCTGCACAAAATTTTGCAAAGCAGTTGTAATTTGCTTAGCAGCTGCATGGAATTGGCTCCAACACTATCGTGTATAGTCAGTGGGCTCCTTGAGTGGACACAAACATTTTTAAATAGTAACTAAATCCCTGTGTATGAGGATCGACACACATCACATGCAAGCACAGGTTCGTGCATGTTTTGTATGGGCTGCACTGAGTATGTGTGACCAAGTTCTGTTGGAATGTATGGTGCTCCAGTGGGAGCTAGTTGTCCCCAATACTGTTTGCCAGTGAGGAGGTGCCTGCTTACACGTACATGCACAGGTACCATAAAGAGATACACAGGTACTACACAGAGGTACTACACAAAAGCAAGTAGATTTACCAACTTATGCAAGTACTTACACGGGTACCACACCACACTGAGATACAAAGGCTCAAGTAGTGCCAGCTAATATACAAGCACTACACAGAGGTACCAGCTTGTATACACGGTTACTAACTCAAGTGGGCATTTCACATTGGTGTACATGTATATACACGTACCACACAGAGCTACTGGATATTTGCACTGATTGAACATGTATTTTAACTCACCTGTTGTTTCTAATTGTTGCAAGATGGTGATGTCAGGCTGTCTGGCAGTGAGCCATCATTCAAGGGAGAAGTACAGATCCGTCTAGAGGGAGTATGGGGTGCCGTCTGTGACACAGACTGGCAACTGAGCGATGGCGAGGTCGTCTGCAATCAGCTGGGCTATTACGGGGCCAAATCAGTGTACCAGAGCAAAATTCCACACGGTAAACATTTTAGGCAGTCATTGGCAACAATTTTAGGACATCTTAAGCTTGAGGGGCACAGCGAGAAGCTGATTTTCCAAGAAATTCAACAAAAAATGTGACAGAAACTTTGAATCCAGACAGTGTGAAAGAAATTACAAGATTGCATTGACCAGTGGAACGTTACGTTTTGTCTATTTGATTGTGGTTTTCCCATTCTGGGGTTTTACAAAATCAGTTCCTGTCATAACATTACTTCCCTAATATAGACCTGCTTCTTATCAGTCTTGCTGTCCAACCTTGCTTCTCTATTCCACTATTTTTGGTTTTATTTCATAAATATGTATGATTATGTTCTCATTATTTGTGAAATCATATTGATATTATATTGGCAATTTTGGTAAAAGCATGCGATTGCTGGAATAAGCATATTGCATTTTTAAAATCAGATTTTGGAGATGAGAACGGTGACATACCCACATTGAGGCAGCCTGTGTGCTCTGGGGAGGAGGCCCGCCTGGTGTCCTGTAGGAACAGTGGGTGGAGTTGCTCTGACAAGTGCCAGAAGGGACGAGTTGGTGTTGAGTGTAACCAGCGACGGGGCAAGTCAGCATCAAACCCACAGCAGCCAGGTTTGTTGCTTGAGTCCATATATCTTTCAAGCTGGATGTTTGTCAATTTTTTTCCAGTCCTTCAGTAAATTTTAAGTTAATGAACGTTAAGCTGCACTCAGGCTTGCATATAACACTTTGTGCATGTCAGTATTCAAATTTATTTGCTGGCTCAAATAACATACACGTATTTTGATTAAATGGGAAAAAAAATGTTTTTACTGTCTTTTTTGTCGTTTATTTCTTGCAATCAATTGTTGTGATAGTTCACCACCATTTGTCTTGCATGGAACTACAATAATTTTAGGAACTTTTTGCAATGGATATACCAGCATAGATATTAGCAGTTACATGTTTACATTTTTGGTGCTTTGTGATGTATGGTAATTCTCGAGCCTTTAGACTTTTTTCAGTTTAGCTTTGACTGATTATAAAAGCACAAACCAAACCTCTGTTGTCCAAGCGGCCAACAAGCGACTGACTGTACAGTGGACATGTGTCTGCTGTGCATGACAGCTTCTTTGAGCAAGCTGTTTTCTTTAACCCCTTCACGCCGGGACGTGTTAAGTTAAGACACGACGTTAAGACACGACGTTAAGACACGCCGTAAAAATTAAGATCCTCAGCCCGCTTTTCAGCTATTATTTTCGGCCCATGCTCAAGAGAACACGGTTAAAGAAGGCAGGGTAATTGGTCTTTGTGTGTAGCCCAGAAATGAAAAGAGCGAATTTGCATCAAAATCACCAGCTTCACAATAGTCCCCACTTTGAAAAGAGGCAACAGGAATGTGGAAGGGTGAGTAGAGTCGCATGCCACCGAACAATCAGCCTTTTCACCGTGTAATTTAAAGCGTGCAGAGCACGTTGGGCCACAAACTGAGAATTTGGAGTTTGGCAGGTGGCCTTCGTGGCCAAGCAAGGCTGGAATTCTCTGAGTCGGCTTTTGGAAAAAAAATTCCCGTCGAAAAGGGGTTAACCACTTCCTGCCGGGCGACCCGTTTTCGAGTACATAGGCTTTATATGCAGAGCCGGGGAGCCCAGAACTGGGACAAAAGAGTTGGGCCTTATAACAAAAGACCATGCTCAGCACAAACGACTGAGCTGCTGGGCATTACCAACATTTTTTCGCTCTCAATAGTGGAGATAATCCAGCCTTGTTTTGAAACAGTATACCACGGTTTGAGGCATTTAGAGCGAGTGTATTACCACCAGGGACAAAAGCTCTCCACTACCGCAGGAATGAGCCACTGCACGCTAATCTGGCCCCTATTGAAAAGAGGTCAGCAGTGCACTGTGCTGGTTTCGGGAACAAAAGAATCTTACGGAACACCTCACAATCTGGCCTTCTCTTTTCAAGGCTGCAGGCCTGGCTGAAATATTCAGGAGACAATAAATTTTACCTGTCAGCTTTTAGAGTAGTGCCCAAAGAAACCTTCATTTTGGTATAAACGGCCATTAAACGAAATGATGAGTTTTTGAAGAATTTTGAAAACGGAAAATCTTGAAAATGAGCCGGCATCTTGTCTTGCTCAAGAAAAATCCACCCAGCAGCAAGTGGTTAAACAGCTCAGTAACCTCTCTATGTGCTTCTATCCATCTCTTATTTGTTAGGTCTGGGAACTGTTCCCATTGCGGTTATCGCCGTGATAGCCTCCTTAGTCCTACTCATCATTGTCATCATCCTCATCGCTGCCGTCATCAGGAGGACCAAGGCGAAGAGGAGCCAAAGCCACCACATGGCCATCCCCATGCTTCCACCCTCGTTGCCTCCTCATCAAGACCCGTCAGTCACCGCTGATGGAGCAGACGGAAGTAATCATTACGCCTCCCTGGGTGGTGCCACGGCCAATCCCAGCACCGGGATGTGCAACCCGGTTTATGAAACCTCACTTAATTGGTCCCCACCTCTGAAGCCAGTTACGTTTGAGTTTCCCCCGGCTGAAGAAGATGGAGGTGACCTAAAGAAGGGGAAATAAGGACCACACCCTCATTGTCTGGTTGATATCATCCTCTTTTGTTTGTATAAATGAATTAATCTGAGGAGACACCATTACTGCAATGCCATCACCTACAGGCAGACATCCTCAAAGTTCAGTAAGCACACACTTTGTTAAGTTACAGCACCCTATTGGTTGAAGAATGCACTGGGTGTATACCACCTGCATGCAAACGCGGTGACACCACTTTAATAGCATCTAATTCACCTGAAATTAGTCTACAAAGCTACAGAGAGAATGTGAAATTTCAGTAGAATGCAGGAATAACACTGAGATAAAACTACAGACAGTTATTTTAGTATGATTAGCATTTTAGCATATTAGCATTTTTCTTTACAGCAATTATATTTAGAGTAAATTTAGTCCAAATATTTTCAAATAACTTTATTTTCAATTTCATTTGATATTCTATAAGGTTTTTTGGTACTTCAGTGTTTTTATACTCATGCAAGCATCCATGTTAATGAGCAAACTTGTGACATTTTTCCAAGAAGAAAAGCATTGTGCACTGACGTGTGCACAAAAACTGTTGTATTTTTACACTTGTGTTTTGCTGTCCCGAGTTTCCCTTTACTCATTGATTCATCTCTACATCGGAATAAGCTAGTGAGATCCCTTTCTCAGAAATGTTTTCAGTGAGGCAATTTGGTTCAATATTGAACAAACAGCCTGTAAAATGAGCAGTGTCTCCCCCAAGTGACATCACGGCAAAACAGTGCCCTCTGTCATCTAGAAAACTGACATCAGAAAAGTTTAACAATACTCTTTTTGAATACACCTGACCCCAGTGGGGCGCCTTGTAGTATCATGCTTTGGAGAAGAGTAAAAAGATGCTTAGGCAGTGTATCTCAGGAACATTCACTGCATGGGTACTTTTAAATAATTATTAGGTCTTATTCACACTTTGCTGAATGTGGATGATCACTTTTGTTTTGTTACAAGATAGTAACAAATATCTTTTGGTTACATAACAAGTAGAAGTCATAAAAGTCTCAAAATCGTTTATCTTTAGCATCTTGAGTAATCTAATGCAATATTTGGTTTTGAACTGTGAGAGAAATTTACTAATATCAATCTAAAAGCACAAGCAGTATATCTTTCTTATAATGTTAGTGTTGAATACTCAGTGATGCAAAAGTACTTATGAAAAATGTAAAGGCTTTCAAATGTGTATATATTGTTCCTCACTGGTATACAGTGACTGGATGTCATTTATGGTTTTATAACTAGCAATGGTTATAGCAGTGTATGCATTACACAGTTTGCTTCCACAGTATAATGTCTTAAAAGCCAGGTTTTGGACAAGTTTTTCTTATTAAATTACAATAAAATTGTGTTTTTTATCTTTAAATGGGGTACTTTGGATTGAAAGCATAGAATGGTTGAATCTCCCCACATTTGGTGTCTTTTGGTGAGTTCAGCCCCACCCCCAAGAAAGGGCAAGCAAGTTTAAAGACTAATCAAAGCCTGATTTATAAAGTCAATTTTTACTGGAAGAATGCCTTATGAGAGTCAATATAAACAAGCACATTGAAGTTCATGCAACGCTGTTTGCAGTTGTATACAAGTCTGCATTTATATCAGAGCTTGATGTCAACCCTTTTCTGAACTGAAGATTCGTGTTTAGGCTGCACCCTTGGCTACTCATCCGACTGATGTTATGGCACAAGAGAAATGAAGCCAAATTCAATTGAATACCGAAGTTCATAAACGTCATATGGAAATCAATATGTTTAGACCTTTCTTAGGTTTCAAAGATTGCGAGGCATCAAGATTTCAGTGTTCTCCCAGGAGTACTCTTGTACATTGACAACCAGAAGGAGTGGGCCATTGTGGCACAGATTTTCTCTGATAATTTTGACAGCACCCACAGCCTGGAAAGTCATTCAAAAATCATGCCTTGTTTTCATTTTCCAGGCCTGGAAAAGTCATGAAAGTTTTGATAAAGTGACCAAAGTCATGGAAAAGTCATGGAATTTGGCAAACACTGTGATTTTTGTTATCAGAAATAAGTTCATAAAATGTGTGATTATATTCACAACTTTTAAAGTCTGAAAAGCCCAAGAAATTGTGTTATTGGGTCATGGATTTTTATAATTTGGTCCTGGAAAAGTCATGGAATTTAATTGTCCTTTAGCTGCAGGAACCCTGATTTGAGATTAATTTGGGGATTTTTTTATCATTTGTGCTTTTCTGTGTGCAGTAGGAAAAGTATATGTATAAGCCTTAAAATCCCCTTCAGGGGCCACTTGGATTGAAAATTATCTTGAACAAATCCTGAACCATGCATTTTCTCAAAAACCTGACTTGTTCTGTATGCTAGGACTGGACATTTAGGTTACACTGTTACAATATAAAAAGAAACCATAAGATACTGTAAATTTTGAACTCCCAGATTTTTTTCAAGCCATTTCATTCAGCTTCTGCAAGAATGATGTAGTGCTGTTCATTAACTTTAGCTTTTTAAACCTGAGCATAAACTTGCAGTTATGTCATAGGTAATTAAAATTAATAAAGCTCCGCGAGCGCTATGTAATACAATCCTGTTGTGAGTGGATGATTTACTTAGTCTTTTGAAGTTTTGCCGGGATACATCTTGAATTTGATGTAACAAATCAATGAATTTTATAAAGGAGAATGTATGGCGGCGCTCGTGCACTAAGATTTATCAATCCAAGGGTATCCTGTCCTGATCGAGGCCAGCCCGAGCCCTTCCCGTGTGCCCGCATGGGAGTTCGATCTGAATTTGCTGAGATGTGTACATGATATACATGTACACCGCTGCATCGGCACCCCACGTACATGTACATGTAAATGCAGTACACGTACACGCGCAGTTCTATACGGAGGCCGTAACGTGCCACTAGAGAATCAGAAATTTTCTTCGATTGTATTTCTAAGTAATGATTTGTTGTTTTATATCGAAAAGGCACGTTTTATACGTCGCAGCCAAACACTCCTTTTTGCCAGTTTATTTATTTATTTATTTTGAAATACTTTTTGGGGGTCGTCTTGAGTTTTTTCTTTCTTTTCTCGATCTGCTCTCAATTGGTTATTTGATCGTGTGTAAGAACCCCTTCCTTCCTCCATGGTAAGAACTGAGAGTACGGTAAATGTGCCACAGAGTTCTGCGTATGTGTTCTTGGTTCCACCTGCATTTGTGCGTTTAGTTTCATACATGTTAAATCCGCAGCAATTCCCGCTTGGAAAGCATCAACCATTTCAAATCCGGCCCGTGGTCCACGTGTTGTCTGTCCGCGCTCGACGCCCTGCTGCAGAACCGTGACAGCGATCATTTGTCCGGTGTATAAGCTCCAGAACATATGCAGGGACAGGCCTACATAACGTACCAGGCTACTCGTGATTATTCAAGGTACCAAGGTGGCTGTGTGTAAAACTACGTGCACTCTAAGAATTACCCTCTTGTTGGACTTCGGCCAAGGTAAGTGACACCATCCCCTCCTTCCTCCATGGTCAGACTGTCTTTGAGGAAGGCAAAAGGTAATTTTCAATAATAAGGTCGTGCGTGCAGTACATGCATCATGTGACCGGGAGTGCCGCGTGATTTTCGTGGGGCCGGCAGCAGCGCTCGACGGTTTTACAGAGGCGACCGCAGTACGCTACGTCGCAGTCATTGCACGCTGCATGCAGATCGTGGACCTTGTGTGGCGGAACTTGCAATGCGTTACATGCACAGTACTCCACTCAGTATTACTGTACGTGTAGCGGGAATGAACGTGGCTACACTGGCAACAATGCAGCAACGTACGGAATGAGATCGAACGTGACGGTGAAATTCGATGATAAAAGCTTGAGATCGAGTCACAATTTATAGCATGTAGGGCTAGGACCTACGCAGCTTTCTCATGTATAGCCTTGATTCTATAATTTAATCTTAAATTGAAGGAACCAAAGAACGAAAATTCTGCCTTCATGCAACGCGCAAAGGAAACCCTTCACTGACAAACACATGCACCTAAGCCCATCATACTGTACAGTACATGTACATTGTGCATCGTGTACATGTACGTCGTACACGCACAGCACATGTACATGTACATTTAGCTGCATGTACTGTAGACGTAAATGTATTTGGTGCACATGTACAGCTGGTACTGTACAATTTTACATGTACTGTACATGCACATGGCATGTGGACACGGAAACCACATGCATGTACACAGATTGCGCAGAGATAAACGCAATTTTGGCTTGGGTGTACATATACATGTATGTACACGCACTACCGCCGCCATTTTTCGTAACGAAAGAGCGATTTTCTGACCGACTACATAATGAAGCTGCAAAGTAGGTTACTTTGTGGTTGGGGTACATGTTGGTGCGCAACGTGAAATGATACACATTTGGATAATGTGAGCCAATATGTTGAGTGAGCCGGGGGATTTCGGAAATTATATAAGACCTGAGTGATTTACTTGATCGAGCTAGGAAAGAAAGATGTTAAAAGTAAGACTTAGGAGCGCGGGATGAGATTTCTGGGGTGGTGCACCCGGGGCTAGGGGGGCAAACAATTTTTCAAGGTGGCACAGGGAGCAAATGAACTGGAGCCATACGGACCGAGAGTGTTGTAACATAGCTTTCAAAGGAGCGCGCCCCAGCCCTAGGGGAGCCTGGGGAGGCACAGGCGTTTGCCTAGAAATCATATCCCCTACCTTCTTGGTTACGTGCTACTGCTCGAAGCTGCACAAAAATTTAGGTGGCAAATGAATGGCGGCAATGAGTGGCGTCTCCCAGGCTCCCTTAGGTCCTGAGTACGCCCAATTGACAGCTAGCCTACAAACACTCTATGTAGCTCCAGTTCATGCAATCAAGACACAGATCGTTTGGGTGGTTTTTTTTCTTGGGGGGGGGGTTTGTTTGTTTATTTGTTTATTTATTTGTTAAATTTTTCTTATTTCTCCATATAGAACTGCACCAGCTAAAATTGTATCAAAAACAAGCAGAAACCAAGCGGTGCTTGCATGGGCTGTGCCAGGAGGAAGGAGCGGGACAGCTGCTCTGGGGTTATTACAAAGACCTCAGCACAGTGACGACCCACTCACAGTGGAAGGGTCAATTTCCAAGGTGTGTCTCGAAGCAGGCATTTTCGTGCACTTTGCCTCCCCTTAATTATAATATTTTGTTTCAACTTCAGGGAAACGCCTCGTCCCCCTCACGCAACGCCAGTGTGTGGTCGTTTGAACAATGTGGTCATACAATCGAGGCGTAGGCTACATCTTTTGAAAATGTGGGTCGTATAACTTCAAGAAAACTTCCCCATTATGGCACCCACGTGTTAAGACCGCAATCTCGCCTTTGCTTTAATTTCAATTTGGGGAAATTTTCTCGACAGGAAAAAAGATTATGTTGGTTTGCTTGTGTAAATCTTTAATAATGATTTGACTATGGGTATTTTTTTTTGTTAGGTTTTGGAAACATTCTTCATAAAATTACTAACTACTGCACATATATACAGGCCTTAAAACATGCTTGGAGGCCACGATATAAAGTTTAAACCTCCTTTCCTAAAGTTATTTTATTGAAAAATATTAATTTATCCCTTAAAAGATGTTGTTAAAGTTTTCCATATAGGCCTAACCATTTATGATTCTTGTTCGGAGTGAGGCTACTTTTTTTAGCATACATGCTTGGGACGGAAGGGAAAAGAAGTCGACCAAAAAATAACCTGTCCTTATTTAAAGACAAATATATTGGCACCTCTTTTTGGGGTATGCCCCCCCCCCATTCGCTCTGTTTGAGAAACGACGTTCATAAATACCTCAGACAGTCTTCCTATTCAACAACGTGCAACTTGACGTAGCGGGCTTTATCACTTTTCAGCGGGCATTGTTATACACATAATGTGTTTTATCACACACCTTATACTAGAAAAATATGCTTTTAGGGTTTCGACTGTTTTGATTCAACTTTCAGTAGTACATCAAAAATTTTCAAAAATTTGAAGGTTCGTTTTAGTTTTCACGTGACCGTATTTCAGCCAACCAGGATGAAGGATATTAGTGGTTCACTGGTATGGGCTATAATTTGGTGTCAGCGTGATTTGACACGCGCCTAGTACATTGCGTGCGTCAGGTACTAGTCTTGAAAATTTGTGATTGATTATTGCGCCCTCTGGGATTGGACAGTAAAATAAACTTGCAATATTTTTGTAATTATTGAAGTGTTATTGAAAATTGAATTAAAACATTTAACCCGAAAGAATATTTTTCCTAGTTTGAGGTGTGTTATAAAACACGTATGGACTGGTAATAAGGTCACTAGTCCACGTTTATGTCCTCAAGAGTCTAAGTGACCAGAATATGATCCCAAGTTTCCCCTGAGAAGTGATAATACCCGCTGCGTAAATCACGCGCTGGTACCTTGATGCGAGTCAGTTTAATTGATCCAGATCGGTCAAGCGTCTGTGTGCACGCGACTCTCCATTATGAGGAATTCTCATGGACAACTTGCACAAGCAATGTACATGTACCATCAAATAGACCGGGGTGTATGGGAAAATGGAAGTACAATTCAGCAAAATGGTTGGAAATCCATTATATTGACTTCTTTTTAATCTTTTGACTCTCTGGCTATGGTTGGCTGGTTGGCCGGTCGACTTAACAGAATGGACGCGACTAAATACCCGAGCCGCAGGCGAGCGCATTTGCCGTGTTCAGTCTCCTGGCTCAAGAGACTCATGAATGGTCTCGCTGCTCGCCTACGGCTTGGGCATTTAGTCGCATCCATTCTCCTGAGCCGGTTTTAAATGTGCGTTTAAGACTGGCCAGGAATATTCCCCTTATCATTATGTATTGCTTACTGTTATTTTCGAATTATCTCCTCTATTACCAGCTTCCTCGACGATCCTTGGCCTTAATTGATTTACCAGAAGTCAACATTCTCGTGCGGTTTAATATAGATCTCTCACCTACGTGCCGTTTACTTCAGACTCGAAGCATGCTGTGTGGAAAAGGCTTCACCTGCGCAAAACCGGCCTGTCAGCACTGCAACGTTCGGTTTAAGAATTCCGCTGATGTTACCAGACATGAAGCTACATGTCGCTTCAGGACACCCACGTTACCGGTTGCGAGTACACGTAGGAAGGCCAAGTACGAACACCCGACGAGATTGGAACGGAAACACGCTTGCAAAAATTGCGGCCAGACTTTCGCGAAGAAAAGAAATCTCCGGGAACACAAAAAAATGTCTTGCCCGGCCATTCTTACTTGCGCTTGCGGCCTAAAGCTGGAAAAGAGCTACATGGAGAAGCACAGATTACAGTGCGCCGTGCTCCAAGCGAAGCCACGACAGGCGAAGCAAAGCGTGCGTCCAGATGATGATGTTGTGATCGTCGGGGAGGAGTTTCCATGTAAAAAATGCAGTTGTTCTTACCGGTCAGCCAAGTTACTTCATGATCACGAAAGGGCTGTTCACCGTAGCAGCTCCCACTCCAAACCCCGTCCAAAAGGCGAAACCAAATCATCAGTGCCTACGCAAAAAGAGCGAAAGTCCGCATCAAGCATAGACCGCCGTAAATCTAAACTGTCCGGTCAAAAAAGTTGTAAATCCAAAACAAGGCCAGACCCTGTATGCACAAACGCCAGTCAACGCTGTAGGGAGTGCAGAGCACTTGTGAAAAGACGGAATTACAATCAACATGTTCGGTATCACGCGTTAAACCACGTTAACGTCAAATATCTAGCTTGTTTTGAATCGACATTGGGTCAGATATACATGTGCCGATACATTGCTTGCTACTTGGCCTTTCCCTCTCTCCAGGAGCTTGTCCAACACGAAGCAGTTCATAGTGGTATTAAGCCTTACATTTGTGGTGCTTGTGACGAGGCTAGCGAGACCAGACACGATCACGAGCAGCACGTCAGAACGTGTAAGTTCCGCACATTACTGGCTTACCCTTGTGGATATTGCGGCAAATTCTTCGACAGATCGAGTCTTCTGTGGCGCCATTACCACAGCCACCGCCCGGATAAGATGGAAGGCTACTCATGCGGTCATTGTAGAGAGGAGTTCCCGACACGACTGCTGCTCAACCAGCACAACGGTGACACGCACCAGATCATCCAGCCCAAGACAAGGGCGGTCGTTTTCCAATGTAACTTCTGCCCAAACAAATTGACAAGCCAGGATGAGTTGCTGGAACACGTGAAGACGTACCACCTGTCCAACATCGCCAGTACCAGCTCGATAGGCGAGCCAACGGCTGTCCATGTGAAGGCCAAGAAGCCGGACAAACGGAAGGGGAGAACGAAGGTGTTCCAGTGCAGTTACTGTCACGAGTGTTTCAGCAAAGAGAGTCGGGTTACCCGCCATGAAAGAATTCACACTAATGAGAAGCCGCACGTCTGCCATATTTGTGGACTTGCTTTCACCTTCAAGCGTGAGCTGAAACAGCATTTGCAGAAAGAGTGTAAGGTGGGAGACGCCGACATCAGTGAAAAGAAAGCCTCATTCACGGGGATGGATCCCGAAGATTTAGAGAATGCCACACAGGACGGAAGTGACGATGATGATGATGTAATCTGCATACCATCCTCTCCGTCCCCCTCTCCATCTCCGCCAACATCGATCCCAGCCTTAGGCTCAGTTCATATCCAGCGATTAGACCCAGTGCCGGTCATAGGTCAACCTCCTAGTTCAGTTGCCGGGCAGATAAGCACCCTAGACTCCGTTACTCCAAGCGTCTACTCAACGTCTGTCGCCCTGCCACCTTCCCGAGACCAGATTTACCTGATTCAGTATGATCAGACACAGCAAGGCCCTGTGAGCATAACCATACCCGACCAACTGTCCAGTGCCGCTATAAGAATCCTGCCGACGGATCAGAACAAGCCCTCTGTTCCGGTTCCGGTGAGACTGGAACGACTGATCTCAGATTGACAAAGCAGTTTCCTTTAAATTGTTGCGACATGGAGGTAGGAGGTGTAACTTCGAACAACTTGGAACGAGTGAAAGCTGAATAGGCAGTCTTAAAGCCCAATTTGAGTTTGAACTATCCTCTTCTACTCTGTATTAATGTAAGCACATTGCACGTAAGACTCGAATAACAAAGAAACCCCAAGTCGTCACGTAGTAACACGCTTTTCGTTCTTTATGCAAGTGGCTGTACACATTTCAGTTGACGACCAAATATGTTTTGGTTTATGCATGTTACCTCAAGAGCATTTGTGAAAGGGTGTTTTTGGCTTTTATTGCCCGATCAAAAAGAAACGATAACGTGGAATCCATTCAGAATCGATGACATATCGTGCTATCTCGTGGCTGGTTTGGTGGTTCCCGTCGATCATCCGGAGGACTGTGCAAGAAAGTAAAGAACATAAACAAGCCTAGTGAAATGGGGTCATACGTTCGGTTTAGGAACGTATGACTTCGATGATGGATTAGTACATGTACAGTTTGTACATGTATTGCTTCGGCAAGTAAAACTAGCACCATGGGTTTTGAACTGGCACCCTGCAGGTCTTTTTGCTTCGTTGTATTTTTTCTATGTTGCCTTTGTTTCTTCCTTTAGTTTTGTTTTCCCGAGGAAAAGTCCAGGGAAAGGGAAAGCTGAACGGATGTATTTTACCTAGCCATCCGTTAAAGCAGTCGGTAGGCCCATGTGCATAGGAACACCACACAAAAATCAGTCCAGCTGTCACTCTTTTCAATTCGAATTTAAAAATATCTTTCACATTTCCAAGCTTTCACTGAATTGTGTTTCCAGTCATAAAAAAATACAAGTACATCAGAAAACAAACACAACGCGCGGAATTTCTCATGGTGTACAAAGCACATTAGATGTATATAAAATAATTAACAAACGGGCGTACGCAGTCGGGTATGTGCGCACGTGTGTGAGGAAATTAACCGGCTAATGTATACTACATGTACATGTACTTTCTTTTCATGGCGAAAATATGCACAGGCACGGAGCAAACAGCGAATCTCGCGTGTCGCGGTCTTGGCCAATCGAGAGAAGACACGAAATACGTTTTGCAGTATGTTCTAAATGACCAAAACAGCAGACAAGCTTTGGGCAACTGGGCGTTGTCCTGTAAGGAAGGGGGTTCAAATTTCACAGTTTCTGTTGGTGCGATTGCACTCAGGTAAACGTGGTTGCTCCTTAGGCTTGTGCTTCACTTTGTTCGGCTGTACTACCTTTACATACTCAACTCGATGTGCACGATTTACTAGGCATTGAAACAAGAGTCTCGGGATTAAACGGCTTCTAGTTTGTTTGTTTATGTTTTTTAAGTTTTATTTATACAAAAATGTATTCACAGTTTAAAAAAGTATATAAAAAAAATAAAACTTGTAACACTTTCAAAAGATGTGACCCTCAGGAACCAGTATAGAAGTGGTTTTTGGTTTTGTTCCTTATACATCTCTAAAAGTGAAATTTCACTATGAGAAATGTAGCTGTACATATATAAATAACCACACTTGACTGTTTTTCATTAACAATTCCTCGTAATTGCGATAAGCTATTACAACTGTCCAACACCATGGCTCCATTTTAATTTTTTGTTCCATTGTACCTTGTCACCTATCCTCAATGAATGCGCACTTCTTCTGGAACCATTCTGAACAAACTATTGATACCTTTAAAAAACTAGGTACATCTCTAATTTTCAAGGGAAATTGCAAGTTACATTCGACATTCAGAGCTAATGCTTCAGTTTTTAGTGCTTACTGCTGGCAAGTAATGTTCTTTCTGCATCAAATACATGTATTGAAAACTTAATAAAAATTATATAGGACTGGGAAAATTCACAAAACAGGAACCTATTTCTGGCTAGTAAAAAAAGAGATTAGTACCAAGATGCAAATCTTTCTCTGCTGATAACAGTGCTATTCATATTAGCCGTACGTGTACTTTGAAAACAGGACCTTGTTACTGCCATGCCAAGACCATTATCCTTAAAGCTGCATGTAAACCTGTATACTTTTTATAAAGGCTTTTCACCCATTTATGTTTTTTCATAAATTGCACCTGTTATCTCAATTTTTCAAACATCTGATCAACAGCTGCTATCCAATTCAGATTTCCCTCGTAAATTGAAACGTGTAATGAAAACAGCACAAGTAACTTGTGAGCTAAACAACTTGTTGAAAAGTGCATTTATTTCATTGAAGACTCAATTTACTGCAAAGCAGAAGCTCGAATAGATACAAATATTTTTTGTCTGTGCCTGAATGAAGGAGCAAATGAATTAGGAATGGCTTCTGCACCTACATGTGCATGTATCTCGGATAGTTCTGTGCAAAGCTCTGTGATAGAGGTAGCACTGTTCAAGTTCCAGCTCCAAGTAAGAAAACAATTGTGATGTGTTTTAATAAAGTGCACATATCCACCATTAATAGTGGTCAAAATGCCGAGTCATTTATTCGTTACTCACCTGGCCCACAACAAAAACTATTTCGGCTCCCTGAGGAGTACACTGTATACAACTCCAGGGGCCTGTTTCCCAAGGATATAAATCTCGATCAGTGATCCCAAAGCTGCTTTGCTCTGTCCATTAGGTGGACTCTGGTGTACTCTCGGTGAACTAGCGTGGGATTACTGATTGCGATCTGGATCCATGTAAAACAAACAGGCCCAATGTTGCCACTTCAGGCAGAAATGGTTAATCAAACAAGACAACAGTCTATGCCTGCACAAGTACCCATTAACCCTAACACTCCTCAGTCCTCCAATAGGTAAAGGATTGAGGAGTGTTAGGGTTAATATCCTGCATGGAGAGAGGTAAAGGTACAGTGACTTGCCAAAGGTCACGTCACCAGCCGCCCGTTCAAGCCTCAGACCCAATGATTGCTAATTACAAATCTAACCACCACACCAGCGAGACCACACACATCTAATACCTAACCTTTGTTGATTTCCCGAACAAAAGGTTTTAATTTAGACATTCAATGCCAAGAATGCCCACAAATTTATGCCCATCCCAGAGGAAGCACAGGAAAGCCTATTCTCCAGGCAGAAGTAGAGTTACACATGTACTATAACTAGAGATGGGGTGCTCCATCAGAACAGGTTGGTCTTGAGCATGATGTTGGTAAACTCCTCCAGATTCACCATATTGTCTCCATTCCGGTCTGCCTCCTCAATCATGTCGCGGAGTTCCTGCTCAGAAAACTTGATGCCAGCCTCCTTGCATGCCCTCTTCAGGTTGTCCAAAGAGATTTGGCCTGTCCCATCTGAAATAAAAAACAAATTGGGCAAATCTCTAGCAGGTTCTGCCAGCCAAAAATTTCGAAGCAAGCGGAAACAATGAAGCTCTAGTGGATGTTGTTAGTCCATGTACAGAACAAGCTAGCTTTGCTCAAGGCTTTTTACTAGACTTTAAGAGAGCTTCAGTTTCTGAAAAAGATTCCAAAGCTCTATCAGATTAAATATACGAGATTGAACAAACTAAGGTATTCGGACTATTAAACTGATTTGATGATGACTTTATTCCAGCCAGTTTCATGCGGTTGAGACTGCTGCTTAACTTGGAACTGAAGGCCGTCATACTTGGTGCATTTAAGTGATATTACCTTCAGTAATATCACTTAAGTAATATCACAGAATACCTCTGTGCAACCCAATGTATTTAACTTGAGAATAAATTGCTGTTAAAATTTCCCTCATGAAAAATAAGTTTCTGTAAACTGGCAGATGACAAACCATAATCAAACATGCGAAATCCCTGCTGAATCTCTGCATAGATGTCCCTTGCTGTTCCCTGTCTATCAATAATGAACTCAAGGAACTCGTTGAAATCAATGGTCCTATAAGAAGTGAAAACCATTTCAATTAGTTTGAAGATGGAATGACACAGCAAGAAGACATCCCAAGCAGATCAATTCTATGAAAAAGATCCAATAGGAATATCTCGTTCTTGTAACAGTAAACTTGTAATAACAAACTGTATCCAACTGTGTATTGTCTGAGCTTGATATATAACTCGTTGATCTCTTAAACAAGAAGGTAACCAAGGTGAGGCAAACAAGGTAAACAAAAAATGGCTACTCCTTTGTTTTGCAAAAAGGACACATCTTGCATTGGAGTTTAGGACCTCATGACTTAAAGTGTGCCACAATGCAGTGCAATAAGCACTTTAATTCTGCATAAATTTGTAATAAATGACCACGAAGCATTAATAAGGAATCAGAACAGAAAAGCTGAAACCTTCCACCAAACTTGTGTAGGACTTAGAAGGCCACAGCTGAAGTGGCTTAAATGTGCTGTTTTAATTAAATATGCATGCTAAGCTCTGTCAAATTTGTACCCGGATTTGTCCAGATCCATGTCTGCAACCATTGCCTGGGCTTGTTGCTTTGTCAGCTTAAAGCCAAGGGCTCTCATTGTTCTGCGAACTGCGTCAGCTCGGATCATTCTACAACAGAAATAGACTATGTCTTAATTTCCTTTTTAAAGCATTTCAATTTTATTGTGCAAAGTACAAAGACTCAAACAAACATTTTCAAATGCTGACATAAGCCAGCAAATTGATAAAGCAAATTACTTTCTAGCATCAAATGGTCCATTCACTTCACCCTTTTTTTTTTCAAAGGACCCCACTGGTTTATGCACGGTTCTCCAATCCTGGATCTTCGGCCAATCATCACTTGGGGGCCTTTCATTTTCTGAAGGGGAGGGGCACTAAATGGGTTCTGTCACAGGGAAAACACCAAGATGGACTATCAATAGATTTCTTCCTCAGTTTTTGAGGGGGAGGGACACAGGCCTAAAGCAGATGGGCCTGTGTACCTTTTAATAATGCCACTGCACACAAAGGATTGGATTTCAGGCTACAGGGTGCAATCCTGACCTGATTATTACATACTATGTACATGTCCATGATTGTCCCTTCCTTAATGCTTCCTCAGTGACTGGAAAGAACAGCTACTGTCCAAAAACCGCACAACTAAATATGGCCAAATTCAGTATGAGGCCAACTTTGTATCCCCTGAACAGGGTTCAAAGTTTCCTCACAAAGAAACTGGAGACAAAATGTGGGGCTGGCCAGAGCACCACTGCAGATAGAGGGGTGAAAGAGTGAATTTGCTTGTAGGTTTTAGTGGCTGACAAAGGCCACTGACAAAGAACTACATGTATACGTATGTTAGCACAGCTTTCCACCTTGCATTTGACAAAGTGGTATGTTTTCTGAGAGGGGAGACGAAAAAAAGTGAGGGTTTTTTCATTCACCCTTTTGAATCAGCAAACGCATCAAAGACTGTCTTCAGGTCCCGGATTTCATGTGGAGTGAGCTGCTGGAAAGCCTTGGTTGAGATCTTGCAGCCAAGAAATTCTTTGGTGTTTAAATCCACCTTTTCCCCTGTTAACACGGATTTCAGCTGGAAGAAAATTGTTAACCTCAATTAAACAAAATTGGCATACCCATGAGTATATGTAACATTTGTGGACACTACATTTAAAAAATGTGATTGTGTCTTTAAGTGCAATTTTTTTTAACACAGTCTGGTAATTAATTTAATTAACAGACAGTGTTAAAAAACATTCAGATTCAGAAGAGCTAGGTAGTCAAAGACCTTCTTGACCATCACTTGAAACTGCACCCGGGAATAGAAAAAAAAAGTGAAATTTGAGGAACATTAGGTCTCTGATTTTTTCCTGAGCATGTAAAAAAAAAAAAGCAAAGCTGGGAATGTGCAAGTTACGAACAGCTAATAAAACTTGGTAAATGGTTCACTGGGAAGTAGATAAACTTAGACCCAAGTGGTAAATGGACGAAGTGGCAAATGGGCGAAGGTGTGGACGAAGTGGTAAATGGGTGAGGTGAGTGTAAAACTCAGGTCTTAGTCCGACTAAAGTTACATTCACTGTAACAGGAGCCGGTCAACTCATACACGTACCAACTCCTTCACTGACCAAGTCATACTCAGATTGGTCAACCTGTACACTGACCAACTCATATGCAAGCCAACTTGTACGCAGCCAAAAGTACACTTACAATCTCCACAGCTTAAGTTATATTTCAGCTGCTGAAATGAGATGCTGCATTGCAGAAAGGCTCTTTTCAGAGCTACACTTGCCCAAAAAATGTATTTTTAGCTAGGAAATCAATAAAAATAATTCATACTTAAAATACCACCCAAAAAATCTCAAGACAGTATTAACAAAAAAAACATTCTTCAAAATCCCACTTCCTTTTTTATTTGGGGGGGTGGTCTGGGTTGCTTGGGAAGAAAAGCTACCTTAAACTCTCACGTCAAATATCTTTGGCATGAGAATGACTTTCAGAGTTGAACCTACATGTAGCTAGGTAGGCCTATTCCTAATTTGATCGTGAGTGTATGAACTACATATGCGATTACACGGCGTATGAGTTGATTGAAGTATGAGTTGGTTGGCGTACGAGTTGGTCGACGTACGAGTTGGTTTGTACGAGTTGGCATGCATACATGTATATGAGTTGACCATCATTTTGTATCAATGTGACAATATGTTGCAGACACCAGTGCTGCCTTTAATGCAACGGAGAGTGAAGGTGGGTGTTGCTGTTGGATGTTGCTACATAGAGTGGGGCCTGTAACCGAGGAGGTTTTAAACTTCTCAACCGAGTCCGCTTGAACAAAAATGTCGAGGTAGTTCCAGCCAATAATTGATCTATTGAACAAAGAGCTGTTTAAGTTGATCTGTGTTGCATCGGAGTTTGCAGCAATGGAACTAGGCATGATACATTTGATGAGAGTGAACTGTCTGACTTTTTGGTCTAATTCTTCTGCCTGTTTTGGGGGGTTGTAAGCATGTTAAGTAGGAATCAGGGGGAATTGCTGGCACCAGCCCCGCAACCACCTCGTATAGGAATGTCTGACGTAGTTGTTTACTGTTCATCTCTCCTGGAGGGTTGGTAACTTAGAGGTTTGTAGCATCTTGGTGACCGATCCTGTTTGCCGTGATTTGTAGTCAATGGTGATAAAGCGGACAGCTCGGTGCTGAGTGTGCTTGAGGCGGTTAATGTTTACTGCAGTTTATGGGTCCCAGATAACTGCCCCGTATGATCGAACCAAGATGCGGAGCAAGCACGGTAATTGGTGGGCTCAACACATGGGCAGTCTGATAAACACTAATGGCATGAACAGAGCAACAGTCAATGGGTGGAAGCAAGAAATTGGTGAGCAAAAATCTCATTTTGCTATCCCCCTTTTAGGCGGTATAGATTAAGCAGGTATACTGACAGGGGAAAATTTGATTTGATAGCTTTCTTACGGCTGTGAACCATTTCACCACAAAAATTCGATTCCAAAACCCCACAGCGTTACGACGCCATGTGGTAACCCTTGTCTCCTCTGAAGTCTGAGTCATACGGAGTTATTATGGTTCTTTAAGTAACGTTAACCTACCTTTTGCTGGTATGAAACCGTCGGCCTCGCCTCCATCCCCTTGGATGATGTGGAGTCTCCATTCTCCATGGCTTTGCTTCTTTTCTTCCTGACTTTTGGTGAAGACATTTTCCCATAGCGTTTCCCAAATTCCTACAAGATTTGTCGATACGGTAGCTAACGCGAGTATTGTGTACAATAATACCACGGCGATGAGCGTTTGTTCAGCGTTTACTCTACTAAATAATTTTGATGCCAGACGCTAGAGGGCAGGCTATTAGCGTTGTAAACTATCGACTAATCAACTCCAAGGGTGTACCCCTACAAATAAAGTCCCATAAACACCGGTGATAAATCCTTATATTTCAAAATTACTTTAAAAATACAACTCGTAAAGGTGTCCAGTCTGGACAGAAAAATCATGTTCAACACGTCCTCTTTCATTTTCCTTTCAATTTTTAGTGGGTTGACAGATGAATTTTAGAGCAATTCTCATCGAAAGCAGACCACCCCTAAAACGAAGGAAATTTCACTGCCCGGAAAATGCATCCCTGTGCAAAACGGCTTAATATTGCCACTTTCGGGCTCGAATGCATTCAAATTGCTCAGAATTGGAAGCCCTGAGTCCGGCTCAGAGGTTCAGTGTCATATTTCTTCAATGCCCCAGTTCCATGGCTCTCAGGACCCTCTAATAATGGAATATTTTGAGTGTCAACTTTTAGTAATGAGCTCGCCATACAAATTTCTGCTCTACTTTCTTGTGTGCACCCCCGAGTTGTTTGGTTGGCCCCTCGGTTGGGAGGAATTTTAAGAAAAACTTGTTCGTCTGAAAAACCATGAAGTAGCCCATCCAAAAGCTGAAAATTCTTTTTTTGCTACTAAACTAAAAGTCGGCATAATGTAAGAGTCATAATGATCACCCGCATTTATTCGTTTTGTTTTTCTTTGTTCCCTCAGAAATTCTTTCCCTTAAAATATTAGTTCTCTATAAATCGTCCTTGCATTACCCCAAAATCTTCGAAGGGAACAAAAATGGTTTTACGTAATAAAGTAAAAGTAGTAGAGAACAGAATGTAAGTTCAAGAGAGTGAAATATTGTTTCAGGACAAATGATTTATTCGCCATCTGCCCCACTTTCTCTCCATTGACTCCAGACCTTTGGGGCTCTGTACCCATAACAAGGGTTTGCCTTCTTAATTCTATGGAGGCTTTGAGTGGTTCCACGGCTTATGCACAAAGGATTCCCAGTGGAACAAAAGAACCCCTGCAAGATGGCGACCAAGCAAAGCCTCTACAAAAAGGGAATGTAACCTTTTAACAATGAACAATGACGTGGCTCTTGCTCGTTAAACTTGAGCTGATTTTTTGTTCAATTTGTGTAACTTATATCAAAGTGGCTGATATTTTTTTAAACTACTAAAAACCATTGAAATAACTGTTTAAAATAAGGCAGTCATACATTGATCACTTTGAAAAATTAGTTACTGATATGTGTTCACTCTGTATTTTTCTTAACCAGAGTTTTTTTTAACAAGTGACCCTCCCGTAAAGCCAAAAATATGAGACTATACAATCAAAAGGAGACATCCTGTTAAGGATATGCATTAGAAACTCTGTTACATAGCTCCAAAACTCAGAGCAAAGTTTAATCGCGAATGGAAATATCTAAATCTGTTTCACTGAAGTGAGTTTTATTCCTTCTCTCTGCATGTTTTCAAGTTGCAAGTTCATTGCACTTTTGAGGGACTAGTATTTCGTCATGTCAGTGCAACAAGGTCATAACTCGCATTGGTTTTGTATACAAGATACGACCTTGTCGCACTGACATGACGATTTGCTCAAAATGGTAGAAAAACTAAACACAAACACCCAAAAAATACAACCAAATTTGAAACAGAGCAACAATTACATGAGATATGAGGAACGTTGTCAATTATTTGTTGGGGTGATTAAAAAGAAAGGGCCACTTTTTGAAAAAGAAAATGTTAATAATCTTTCCCAAACTAATAGATCCCTAAACTTACCCATCCTTCACTTTCAAAAACATTTTGCTCCAAGTTAATTAACAGGAAGTTTATAGCACATCAAGTAATCTGTGTGACAAAATAAGCTAGCCCTGCCATCTCCCAAGTTCACTCCTGGTGTTCTCAAAGCCTTATCAGTTGCGATCTTTGTAGATAAACATGGAGAGATTTAAAGTTCTGCAGATTCTATTCACTAGCATCCAGACGTCTTTTTTTGGCAAAATGTTTGATGCGATTCTCAAGAGATTCTGTAGAGAGAAAAAGATCTAGTGTAAGAAACAAATTACCATCTCACTAATTTAATACGAACTCTCTAAATAACCTGATAAAGGAAGAAGACAGTACAAGATGTAGACAAGATTTCCACCTCTAGCCCAAAGGCCCATTTGCCCAGCAAACAGAACATTTAAAGTGCTCATTTCTTCTATGGTTTGCATGCATGCTTTCTGCAAAGGGACCAAAATTTAAAAACTTTTTCAAGAGGGTATGTCCCAAGTACAAGTACATGTAAGTACAAGTAAATACAATGTATGTCAACATCTATAAACTCTGGTCAAAGTTGGCAAACATTATGTGGAAACACTAGGAGCTTCTGCAGTATACACCGACTAAGTCCATGTAAGTTTTATTCATTCATTTTTCGATTTGAAGACAAAAATTAAAAAATAAGCCATTTTTCATTTTCAATTTGAAACAGAAAACCTAATACCAAGAAGAGAGTCGCTTCTCTTGTTTTTTTCATTTGAAAACTAAATATGTGGAAAAAGAAATCATGTGTTGCTTTCCATGCTGAAACAGTAAACCAAAAACGAAAGTCATTTCTTTTAATTTCATTTTTATCCAAATTTTGCCTTACAGGACAAGTAGTTTGAAGTACATGTAGGTTGGTTGGTTCCCTAACATATCTATAATAATATATGGCAGTGAGCCACTGCTTTCTTATATAAAGTATGACATCAAGTCCAGGATGTCCCTTCTCACTGTTAGGTGCAGCATACCACACGTCTAATATTTTTTCAAACAAAGTTGTGCAAAAGCTGAGATCATTATGCAAAAATAATGAGTAACTGGTTTAAAAATTGTGATAGATGTGGGGATGGCATAAAAATCCTGAAATTGCTGTCTGCCAAAGAATGGGGGGTGGGGAAAGCCATCTGAGAGTAGGCGTGCCAGTTGAACACAATCCAACACTAGGTGACACTGGCTGGAGCTATGCAGATTTCGAAACCAAAGAAAATGGACTGACCCCACCCCTTGATTATCCTGATGGACTAGCCACCTTCTAAATTGTTAGGTCCTACCAAGAGATTCTTACCACATACTGGTCGGTCCAAGAGAGGCTTGTGGGATTTGGAGGAAGTGCCAAGTAGAAGGAACGTTGCCTGGTTTGTGACTGAAGGATAGACATCGTGCCAAGGGCGGGTGGCTGAATTGTCGGCCCTGGAAGAGTCTGGAGTTTGGTCTGTCCACTCAGCCGGGACAGGTGCTAAATTGAGTCCATCAAGCATTCTTTTAAGAGTTATTGCTCTGTGAGGAATAAACCACTTACAATATTAAGCATGCTTTAATCCCACAACACAAAAACACTTTGTCCTTGAAACTAAGAAGTGTTTAATCTTTCAGGTTTTAAATTTTGCACAATTCTTACATCAACTCAAATTACTGTTCTTCATAAAAAGAAATGTCAATGCTGTTTCATTCATTGTTGTAATCAAGTCAAATCACAAGTAATTTCAAGAGACAAGCCAAAAGTAATGGGGTGAGCAATGACAAAGGAATACTTTTGTCATCAGTAATTTGGTATGTTTACCTGACTACCTGTTGAGCCCACATTTGCTGAAGCCGTGAGATATTGTGGTCCTGGTCTCCTATGAAAGTAGTAGCACAGTCTATTAGGAAATGTTTGACTATGGCCTGCAGTAATGCAAGCCTCTATGGGAAGTGGCTTCAGTCAGTGGCTTCACTAGATGTAAGTGGTATTTCAGCCCAAACCATAACATTCACTTCGGTTTTGGAGACGATGGCTTTATACGCATTGCCGGGGTGCCCAAAATTGGACAAAAGAGCTGGGCCTTGTAACAAATGACCATACTCGGAACAAAAGACCAAGCTGCTGGGAATTTCCAACATTTTGTCAGTTGTCAATAGCGGAAGAAATCCGTCACTGATTTGAAAAATTATACCACTGTTTGTGGCATTCAGCGCGAGCGGATTACCACCAGGGACAAAAGTGCACCAGTGCTCCAGTGATGAGGGTTACAATACTGCTGTACGCTAATCTGGCCCTTATTGAAAAGATGTCAGCAGCGCACTGTGCCGGTTTTGGGAACAAGCAAGGTTTTCTCTCACATACACAATGTTTGGCACACAACGTGTAATTTCTAGAGTTTCAATACTAAGCACGAACCAAAGCAAAGGCTTCCAAGAGGCATGTGCAAACTTCATTTCATATCATATCACACAAATGCATTTGGAAGCCTGGCAAATTGAATGATAATAGATGAATGGATCCCCCCCCGGAAAAAGAAATTTGCCAAGTTCTTTCCTGGTGCATAATTTAACTGTCTGTCAATGTTTATCATACAAGGCCTCTTTCCCAAAATGCACAACAGGTGAAGTAGGATTTGTACCTGCACTGGTACCGTTGATGAATTCTGATTGACTTCATTGACAACATACACTTGTACGTACAAAAGTGTATTACTAAAGTTTTCTCATGGTGGGGATTTAAATAAAAAAGGTCTTGAACTCTTCAGTGTTAAAATGTAGCTTACAATGACAGGGGAAGGGCCAAAAGTTGAGGCCTCTGTACAGAATAGGAAAAAGTGCCTTGAATCAAGTGCTTTAATTCATGTGTTGCTTTCCTGAATACGCACCTCTTTCATATATCCACTGGATGCCAGTGTATGAGCAATCATAAAGGACCAGTGGGTATTCCGATGCCATTGAATACTGTGGCTTGCATGGCTGTGCTTTGATGTCTAGAAATCTGTCAATTATCTGGCGTTTCAAACAAAATTAGATGGGAAAGTAGGTAAATTTATACATGTCTTTGTGTCCAACTGGTACCACTGAAATGCTTGAAGATTCGTTTTTGTAACAAATGCATCTCCTCAATTGTTCTGATATCTTGCAACAAAAAAGTTATTTGAAATCTCTTGTTTATCAAATGTATCATTTTAACCGGAAAAAAGATCATCAGTGGCTATTCTGACTTCTGCTGCTATCTTTTTAAAGCTAAAAGTTCACTGAAATCTGACGCTGTCCTGTATGATCTGTAAATGTGGCAAGTATTGAATTCTTTCACTTATACATTTTTCTCACAAATTTACTGCTTGCATAAAAATATGATATAAGGCAAAACAAAGTTTCAAAAAATGGTCAGGTACCTCTGAATTTTCCTTATGCTGTCCAATTAGAAACAAGATGGCCACCATACATCGCACCTGATGGTACAAGAAAGCTTGGCCTGTCACTGTCAGCTCATACATTTGATACCCTGCCTCGCTAGAGAGCAGACAAGAACAAGTGAATTAGTCCATGTTGAAGTGATGACCCATTATTCTTACGTCTTAAAGGGTTCCTGCAATGAATTTCCCTTAGACAAACCTTTTGTGCATTTTGATACTCTTTTTTAGTGTATTGAAAAGTTGAAGCTTTTTGGGACAACTTTAAGGGGCTATTGCTGTGAAGCCAATCAGGGAAGGCACAGAAGGTGGAAGCACCACTGAGTTTCTGTTTGTTTGTTTGTTTGTTTGTTTGTTGGTGTGTTTGTTTGTTTGTTTGTTTGTTTGTTTGTTTGTTTGTTTGTTTGTTTGTTTGAACTGTGGACCTGAAATTTGCTAAATTGTTTCTTAGAGCCACTTCGTGATTTTATTGCCACATATACAACAATGAATCCGCAATGAAAAGGAAATTAAGAACAGTAAAAACTCAGAATTCTGGCTGTTTTTTAAGAATAATCATTGCATATCTGACGAACCAACGACTATGAAATACCACCGTTTTCAAGAAAAACATGTTTTCATTGAAGCACTTATTGTGTACTCATTTTCGATATTTATTTCAACCCTCTTTTGTTCTTTATATATAAAAGACACAAAATTGGTCTTTAAAATCATTTCCTAATCTCTATTTTTGGCTCTTTGAGCAACACTTTGTTTGGATACTGCTGTTAAACCTATTTGTTAGTTTGTGAGATAAATCACCAGAATGATCAATTCGCCAATTTGTCAGATATGCGACGACATTAATGCAACATTGAGGTTTCTCCCTAGCATGATATCACAGTTTTACTCATGCATAATTACAGAAATCTGAATTATCATAAAAACCAAAAGGCATTAACATACATTTGACAAAGCAAAATAAGAATTGAAAATAAGGTTAAATGGAACACAAAGGTGCACTTTCATGGGTTGAAATTAAAAAAAGTACATCACATTGACACCTTCAAATAAAGGTATCTATGTCTGTCCTTTTCAGGCTTTCTTTCACCAGTAGTCACGATTCAGAGGCAGCATTCAAGCGTGTTTCTCATGTAAACACGAGTACACTCCTGAGCATACAACGACAGGAGTAAGTTTCTAAGGGTAAGCATGAGTATCCAGTTTGTAACTGTGACATCATTTCAGTTTAAGCAATGCCCACCGTACATAGTGCTACTTGAAAAGACACTGCATCATGGAACCGGAAGTTAACACGCAATGTTAATGGTCTTCCAACGGGAATCAACAGTACGGGCGAGCGTACAACAAAGTCACTTAAGAACTTGATACTCTCAGTCTGAGCGGCAGTATATTCTTAACCGACAGTATTATTTCTTAACCGTTGACCAAACACACGAGACAAAATGAAAATAATGCACAACAGTTTCCTGCATCCGTGAACCTTGAGAGATATGTGCTAACTCACAACCATTACCCTTGGGGAACACACAGAATTTTGCATGTCTCTGTCAAGTTTAAAATGCTGATATTTTCTCTAGTGTGTTCAATGCCACTTTCATAGCAAAGCTTCAAAAATGCTTGAATCATTTCTTGTTCGATTAAACACGCATCATACTGCTGAACCATACACTACTACACTTCATCACAACTGCGTAATATTTGCTCAAATTGTGTTGTGACTGGCTCTAGAAAAATGGGTAATAAGTTGCCAGATTCAGGTTAGGAGTTTTTGCTATGGCTGGATTGAGTACATCAAAAGCTACAATTTGATTTAAGAATGACCCCTGTAGTGCACTGTGCTCCAGAGATATTTAGATATTTGTATATCCACATTTTCGGATTCAATAAAAGCACTTTTCGAGAAAAAGCTCAGAAAACGTAGCACTTGGAAACACAATGCTATGTAGGATTTCCTACTGAATGATCCATTTTTCATCTTTATTCATCAGTATCCATGTTTGTTGTCACAAATTCTGAAAACATAAATGTTATACAAGCTAACAGAGGAAAAAACACAAAATCACATTTTTGAAGACATTTTGCCCTCTCCACCTAGAACAGGCCATAACATATTTTGGAACTGTGCTACTTATTACCCTTTTTGCAGAGCGGGTCACATACGTAGATTAAGTCTTGTCTCTAGATAGAGTTGAATTCCTCACTGACTTTACAATTTATTTTAATTGTAATCATATATATGCAGATTACCTATCATCCAATGGTGCTATGTCGATGGAAATAATAGTGCGGCAAAAGTTGACAACTCCATTTCCAACATCCATCTAGAAGACAAGAATATGCACGTATAATCATCTTAAAATGAAATTGAAAAAAAAATTACTTTGCCTGAAAAGATATATAAATGCAGGGTAAAATAATGTCATCTTATTTTGTACATCGTACATGAATGATGTAATTTATATTCAAGAAAGATGTTTTTAATGATATTTTATTTTCAAGATAGCTTTTTTCCCTGGAATGAAGTAACTTTGAAAACCTCCTTTTAGAGAGAACAATGGCCCATGGGAGGAGAAAATATGCAGAACTGGTACTTTTTCATGGTCGCCAATATTTGTCTCAAACCTTATAAAGCAGTAGAACTATCATCTCTCTCAATAAATGGTTTCACACAAAATGGCTGACAGAATTACAACAGATGAGGCCGTACTTGTTACTTTTCTTTTCCAAATGACTTTTGCAAGAAATATGCCTCTTTTGTAAGTACTTCTAGTGAAATTACAGTTAAATTACGATTGCATGCAACTGTTTCATTTTGAGACAAAAAAGTCACACTTTTCTTCTACTGGAAGCACTCAATTCCTCGCAGTCAAGGAATTGGCTAGAAAATAAAAGTCAGGTTACATTACCTTACAAAAATTACGGAAATCGTGATCACCCACAAGTTTTTGGGCAGCCTCCTGCATAACCTGTGAAGAAAAGAATACACAATCTGGTTTTCATTATGTGTGTTTACGTGAATTTGATCGCATTCATTAGTAATTACTTTTCGTTTGTTTTGTTTTTTACAAGAAACATAGTGTTGCCTCATGGAAAATTAAAGCCAAATCACTCACTTGATTCTGACGATTCACCACAATTTAAATAGCTGCTGCACACAAAAAATAAGCCATTTTTTCATAGTTCGTTCATAAGGGCACCTAAAGAATGACCTTGTGGAACACAAACATAATGTATGCAAGCTTGATTCCAACTCACTTGAATGTCCAGGTCTCCTCTAGGAAAGAAGTACTTATAGGTCCTGTGCAGGGTGCTGAACCTGATAAAAAACATTAAAAACAAGCTTTATGTAAACATGTCAGTTTAAGTTTATATCTGATGTACACTGCCACTATTAGTGTTGCAGTAGATTCTGTTCCAAGTCAATCCAACGCCAGTCTGTAATTCCAGTCACAAGTAATGGGGGACAGACAACGGCTACAAAACAGGTACAACGTGACATTGTCACAATCCATTTATGAAGCCCTTTGTCATGACATGGGGCGGGCTGATTTGTAACTGACTTTGTGAGGCTTTTGGGCAGACTCGACCACACTGAAGTTGAGCTTTCCTAGCTGGGTGCAGCCACGGCATGCAGTGGGAAGGGAAGGTTTCAAGGTGCAGAACGCCATTATTAACACAGACATCTGCGCAAACCTAATGCAAGAACCCCTTGACACTAAGAAAAAGCACCGATGTACAGGACCACACATGGTTTGGAGTGGGTGTGTTGATGGCATCCACTGGGGTACGCCAGCCTTTTCCAAGCCTTACCTTGCATCAAAGCCGGGGTCTACAGGTGTCCACGCAAGGCAACGGATAGTCTCAGGAAGCACTCTGTTCAGGATGTGAGTGTACTCAATCTCCTTGGTCTTATCGCCTTTATGATTCACAGAAGGGAGGAGGGAACACTGAATCTGAATAAGTCCATTTCTTTTGTACTTTGTCAGGGGAAGGGTAAGCATTCAGAGGAATTTCAATTTAATTCCTATTCAGAGGTTGAGAAGACTGATGATAGGCTGCATGTACAAAGGTCACATTGTGAAGTATGGTATCTAGGGCCCTTCTCAGGTATCCAATAACCTAAATCAACTGTACATCGGTTGCTGCTCAAAAAAGACCCTGTCTGAATTTGGGTATTCTTTGGCTATGGTTTCAGATGTACATGTTGCCATTGGGTGCTACAGTAAATAGCCATGTAGACACGGCACAAAGTCTCAAATATGGACTATACAGACAAGTACTTCTTCACTGGAGATGATGACAGAGGTGAGATTGGGCAAGATCGAATGGGTTTGTGGTTTTGAGATCAAAAATTACTTGTACATTCTCCAATCTGCACATGCACTAAGAGGGATGCACAAGTGAACTGTCACCCCCATGGGACATAGTGACTCAGTTAAAAAGCGCCTTGTCTTATTTGCACACAAAATCCATGATGGAGACTCCAGGAACCAGCTTTGTTAGCTCTCATATGTTGTTGAGTAAAACTCATCCTCTAACAGGAATGCACAGTTTCTCAAACACAAATGGCTAGAGAGCATGATGCACACCGTCAGTGAGATTTAAGCACCCTACACTCAGCCTCATTGCTGGGCCAAACAAACTCCTCTTAAGTCACACATAAAGTCAACAAAAAACAACAGATAATGGAAAGTTTTCAAATATTCCATACAAAAAATCAGCTTTATAAAAGGAGGTACCTATAGAGGGCTCCCTTTCCATCTCATCAACAGCATTCAACAAAATTGTAAAGTTCCTCAACAAAACAAAACTATGTTTTATGTGTCCTAATTCTCATGGTCGGCAAGGTGTGGTGGCCTTTTGACACAAACAAAGGGGCAAATTCTCCTTCATGTGATTCAATTCTGTGAAGAAATGCACTGAAATTCTTGGATGTCTGACTGCAAGAATTAAAAGCACCTGTTTTTCTCAGTAATCTTCTGTTTTTAACCAGAGAGTCTTTAATTCCCATGCTATTAATACAGGTTTGTCCTTCACTCTCACCTGGTCTTTCACATGCCTTTCCTCCTGGGGTCTGAATCACCCCTAACCCTTCCAAAAGGTTTGACCTCAGGTCAATGGAGATGACCTGGCCAAATGCACTCACACCTTTGTCGGTACGGCCACAGCGGGAGTAGTTAGCAGTGTCTCTGGACTGGATGAGGCGTGTCTTGGTCAGAGCTTCAAAGAGTTCTGCCTGAAAATCAGGAAATCAAGAAGGACCATAGTTGAGTTCTTCAAAGACGCAATGTAAAATTATTTGTTGTTCGTAGAAATCCTCCTCCAACAGAAAGTCAAAGATTGTTATTCAAGTATCCATCATATCTCTTGTCACTGTTGAAAGGGGAACTTGTGTACACAGTTCATAGCAGGTAAAGAATACACCTGGAGCTTTGCTGTGGATTAAAATTACCTCAATTGTCTTGTCTGTGTTTTCCTGACTTGCAAAGCCTTGGTAATCCCACCCAAGGTAGGCAATCCGTAAAGCAACATGTCTTGTGTTGTACCTGGGGATAAAATCATGCAATGTCACTGTTTTTCGCATAATACATGTACATAAAAATGTCAGCATTTCAGACATGCAGTTCAACTCTCAGCCATTCCTGTTTGGAAGCTGCATGAAGTCCTCAATAACCCAATGATACCTGTTTGTAATTCAATACAGTTTTGATCATGACAAAGCACAACGAATAACAACAGTGACTAAGCGAACACAGTTGCTAATGTGCTGACATTCCTTTGTTTCCAAGCAGATAAAACAAGAGAAAACAATTGTGTCATTCCCAATACTCTACAACTGTTAAAACCCTCCTTCTGTTTTAACCATCAAAAACAGTCAAAAATGCCTTCCACTTGATTTCCCCCAGTGCACAGACACATATGGGAAATTTGACTAATATTGACTGATATGACAACTGTGTCAAGAATGTATCTTAGCCTCGGAGGTTTTAAATTAAATTAACTAATTAGTCTAAGGGAAGGGGCCCTTGTGTAAACATGCAGTTGTCCACTCATCTTCACTCTCTTTATTATGTGCACAACTTTTGTTAAAAGCTGCATAAAGAAAATGACTGCAGCAGGATTTGAAGCTGCAACCTCCAGTTTCTGGTACATGTAAGTTCCCCTGAACAAAGATGCAGACAAATAGGAGAAAACCAACAAAGGTCGGGATAGCTCAGTTGGAAGAGCACTGGTTCGGTGATCAAAGGGTCACAAGTTCGAATCCTGCTACAGTCAATTTCTTTGTCCAACTTCATAATTAATAAGCAAACAGGGCCTCTTCATTTCATGCAGATCCGTACTACAATCAGTAATCCGGTGTTGGTTCACCGACACCAGAATCTGCCTAATGAATGAAGCAAATCAGCCATGGGATCACTGATCGAGATCCAGATCCATGTGAAACAAACAGGTCCCCAGTAACCCTAAATGGTTTGTAGGATGACATCTTTTGTCAACAAGTTCACAAGAGAAAACATGCCTATTCATTGCTTCTGTCATGTACCAATTAGGGCCTTCCTCAATGTACAAGGATTGGGTGCTCAGATTTGTCAATCACATCCGGAATCAGATAACTCACTTGGAGAAGTCAAAGGGCCTTTGAATCCTCTGCTTTTTGTTCCTCCTAGTGGCCAACTCAGAACTCTGTCCATCTTCACTGCCAGTAGCATCCTTAGATTGTGTGCTCCGTAAGGCTGCCACTTCCGACCTCAACTGCTGAATGACAGCTAGAAGTTCCTTTAGAAAGTTGCAGAGAATCAGAAATCAACTTAAAAATAAAAAAAAGAAAGGTAAGATGCCAAATACTTCAGTCACTCTATAACTACAAATGTGACCTTCTTATCATCATTTCAACAGTAAAAAAATTTTTACAGCAGGATGAAAATTTACCCAGATGTAATTTTAGTCACTTTTCATAACTTTGAAAAGAAACTACATGTATTATAACTACTGATTTATTGAGTAGAAAGCAAAAAAATCAAACACAAAGAAACACAGACAAGGGCTTTGACTATACAAAAAAATTTCCCTGGGAAAAATCCCCCCCAAATCCCACAAGAACAATAACAAAAAGGGACTCCCAGTGCATGTGTGAAAAATATGGTTTAACATTTTACTAGGGACAAACGATACAAGCTAACAAGCACATGTCCCTTACATGTGCATGAATGACAGGATCAACCAATCATGCTCAGCATCATGTCATACACTCTGAAGTTTCCAAGAAAGCTACATGTAACTACATTTACATCAGTATATGAGGACTCTTCAAATCACCTTTTTAAACATGTGGACATTACTGGTGATATTCCTGGCATGCCCAAATGTCATGAATGATAAATAAGGCCACTGTCCTATAGGCCTATATATAAGCAGACTTGGCTTTAACCAATACTCCGTTACTTGGGCTTATTATGCTGCTTGGACCTAACGTACACAGACTTTTGCTACATGTACTGTAAATATGCATGAAGCTACTGGGCACAGTTGGCCAATCAGCATGACTGCAGGAACACACTGTGCTATTATTCATTATCAATCAATCCAGTATGAATTCCCTGACTTACATTCCTTTCTTTATGAAAGAAGCTTCCATAACGACATATTAAAAAGAAAAGGAGACTGGCAAATCACAATATCATCAGCAAACCATTCAAAATGATCGACAGATCGTGCTGAGATATGACAGATCAAAAGATTGCACCCTACAGACATGACAGAGCTATAAAAATGTGAAAATGTTACACTAAGTTTGAACTTTGCAATGAAAAACATTATATTCAAGACATTTAGCATCAACTGCAAGAACTGTCATGACTGCGAAGATGCATGTTATCACTTTCTGGTGGTTTAAAGCACTGCCACGGATTATATACATGTATATGGAGTGCTAGTAATATTTATAGGGTATTATATATCAAAAAATACAGGAAAACAGCCCCCAAAAAACACCAAAAAACCTATTCAAAATCAACCAGAAACACCTGATGAGTACATGGAAACACAGGAAAACACCACAGAACATATGAGAAAACAATACAAAACAAGACAGTACCCTTAAACTATCAGAAATTCACTCCAAACAACCGGAAAGCATCGGCACAAACCCAAAACTATAAAATTGATCATAGAAATTGTGCTAATATAAATCCAAAACACAGAAATGAATATGCCATTCAAATAAGATAAACGAACATGCCATTTAAAAATGAAATTCAGCATAGATATCCAAATATTAACATGATTAACATGATTAACATGATTAAAACATCAAAGAGCATTGATGCCACCCCCCAGAACTGTGGGGTTTGTCATCTGCTGCATTCCTATAAATGCTGCCAAGTTGCATGTTCCTTGGCATTAACTTCTAGCAATAACCAATTGTGTATGTTCCTGGCATTCCAGCAGCCAGCCTACAAACAATTCAGTTTGTCCACAGACATAAAAAAAACATGCCTCACTTTCAGTATGTCCAGTGTTTTGGAGTATTTTCCTGTGTTTCCGGTATTTGTTTGGTGTTTTCCGGAATTTTCCATTTTTTTTAGTATATAGAACCTACAGTCCTGGACAAATCTCATTGGGTCTGCAACCCCAGACTCCCTTTCAATGCTGGGTCTATGTGCATAGTCTGCACTCCGGCTAGACATGACACCGGGGGGAGAGCGTATGGCTATATTGCCAAGTGTCCCACAATTTTGTCCTGTATTGTAGGCCTGGCCTAAGTTAGCGTGGTTTAAGTTAGCCAACCATCATGCTATTTAGCGTCAACAAGCATTGACACACTTGTAAGTGTAGCATCAACGAAGTGTCAAGAACTCAAAAATTGCCTCTAAAGTTTAAAACATTTAAAAGGGTTTTAACTTTTATCATATTTACATTTTTAGAGATTGCAACTACTACCACATGCCACTGTATAAGAGACCAGCAAATTTGCTTCCAGATTCTTGCAGGAAAACAATTTTTTGTGATGTTTGGGGGTCAGCATCCACGCAAAAACAAGATTTCCACACTCAAATATTTATAGGCCTATGATATCTGGATATGTACATGTAGGAGCCTAATTCGTATGATGGCCTAAGTATGAAAATTTTGCAGAAATTTGCTTGATTCACTTAAAGCTTTGTTGTCGTTTGTGGATGATTGTTGACATGACTGATGCTAAATAACATGAGTCATGACCCGCTAGCAGAGTAGGCCATAGCCCCCTAGGGCTGTGAACAGCTCTTTTGACAATGTTGTTGTTATGCCCGAACTATAGCATCAGTCCGAACTATACATGTAGTTGGGCCCATCCCAACTATAGTTGGGCCAGTCCCGACTAGAGTGATACAGTTGGGCCACCCCAACTACAGCAGAGAGTTCCTGCATGTCCTGTGTGCATGATGTGCCCAGCATGTGTGCCAAAGTCATATTGTTTACAAATGTCACGTCATTGAAGTGCCACATTTTAGATGAATTGTGTCAAGTGTAAGACACATTGACTTGGATGATGTTGAGACATTTCCCACAGACATTGGTCAACAATATTTGGGCCAGCCCAACTGCAGCACTACAGTTGGGACTGTCCTAGCTATAGTTGGGACTTATGCTATAGTTGGGGCGTAACACTTGACTTGACTTGTCTTTATACTTTACTGGCATGACTGGCGGGGCATGACTGGCATGATTCAAATGTCAATCAACAGACATGACAGATCAATGGGTAGAGTAGTACTAGTAAGTTATAGTAGTACTACTAGTACCGGCACTAGCCTAGGCCTACCTCTCTCGAATTTCCCCTGAACTCTGATACATCATGATGCAATCCGGTTAAAGTAGGGTCATGTGATTCCATGTTTTCAAACATGTAAACTACGGTATGGGGGTGAGCTAATTGTAGTCCAAACCACGGACATAATTATTTCTATCAAGTTTTACAACGTGGGCGCCGCCATCTTGACTGTTGCCTTTATTATTTTGCGGCAGTGTTTTACTAGAGGGGGAAATTTCGATTGGAGGCCCCCCAAATCGCTAAAATCGTAATATACTGATTTTCAAACTACCCCTTTAGTTGCTACCAAAATAAAGAATAAAAAAATAATGAAGAAACTTCCGCATTAGACTATCATTTGTGGGAGAACACTTAAATCTCATTCTGACAATATTTCATTTTTTCAACGCCCCTTAATTTATTAATGGCATAGTCCAGTAATTAGAGGCACGTGATGTTGTAGAGTATGGCAACCTACTCCTTCTTGTACTAATAAGTATTCAATGAGTGTGCACCAGGCTCCACGTGTCGTCAGCATGCAGCTAGAGTTATACCACCTGACCTGTTTGTTGCTTGATTGGGGTTGAGTTGTAACTTGTACGTTTCAGTGATTTCAGTTGCCTGTTTGCTGTAGTTTCATCTTTAAAAGATGGCTATTTTTCTTCTTATTTTGAGTGTCTTAATTTTTGCACGGCCGATCGTCAGTGACTGTGTCGTTGATAGTGAGACAGAAACCCAATATAAAGATTTAATTAAACCTCTCATGGAACAACAGTAAGTGAATATCCTGCACCATGGATTTACATGTGCCATGGAGGAAGGAACACACTCCATGTCATGCCTGCACTAAGCAGCTAACCCAGGGCTGCAGCATCGTGGTCACTAATACTCATATACTCAACTGTCGTTGCATATTTTTGTCATGTTTGTTGGTATTGAGCATTACTGTAACACACAGCAAAGCTGGGCATGTTTAGAGCACATTGGACACCCTGTAGGCGTACAGCTTTTAAATTGAGTTAGGTTTTAGCTTTTAACAGAATATCCATATGCCGGCATGTATGGTCATGATGGTCTGATGCCTTCAACACTTTTGCAGAGATTTCAGGGTGTACAAATACCACTTGCTCATTTATATTTGCGTGTGCTAACGTAAATAATAATTTTCATAATGCATAAAGTTTCAAAAGTGTGTAGGCCAAGTATAAAGCCAAAAGTAGTGCTAGTATTGAACAGTTTGCATTTGACGTATTCCACATGTCTCAACAGACGATTTGGCTGAGGGGACAACTTGTCTCAGCTTGATGCAAAGGCGGTCAAGTTGTCTCTACAGTCAAGTTGGGCAAAGTGGAGTTGGTAAATGGTCGAGTTGTCTGGGCCCCAGCTCAAGAAGTCAGTGATTAATAGTGATTTTAATTATTGTGTTACTGCGGCCTCACACAACTCCTATTGGATGTTCAGTCAGTTATGTCATAAATGTCTTGGGATGTCGTAGAAATGGCACAAAATAAGGGTGTGGCTGGTTTATGTAAATTGGTCCAAACCCTTGGCCTGTTGGTATCTTCAAACAATGAGTGACTTTCTATTTGACACTGTTAGTCATGTACTATGCTCCTGCATAGCCATTATGATTTGGACCTGCAAAGACAGCTGCTGCTGATTTTCATCAAAAGTAATGTTTTGATATTGTTTCAAAGGACACCAAGGTCTGACATACTGTACATGTACATTACATTGTATACGTGTGTGTTATTGCTTCTGGTTCAGTAATGCTATACAATTAAGGACCTAGTGGTGTAAATGGTGTGCCAGTTTAATTGTAACTTCCAGATGATCATGTAACGGTTGGTATGTACCCTTGCCAAGTGTCAACATTGCTAATGCTATGGTACACGTTTCCATTTGATTTGGGCCAATTGGCACAATCTTATAGGTATTCCACAACACATTCCTTGTAAAGCTCAACATGACCACTGCTGTGATTCCATTTCATGGATTGCTAATTTTTTTTTTCCAATCTCTTATAGTTTAACTTTGACAGATAGTGCAGGAAATTATTCTTATGATATCCGGTTCTGCAATGCGATTGAGGGTCAGTCAACAAAGGATGTTGGAGTTCTTCAAACAGAACTTAAGCCCGACAAGCCATCGGCACCTCAAAAAGTGGTAATTGGAAGAATAACAGCAACAGATATCAAAACTGGAAGTGAGTTAATAGTACTTCTTTGACATTTGCAAAACCAAGTGACCCAAACAGCTGCAAAATCACAATAAAATCATAAATGTTCTCTCATCAGTTTCCATGCCATAAGTACACGTAGTATTGTCTGCAGTTTAGAAATTAACAAGAACGTGATTTTACATTCATAAATACATGCATGTATACATCTACCAACCTCAGACAGTTAACTCATTCCTATTGGTCAAGACGCTGTTACGTGGCTAATTTTTGTAAGGGAATAAACAGATGTTTGCCCAGTCTTAAACATTCATTTAAGACTGGCTGAGCAGGAGAATGTATGCAACTAATGCCCAAGCTATAGGGGAGGACATTATCAGCACCCATTCTCCTGAGCTGGTCTTAAACTTAAGTTTGAGGCCGACCAAGCACATACTTATTTCCATTTGTACCTGTAAATGACTTTTGAGTCAGAAAGTTCAAAACTAGTTTGAAAATTTCAACCGCCAAATGTTTGGAAAATTTTTGAACTTGTACTTCATGTTTTAAGAACACCCCTCTAGCCATGTTGTGGTATGCCATGTTTGTCTCGAGAGCAGACGTGAACAGTCTCCTTATATGGTGATTGGCATGCATGGAGCGTACTGCATTACTGGCTGTGGACCAATAGGAATGGCTAAACTGTAAAACAGTATGAGGTATTTATGAATGGATCATAATTTAAAGTGAAACTGGTTTTAAACACTTGCCTGGATTCACACGAAATTTTAATTCTGTTTTATGGACTCTAACCCTCAATTGTGACCATATTACTGACACGTACCCATGTGCAGTACAGCCAGTGAGTCCATGTTTCTTAGAGTCAGAATTTGCCACTTTTCATTTAAGGAGAGTTCTATTTTATTTATTTTAATTAATGATGGTAATCTCTGATCAGTGCATAACACTTTATAGTTAATTGAAGACTCCCATAGCCTTGAATGGACACACAGTGTTTCAACCAGCATGACCAGAGGGGCATCTGAACATCTTTTGGACCGCCTGTTGGTCATTTTAATAAAAACACTAAACCTTGGCAACTCGAGGCCCTGTTCTCACTTCAAGGCAAAAGTGGATAGCCCATTTTCAAATGCTGGTGAAAACTTTACCTACGTTCTAAGCTACTGAAATGCATGCGGTGGTTTAACAGGTATATTTATGGTACATTACTAATGAGTTTTTCATGTCTTGTAGGTGACTGGATTTTACTAACGTATAAAAATGGGGAAACATACCACAGCCACTGCGGACATGAAGCCAGACAGGCTCACATCATGATGCTTTGTGACTCTAAACAGCTCGTGGTAAGTTGACCACAAAACACCCATGATGTCATTTGGTCCCTTAGATAAAATGCCCCTGTGAATGACTTATTTCTTTTGAAGATCTTGTTGATGTTACCATCATGAATAACCCCCGAAACAACACTTTCTATGTGTAATTTCTTTATGAAGCAATGTCATCCGAGCCACAACAGTGGCAAATTCTGTTAAATTTTGGTTGAACAGAGTATTGAAGACGTAATTGCTTTAAGTGTTAGACTCAACAGTCTTCCGCTCTTGGGTATAGTTAAAGAAAACTGACAGGTGTTTGTGAACAAGACACCATCAAATCATCTTGGCGTCAGTACAGCTGGTCACAAACTCTGACTACGTATACCAAAACAAATTACCCACACTGTACATGTTCTTTGGCAGCTCAGAAACTTTCTGAAACTTTAAAAGAACAACGCCTGACCTTTTTCAATGTCACAAAATTCTCCTAACCCTTGTGATGCCATTTGAAGGATCCATTAGGGTTTAGCTTTAAGGATTGACAGTGTTACAGTGATTTTTTTCGTCTGTATGTTGTTTTGTTTGTAACATTCAGGAAGCTTCTGACAATGTCTGATGAACAAATGCCCATGGAGGCAGTGAGAATTGTCGGTTTCTGCTTTATTCCAGGGTAAACATGCCGTTGTAGAGGAAAACAATCAGAAAGACAGAGATTGCTCCTATATTTTTGAGCTGGCCACATCAGCAGCGTGTACAGCGCCCTCAGTATCTCCAATCCAAGGCCTCAGCATTGGGTCCATCATCGTTATCATGTGAGTCTTGATGGGGCATAAGTGTGGTGACTGCACATTCTCCTTCGGCCATAATTCATGCATTTAAACATGTCTGTTGTTGGCATCTCTCCCCCCACCAGTCGTTTTGTTGTCCCATATGGTCTCTGTGCACAAGTGCTCCCACTAAGGGAGAAAGAGAGCTCTGGTGCTTGATTGCTGTCTGCCTTAGACCTAAGCAAAGACCCCAGTGGGTTTGCTTGTTAACATTGGTTATGTGTATTCTAGTGTGCACACACGGTAATTAGCAAATGACAACATTGTTGTCTGCTATTGGTGAGAACTCCTATGACAGATATTGTTGACAGACTGATGAGTAAATCAGTGGGTTAATGAATCAACAAACTGGTGTGTTGACAGATCAATGAGGATCAATAATTTGATGTTGACCAACTGATGAACTAACAATTTGGTGGGTCAAAAGACTGAAGAACTAACAATTTGGTAGGTCGACAGAATGATAAACTTACAATTTGGTGGGCTGACANAATGAAGCTATAGGCGAGGACATTATCAGCACCCATTCTCCTGAGCTGGTCTTAAACTTAAGTTTGAGGCCGACCAAGCACATACTTATTTCCATTTGTACCTGTAAATGACTTTTGAGTCAGAAAGTTCAAAACTAGTTTGAAAATTTCAACTTCCAAATGTTTGGAAAATTTTTGAACTTGTACTTCATGTTTTAAGAACACCCCTCTAGCCATGTTGTGGTATGCCATGTTTGTCTCGAGAGCAGACGTGAACAGTCTCCTTATATGGAGATTGGCATGCATGGAGCGTACTGCATTACTGGCTGTGGACCAATAGGAATGGCTCAACTGTAAAACAGTATGAGGTATTTATGAATGGATCATAATTTAAAGTGAAACTGGTTTTAAACACTTGCCTGGATTCACACAAAATTTTAATTCCTATTTTATGGACTCTAACCCTCACTTGTGACAATATTACTGACACATACCCATGTGTAGTACAGCCAGTGAGTCCATGTTTCTTACAGTTAGAATTTCCCGTGCGCCTGCCACTTGTCATTTAAGGAGAGTTCTATTTTATTTATTTTAATTAACGAGGGTAATCTCTGATCAGTGCACAACACTTTATAGTTAATGGAAGACTCCCATAGCCTTGAATGGACACACAGTGTTTTAACCAGCATGACCAGAGGGGCATCTGAACATCTTTTGGACAGCCTGTTGGTCATTTTAATAAAAACACTAAACCTTGCCAACTCGAGGCCCTGTTCTCACTTCAAGGCAAAAGTGGACAGCCCATTTTCAAATGCTGGTGAAAACTTTACCCACGTTCTAAACTACTGAAATGCATTCGGTGGTTTAACAGGTATATTTATGGTACATTACTGATGAGTTTTTCATGTTTTGCAGGTGATTGGATTTTACTAACGTATAAAAATGGGGAAACATACCACAGCCACTGCGGACATGAAGCCAGACAGGCTCACATCATGATGCTTTGTGACTCTAAACAGCTTGTGGTAAGTTGACCACAAAACACCCATGATGTCATTTGGTCCCTTAGATAAAATGCCCCTGTGTATGACATATTTCTTTTGAAGATCTTGTTGATGTTACCATCATGAATAACCCCTGAAACAACACTTTCTATGTGTAATTTCTTTATGAAGCAATGTCATCCGAGCCACTTTGAATCCACAACAGTGGCAAATTCTGTTAAATTTTGGTTGAATAGAGTAGTGAAGACGTAATTGTTTAAGGTGTTAGACTCAACAGTCTTCCGCTGAAAACTGACAGGAGTTTGTGAACAAGATACCATCAAATCATCTTGGCGTCAGTACAGCTGGTCACAAACTCTGACTACATATACCAAAACAAATTACCCACACTGTACATGTTCTTTGGCAGCTCAGAAACTTTCTGAAACTTTAAAAGAACAAGGCCTGACCTTTCTCAATGTCACAAAATTCTCCTAACCCTTGTGATGCCATTTGAAGGATCCATTAGGGTTTAGCTTTAAGGATTGACAGTGTTACAGTGATTTTTTTCGTCTGTACGTTGTTTTGTTTGTAACATTCAGGAAGCTTCTGACAATGTCTGATGAACAAATGCCCATGGAGGCAGTGAGAATTGTCGGTTTCTGCTTTATTCCAGGGTAAACATGCCGTTGTAGAGGAAAACAATCAGAAAGACAGAGATTGCTCCTATATATTTGAGCTGGCCACATCAGCAGCCTGTACAGCGCCCTCAGTATCTCCAATCCAAGGCCTCAGCATTGGGTCCATCATCGTTATCATGTGAGTCTTGATGGGGGATAAGTGTGGTGACTGCACATTCTCCTTCGGCCATAATTCATGCATTTAAACATGTCTGTTGTTGGCATCTCTCCCCCCACCAGTCTTTCTGTTGTCCCATATGGTCTCTGTGCACAAGTGCTCCCACTAAGGGAGAAAGAGAGCTCTGGTGCTTGATTGCTGTCGGCCTTGGACCTAAGCAAAGACCCCAGTGGGTTTGCTTGTTAACATTGGTTATGTGTATTCTAGTGTGCACACACGGTAATTAGCAAATGACAACACTGTTGTTTGCTATGGGTGACAACTCCTTTGACAGATATTGTTGACAGACTGATAAGTAAATCAGTGGGTCAATGAATCAACAAACTGGTGGGTTGACAGACCAATGAGGATCAATAATTTGATGTGTTGACCAACTGATGAACTAACAATTTGGTGGGTCAAAAGACTGAAGAACTAACAATTTGGTGGGTCGACAGAATGATGAAGTAACAATTTGATGGGCTGACTGACTGATGGACTAACAATTTGATGGGCTGACTGACTGATGAACTAACAATTTGATGGGCTGACTGACTGATGAACTAACAATTTGATGGGCTGACTGACTGATGAACTAACAATTTGATGGGCTGACTGACTGATGAACTAACAATTTGATGGGCTGACTGACTGATGAACTAACAATTTGATTGGTCAATTGACTGGTGAACTAACAATTCGGTAGGTCGACTCACCCCTGGATATTCAGAATCAGCTTGCCCTTGTTCACAGCTACATCAGCAACATCATCAAAAGTTGATGGAGCTGTATGTATCCTCAATAATTCATTAAGTTGGTAAATCCCAAAATATCAATCCATGTAATAGTAAACTACAAGGATATTATGGATGTATATAGGCCTATTAACCCTTTACTGTTAAAGTAATTGTTTCATTCAACTTCAGAGTGATCACTGCAAAAATTGGGATTGCAGGTGCACGATAAAATGTCCTAGATAAAAAGGCAATGAATAAAAGTGATAGTAACTTGATTCAAATAAAAATACAAACAATAGAGATTGCCCTCAAAATCAAGCAAATGAATTTGAATCCTCATCAACACACGTCATGAGTCAGGGACAACGATGGTTTCAGAAAGAGTCACAAAGATTACAACTAGAAAATAGCCACAGAACAATAACTCACCCTGTATCGCCACTGTCTGGAGGTTTCAGGCTTACTGGTTGTCTGCTGGCTGTCATTGCAGACTTGACTCAGATATGGGCTCTTAAATATCTTCCAAAATCATTTGATAAACAGTTTCATGCCTCCTTTGATTGGGTCTTACCTACCCCTTCTTCACAATGAAATTAGGATATAAACTTTCTCATTGGCTGAATATTTGGAAGTCTTGTGTAACTCTGCTGATCAGCAGAATCTCTTCCCGGTGTCAGTGTTCTCCAACCCTGAATTGATTTGTCGTCACAGTAATTGAAGTCAGTAGAGTTACTAAAAATAACCAGCCAAGACTGTGGGAAAGTTCCCCCTAAAACAATGGGTCTGGTGTTGCACCAGGACTGACCGGTGTCAGGCCTCAGCTATAGCGTACCACTGCCAGTTCTATTTGTGTTGCATGGAGCAGCAGTTGTCCTTGATGATAAGGAAAGCCTGACGACCTAGAAAACACTATTTCCTGACAAAAATAAGAGTTCTTCCAATGCATTGACTTTTTAATTTTTGCAGAACGGTTTCCGTAATTGTAGCATACATTATCTTGGGGTTCATCTATCAGCGTTGCTTTATGGGAGCCAAGGGCATCGAGCAATTCCCCAACATTTCCTTTTGGAGGGACTTTGGCAATCTTGTAGCTGTAAGTAGATCAAGTTGTTACCATCAAACTAGTCTACCGATGACTTTTCCAAGTCCTCTGAATAATCTTTAATACAAGGCGACACAGTCAGAACTGAGCATCCTGTGTTGACCACACACCATTTTTCAAGTTTCAGGTAACCAGATTCCGCAAGCCAGATATTTGGACCACAGTGTCTGTTCTCATTGTAATTTCCCACCATACGACATGTGCATGTATGTAATTATATTAGTGTGCTAGGTGGCCCAGGAAAACAATGGAATGCATGAAAAATCAACCTGTGTTAAAAACCATTTTATGATTCATAATCTCCTGTCTTGCCTTAAATGTTGGACCTCTTATATCATATATCATGGTGTATGCAAGTTGTTTTTACTGGTGATGTAATACTTGTTCATATTTGTTGTTTGGACCTTCAACTCTGTTGTTCCCGCCTACTTCTAAAGAAAGTGCACATGCAAAGTATGAGTTATCAGTACATAAGCCTATTGTCCCTCAAGTCAAATTTAAAAAGGTTAAAACTAGGTCTTTTTACCACATCTCTTTCCAACAGGATGGATGTGTTTTGGTGTTCCGCACCAATCCCCCACAAGAGTCACGGAGCTACAAGGGGTTGGGGGATGACCAGCTTGGGTTTGATGAAGATGAGGAAAGGGATGATCACATGTTGCCAATGTAGGGCTCTGATTGGTCAACAGTTGTTGACTTTTTTATTTATCTTCATTTGTGAGCTAAAAGTGACTTTGAAGACTTTTCTCTTCATGTTTGAAGGATTGGGGTTTTGAGATAGCAAGAGGTTCATTCATTTTGTGTCCTTGTAATGGTAGCCATTATGTATTACGGTTCACTATAGGTGTTTGCTATCTAATGATTTATACCCGGACAATGTAACCCTCAGATGTGTGTATATGAAAATGTTTATATTTTGGAGAGCTTCTGTTGAAAGAACAATTTTTTTGCTTTAATTACTTCATAGTTGAGCATTCAGAATTTTGTTGTATGAAATTTCAACAGTTTTAATTTAATTAATGATCAAGTTACTATCAATTTTTTGGCATCTGATATTTTTCCTATTGTCAACTCAAACCAATGTGCATCTGGCACATGTCATCACATTGGCACAGTACATTTGTCAGAAAGTTTGGGTTAGAAATTGTTAGACTTTGAAATGATGTTTGGTTGAAAGAGTGTGGTAATGGTCACTTCAGTGTGGGATTTCCAGAAGCCTTTAAACTTAGATTTCCATGGAATTCTCCTGGGATCCATCAAATTCTACCAGTGCAATTTGAGTTTGATTGTATTTTGGTACACAGCCTCGAGCACCAGCAACCACTCTGAAATTGTGCTTTCAACAATGCAAATCCTTCACATCTCCAGGAATTTTTGTTGTAACCCATAAAATCACGGTTCTCTTGATATTGGTTGGACTTTATGCTTGATGTAATGCTCGCATTGCTAAATCCAGCTCTGTTATATGTAGATTGCCTCAGGTCAAATTGATCAAAAGGTGAGCTTGAGAATAGACAGTTAAAAGTTGGAAGCCAGATTTGAACACCGCCACGTCCTACATGCATAAATCACATGCGACATTACCACTGCGGAACATCCAATCAAATGATTTTTTTCTCCTCCAAAAAAAGGTTGAAGGCCAGGAAATGTTTGTATTGCCTTGTTACGGACAGGACATAAGAGTGCTGAGCAAGTGACTTTCATTTTTTTTTAGTGCGAGACCTCCAATTTGGGTAGGAGAATAACCTGAAATGTGGGCGTCTTGTGCTCACTGCCAGAGAATTGGCAGCCCTGGCGTGAAACTTCACATAAACAAAACCATAAACCTTTACACTGAAGTTTGTGAATTTGCATGTATGACTGTTACTTTCCTGTGCCAGTTTTATTACCAAACGAGTTTATGATAAGCAGACCGTGGGCCTAAGAAATGTTAGACACATTATCATTAGTTTATCATTACTCTTATTTTTGTATTTTTAAAAATTATTATTATACTCTGATTGTCACAGATTACTGCTGTGATTATGCATGCATGCTTTCTATGCTTCTTTACCTTCTAATTTTTTAAATAGTTAAATAATTTCGCGTTAGTTATGTTTCATTGATTGCAATTACTGAGCAGCTTAAATTGAAATACACATAAAAATAGGCCTGTCATGTTGCAAAGGCTGCAGTTTTGGAAATCATTGTAATGATATTGAACCGTAAAAATGCCTCCATGAAATAATTTTACTTATACTTCCATCTGCATACTCACTGGTGACAGAGACAGGCAACAAATGCCATTGACACTCGCCTGGTGTCCATGTGGAGATGCATTTATGAACTGACATGCAATTCTGCAAACTCAGTGCTAAGTTTCTAATTTTTGCCTCAAAAGGCAAAAGTAGTAGTGCACCTTCTCTGTGAGAGAACTTTATCAATCTGTGAGATAATGGAATTGAATTGTTTTCATTTAAATGTATATAAATTTTAGCATTTGTTTCCAATCATTTATAAGTTACATGTAAGCAGTTACATGTATAAGCTAAGCATCTGCATGAAGATTGAATGTTCATGTACTTTGATGTTCATTGCATTTTTGTATGGAGAAGTCTGTTAACGATTCGCCTTGTTTCTTTCCTGTTTATAAACCATGTTTTGCAGAATATTCACGTCAGGCTTTGAGGTTTCAGCAAACAAGTTCATTTTACACTACACATTTTGAATACACCAACAGTACTATGATATCTAGACTTACATATATACCTGGTTGTAAATTATTACAAGACAGTGAAGTTCCACACAGATTTTTATGTATCTACTTTTTCATATAATCCTCTTCAAATTATAGATGTAGGGGTTTGTTCTATTTAGAGGGTTCCTTTATCCTTTAGTTTTGACAAATAGATCTAGATGTAATTAAGTATGTCTGCTTTTGGTCCACAAAGAGTGCAGTATTGTTTTTTTATTTATCTTTTTGCTACGGTTGGTCCAAGGTGACACTAATGAGGATGTTCTTGTTTTTATATCTCAAATTTCTTCAGCACCAATTCATGGAATCGCAGTTGTGGATTGTGAATGATCCACGTAAAGCTTGCATCCCCATTTTTGTATCACCCTGGGCTGGCCCCAGATGCTTGTACATTGCCAGTCACAGTACGAGTGAACATAAATATGTACTAAACAGTTTACCTGGACATTAATAAGAGGAAACACTCACAGTATTTCTGTCTTTGTGACAGTGCCATGGATAATGTAATTTTTTACTTCAGAATAGTGGCACTTCATGCCAACCAGTCCACTTGCAGATGTTGGCGTTTTTAATTTGAGGTCTTTGGCAGAGCTTGTGTATTAGACATATTACTCCCTGTGCTTTTCAGTTCTCTGTTCAAGTTAAGGAAATTGACAGTAACAGAAACAAATGAATTGACAGAAATGAGATTTGGGTGGATGGGGAGTGTTCAGAAAGCTTTCATTGTCAAATCCTTTACACATACGTGTAAATGTATATACAAGTACAATGCCAAAGTTTATTCCCAAGAGCTGATAGACTGCCGCTTCTGATCAAATACATTATGTGTATGTACATTTATTTGGGTTTTGGGATTTGAAGACGTTTGAATAATTTGGGAAAAATCTGCTTCTTGGTGTTACCATGCTCAACTTTGCCGTCTTTAACTTGGCATTTCTAACCTCAGTCTGTACATGGTTATACAGTTGAGCCCTGTTTGTACTGTTATTAAACCATGCTTTTGTGCATGAATTTTTGAGACTGAACTACTTGATTGTTTCATATTATTTTACAATGTTTATCAGTAGAAGTCTTTGTAGTTTTTTTCCTCTTTGAACCTTGTTTGAATTTGTGTGATAAATCCACCATCATGAGTTTGTCATTTTAGTCTACTCTCGTATAACTTGGTGTACAGTGGCATACACTTTTCCACAAATCTCTCTACGTCTGGCGAGCCACCCGGGATCTGCTGAAGTCCGCTTGGCTTCTGGAAACTAGAGCTTCTTTTTACATTGTCGAATGACTGCAGGTCCCCGACGGTAAGCTTGAGATTCTTGCTGATAACCCATTCCTCAATCATCTCATGTCCCTCCTTCCATGTTAGCAAGTTGTCAGAGTAAGGTATTCCTATTTTCTTGCAACAGGTGGACAGGATGGCACCCGGGTCTGCAGCCAAATCGTCAGCGTCGATGATGATAGGCTCTGCATCCAGGCTCTCCAATTTAACGTACTCATACAGGTCCAGCAATTCCCCGTAACCAAGTCTTGTCGGCATGACTGGCGGCTTGAGCTCATCCAAAACAAAGTCATCAACTTTCTTCCGGGTGAAATCACCAATGAGTTTCTTCCACGAAGGAATCACCTTCTCTGGATTCCTTATCAGGAATATATACTTATAACCTCGCGGTAGAAACTCATATTTCTTGTCTAAGCAGTAAGCGATATCTTTACAGAATATGAGTCTTTTATCTGGAAATGGAGCTTCAAGCTGTTCCTTCACCCACCTGTACGAACAAATCGTATCTTCGAACCCTGAAATAGCACCGCAATCTTTCGCGGCCTCCGGCGTGCCACCATCGCTATTGGCGGGACGCGGTGCGTCAGCATATGGTCGGTCAGGTCCAAAAAGATACGCCGCTGTGTAAGGCTCGTAGAACATCTTAGAATCAGGAACTCCGCTCATACACTTCAAAAAAGCGGTGGATAGGGTTCTTGGTAGAGCCCACAGGATAACTCGAGCTTGTTTTTCCATGTTTATTAAATATAATTTATCAATTACAACGGTGAATATAGGCCCTAGGTCCTTGTTCAAGGTGAACAAACCTATTCGCAAACAAAACAAAAAGAATCACACCAGGCCTATCTGCTCTTGGCCTACCATCAGGTCAGCCGACGTTTATACCATAAACGTTGTACAGCTGGGCTTCAGGCCGCAGGCCTTGCGCTAGCGCTAGCTATAGCAGAGCGGTCAAAGGCCGGCGAGGCGGCTTTTGCCGATGTTTTTGTTTGCCATGATTATCATAAAAAAATTCTCAATAGAGGGCGGTGTCGAACTTGACTGTCTAGCTCAGTCAGGGCCATAAACATAAATAAATATAAAATACGGTATTTGCGGTTCATTTTTACTATGATTTCATTCCTGCTGGATTAGTCGTCAACAATGTGTGTCGTTTCGCGCAACACTTCCAGTTGGACCTCTGTTTCTTCCGTGTCCCGCAGGAATCTGTACTTGGACTGTCTCAAACAACTTGAGACTAACACTAAATTTGCTCTCAGTCAGTTTTGGAATTGTTATAATCATTATATACCCTTAACGGTTCCTGGACATTTGGTAGAAAGAAAAATAGGCAAAACAAAATAACACTGAATAAAATAAAATAAAATCAACCGACATAAAACACCCCGCCCCGAGTTTTAGTAAAAGAAAATGTTCTGTTCCAAACAGAAAAAAAATTGAAGTAGAGAGCAGCTACATCACTCTTCTCTGGTCATGTGCGAAATCACATGAAATACAGAGCATACACTGTCTTCAAAGGGTGCCTTTTGTGTAATGTGCCAAGTTCCTGGTAAACGACTGAAACTGCAGCGCGGACGCACGACAACTGCCAAAAGGATAACATCCAAAAGATGATGTACTACCCACGTACACCTCCATTATTCTGCCGTTTTTGTCATAAAATAATTCACTGAAATATATATACATGGTATAGAGCCTGTGCATACTTTAGTGGTTTGACCATAGCCTACTCAACTTTGGAACTGTTATCATGCGTGGCAATAGACTTCTGCGTAGGCCTATATCCCTTTGTAATAGGACTATCCGTGAGTTCAGTCATTCCAGTCTCCTCTCGTACAACTTGGTATAAATTGGCATACACTTCTTCACAAATCTCTCAATGTCTGGCGAGCGACCCAGGATCTGCTGGTGTCTGCGTGGCTTCTGAAAGCAAGAGCTTCTCTTCACATTATCGAATGACTGCAGGTACTCAATTGCAAGCTTGAGATTCTTGCTGATGGCCAGTCCCCAATCATCCCATCTCCTTCCTTCCATGTTAGCAAGTTGTCAGAGTAAGGTATTCCCATTTTCTTGCATCAGGTGGACAGGATGGCACCCGGGTCTGCAGCCAAATCGTCAGCGTCGATGATGATAGGCTCTGCATCCAGGCTCTCTAATTTAACGTACTCATACAGGTCCAGCAATTCCCCATAACCAAGCCTGTTGGCATAATCTATGGCTTGAACTCATCCAAAGCAAAGCCACCAACTTTGTTCCCGGTGAAGTCGCTGATAACTTCTTCCATGAAGGAATCACTTTCTCTGGATTCCTCGGAAAAAATGTGCTTGTAACCACGTGGAAGGAACTTGTATTTCTTGTTCAGGTAGTACGATATATCTTTAAAGAATGTGAGCTGTTTACCCTGAAATGGAGCTCCAAGCTGTTCCTTCACCCACCTGTACGAACATCGTATCTTCGAAACCTGACATAGCACCACAATCTTTCGCGGCCTCTATCTAGCGTGTCACCATCGGCGGGACGCGGTGCGTCATCAAAACGGTCGATCAGGTACATAAAGATATGCCGTTGTGTAGAGCTCGTAAAACACCTTGGAATTGGGAACTTTACTCATACACTTCCAAAAAGGCGGTGGATAGGGTTCTTGATAGGGCCCATAGGATAACTTGAGCTTATTTTGCCATACTTGGAGTACAGAAGAAGTGACAATATTCTGGTTGTACATGTACAACGGTCAGACTCACTAACTTGTCATTCATCAGCGTATACCAAACTTGAATGGCCACTCGTTCCACATGCTGGAATACATGGGACCGGTTCGGTGTGGGCCACTATTATTATCGTGTCTCCGTCCTTTTCACACCTGTAGACTCTTCAAGTTTTTGCAAAGACCCCGCGGTAAGGTGGTCTTACCTTTTCTGTTTTTTCCCATCAATATTTCACAAGGACAGTGTTTACTCTCAGTCAAAATGACCACGGAGCAACACAAAGGACATCACAATAGGACCGGAATTTTCATGCAATCTACGTATCCAACTTAGAACGACTTTAAACTCACACGATCAAACCTCACAAGATGAGGCGCTAGACCTCGACACATAAGCCTCAACAGGGTATAACGAGAAAAAGGAAAATTACAGACTTAAGTTTATTTCCTGAATTTACCAACTATTCAAAATTTGTACCCGCACGGCGATTGAATGCCAATCATCCACACAGGTCTCTGTTGTTGGGGATGATCAAAATCCTAAAATCGCTGGGCAGGGAAATTGGAGTGTGTTTCAGTGTTCCCACTCTGCAAGAGTCCAGTTATTTGGACAGAATTTTTGCAGGAGCCGCCACGTCACGATTACAAGACTGAAGCTGGAGGGATGAGTAATTCCTCCCGCCAAAAATGTTCGAAATTGGCCACAATTTCCAAAGCCATTTTTTTCGCACATGGTGGTCAATGAATAAATTTCATATTTTCTCTAATATTCCTACATCATACATGACACACAATTCTCACAACGCTGCGCCGTTAGACTTTTCAAGCGTATTTTGAATGCATGAAATTATTGGCGGCACCTTTGCTCAACAAACAAATTTTTAGAAACTTAAAGGGTACTCGCGGATGGGAAACATTAGGCAGGCATCCTTTTCTCCACGTCAAGATGTTACTGGCCAAGTTCGTCCGGCTGCTTCATGACAACAACTGGTTGTATTATGACTATGTCTTGCTTATATCGAGGCAACCACTCTTGGCTACAAGGAACATTTTCCAAAGGGGCGTTTATCTTCTCTTAGGGGTTGATGTGAACATCATAGTAACCTGTATCACTCTGGGAATAAGTGGATGTACACTTAATACGTTTAGATTCAACCTAAGAACCAAGTAGAAACAATCCTGGATGCCAAGCTGTAAATGCGTATTTCTTAAAAGACTGAAGGTAAACAAAACAAACAACAATCGTTTGGTTATTTTGTTGTTGTTTGACGTATATGTAAACAGGAAAAAAAGTGCCCACATATGCACACTGAGAGGGCTAACTTCAGCTGGCAGTCGCTTACTCTCCACAGAAGACAAAAAGCAACTGAGTGACTATGCTGGTTCTCTTTCTCTTTGTAGTTCCACAATCTTACGGTCCAGTTTTTAGCTCTTTTCTGATGTAAGAATTAAAGAAAAAGTGCGACTACAAAGGATAGTGTGATGGTTTCGAGCCCCCCCCCCCGCACATTCAGTCCCATTTCTAATCCATAACATTCAAGTTGCATGAGATTGGATCACACCTCTTTAAAATAAAAAAAACATAGGGCTACAAACTGTTGACAGAGTCGAAGGATTAGTTGTAAAAATATATGGAAACATCGATGAAGGATTGCTAAAGGCCTATAGAGATCATTATGATACTGTGGTAAAGCCTCGTATTATTGTAACGATGATTATTCCACGGAGTTGGACTTCTTTATGTCAACAGAGGGCGCGATTTCGTTCCTCGATTACATTATGGTACCCAGACTTCAATCTAGCTGTGCTTAGCTTACGTTAGCATTTGGAAATGGGTTCCCCGACTAATCTTGGAAAAAGAATAATCTTTGTTCTGACATTGTGTGACTGTGATTGTGACAATCAGTCTTTTTCTTGATGACCCAATTCTTAACATCGAAACACCAATGTTTCTTTGAAAACCAGTCTTTTGGATTCACTGTATGGTGAGAATACAAATCTAAAGTAAATGATTTTTGGTAGGCCGCTGTTTGAAATTAAAGATCAATCACATGACTGTCTTGAGTCATTTCAGTTTCAATTTTTGTGACCTACGGTTAGGCTAGGCCTAAGTTCATGAAGTTGGGCATGCTAGGTCTATTATTTAAAACAATCTATAGATAAAACCTAAATAAAGATTGCTACTGACATTGGAAAAGTTCCATGTACGGATGCCACCCGACACCCTGTGCACAAACCCTATGCGTGCCATAATGAGACGGTTTACAGTCACTTCGCCCCATTTCCTCGTCGCCCAGGCCGCAACAAATTGCTTGTCCGATAGCCTGGGACAATCAAATTTTCTTTTGGGCGATTAAAATTCTAACACACAAACAACATGTAGTTATTATAGAAAACTCTACGGCATTCACTACGGTAATGTCGACTGCGTTGTCCATTAGGGGTAATTAATACATAGGCCTACATGTATGGTTGGACTAGCATCGGGGTTATTTCTCATCCTATTCAAGTTTATTTCAAATAGACAAAATACTAAGAATTAATGTAAAGAAATCTTGCAATATTGATTTTTTTCGATGCGTGATGGATCATGTACATGTACGGTCGCTGTGGCATTAGACTGGTTGCCACTCCAGTTGTTGTGTAATGAAGACTAGCATCCAACCTGGGCTACATGTACATCTTTGTCAATCTCCCTAGTCCTGCTGGTGGAGAATTAAGGAGGAATTTCAGTAAGAGTTCAACACACACACGAACATCACTTATTTTCCCTTGCAGTAGTTTATAAGCCATCAGAAGGTGATAACCAAAAAAGTCCAATTTAGCAGTGAAAATCTTGAAAAAAATTAGGCTCATACATGTAGGGTTTGTGCATGCCCAGGGTGTCAAGTGATGAAGTATATATGGAACTCTTTCCAGAATGCCTACCAAACATGCCAAATACTCAAGGCCCAAGGTCATGAATGTGAAGTTTGTAGGGACTAGGACCTGGGCTAGGCAAGATGTCAGACATACAACGTACATACATCTGTACATGTAGACACGTACATGTTTGGGTTCTGGTGTTAACAGTCTGTAGCCCTGTTACTTGCAGAACTTCAAGGCACCACTCCATGTGACTTGGGGCTCCTTTGACTTTTTGTGGGTATGTAATACGGTGGGTTTCTTAATGCAGCCCTGTTATGTCCAGTAGGGTTCAATTTTTGTTTGAAAAAATTGTCTTTCTTAATCAGATTTTCCTTTAAAAAGCCCTAAAAAGTGAATGCATATCATATAACTCCAATGACCCATGGGTTTAGGACCGTGTGACAAATTCTCCCGTGCGACTGGTAACGTATTACTTTTAAAAATCAGAGCTTTACTCACCAGCCTGCCATTCTCCTGACGTAAATGATCCAAACGCTTTGCACACTTTTCTTGCATCACACTCTGCTGATGCGTTGGATTGATGGTCAACCTTGACTCTTACAGGCTGCGTGCAGTGTGCACGTTCCTTCATTGAGATCACATACATGTATACTTGTACATGTAAGGCAAGGTGCAAACCAACATGGTACAGCAAGATCATACCTGTATTCATGGAAACGAGGTTGGTCAGACTGGTGCATATATCATTTGTGAAAGTTGGGGATGGAATCTTGTTCTTATTGCGGAACTGTCCTTAACTGCTGTAAACACACGGTTCTAATGTTAAAGTGTGTGGATAAATCGGCAGGAATCACTTCCCTTGTCAGCTTTTTTAGTGCACAGCATCCTGTGTGCGCCCGGCAAGACACACACAGGACAGTTGCGCAGTGAAAACAAGACTCCATTTTCCCCACTTCCAAAAGTGGTCAAACCGATATACGTGTACAACGGTCAGCCATCAACCTGATGCATGTGCACTGTGTGATGCATGCGAAATGTGCGAAGTGTTTGGATCCTTTTTGTCAGAGAATGAGAGGTTGGTGAGTAAAAGCTCTGAACTTTTTCAAGAAATAGTCAGTCACATGGAGTCAAATAGATATATGCATTAGTTTTGACAGCTTTTTGGGGGAAGGTTTGATTGAGAAAGTGGATTGTTTTAAAACACGAATGTAACCCAATTTGACATAATAGGGCTACATTCAAAAACCTGTAAGGTTAAGAACCCATAAAAGTCATAGGTCACACAGAGTAGTATCAACTCAGCATTCTGGCCAGGATGCCCTGGCCGTCCTAGGGAGAGCTAAAACCCACCAGCCCTTCTCAGAACCACGCCTCTTCTGAAGAGATAGATTCCATACAGCTCACGTAACTTCCACCATGCAAAGCTTTGGAGCTTTCTCACAGTAGTCACACAAAATAATGGGCTTTATCGCAGATTTTGCTTTGAAGATACTGCTTTTTGTTGTGGCCAAAAGGACTTATGGGAATTGAAAAGGATCAGATGTCAAACCTGTTTCATTCCTGTTTGGCAGACGGAATGCCACAAGTGTGTACATTGCATGGATAGGTCACAAGTACATGCATTGTGGGCTCTAACTACATGTATGGTGTATTAAACCTGCCATGATCACAAGGCCTGACTGTTGTAACAATATCCAAAGTCATTTGAAGCTTTTATGCAAAATCTTTTGAGTAGTGTTTGTGATAAAGTCTGTTGCAGAACAGCCCTCCACTTCAATGTATATCCCACTTTGGCTTGTAGCTGGTTTGATATGTACCGGTACCGGTATGTACACATTCTGTATATATGTACAGTAGTTTGGTATACTGTTCTCACTGTGCTCTGACTAATAGTATCCACAGAGCTGGCAACAGAGTACTCAAAACTCCTGCGGTTTTGACCTGCTTCCTTCTTAATGCACCCTAAGGCGGTAGCCACACATGTGTACATGTAGCCAGCCACAGAATACTCTCTCAAGACCAAATCTACTGGACCAGTTGTGCCTGCTAAATCAGGTGACCTACAGCAGGTATCATGGTGTCCTCCCATAACAAAGTGTGTTTGAAGTGCTGTTTTCCAAAATAAAAACAGATTTTTCGGTATACAGCAGTACTCAGCACATCAGTAGTCTGAATATTGTACCCACTGTCGGCTTTATTTTGAGTCAGTGACACTTATGATTCACTGCTGTTGGAGGATGCCGTGTTTGTTGATGTTTTGTACTCGCTATACATGTACATGTAAGTCACATGACTAGCATGCACAGTTGGTGTCACTTCATTTGTTTATAATTTACAAATGTCTTCAAATCAAACTGTTGATGATGAAATAATGATTTCTTGGTTCATTCATTTTCAACTTAAGGTTACTTCTCAAAGGACCTACATTAAACATAATAGCATATGAGACATGGACAACAGCAGTGTGCCCTCCCTCCAGCAACAGGACTTGCTGGTATCCAGCAATCCGATTCCCAGATCAGTCAAAGACAGAGCCCTACAGACTCTCCCCCAGGGGCTGAGGTACTGCGTGTGGATGGAGAGAGATGTGGGCGGGGCAGGGATGACCATGAGGAAGGGCATCGTTGCCTCCCAGGAGTTCCGGGCCGGGGTCTGGTTTGGCCCTTTTGAGGGTTCGGTTGTCCTTCCCTCTGCAGGCAGAGTGCAAGGCCAAGACATGTGGGAGGTAATTACAAAGTCTGAGCCTGAGACAACTCAAAGCTTAAACTCACTGGCAAGTTGGTTTCTAGTTCTAGTCTTTCCTTGAATTGTTGGAATGATTAAAAAGTTGAGTGATTCTGCAACCCTCTAAATTGCAGTTGGAAGTGATTTGTTGAAGGTGGAATGTTCTGTTTGAAATTCTTAAGTGTTCGTAAAGGACTACATGTATTATGTCACTCTCTGCTGGCCTTTTCTTTGAAGCAGTTATCAAAGTTGCAACTGAAGTTGTACCTATCATTTAGACCGCACTAGACAAAGGTTTTTCATCATCAAATTGATGTGACTTTTGTCTTTTTGTTTCACTGGACTAATAACTTCATGTTCTTATCGGTACTTTTGAGCTTTGCTCTCAACAAAATGCTTCTTTTAATAATCACAGTTGGCAGTATTCAGTCTTCTCATATCAGTAGTTCCATGTTCAAATGCACATAAAAAAAATGTGTTGAAACAGTTTTATAACTGTGTATGGTAGCACAGTTTGCTCATCTGTAATCTGGAATGGCCTTATTGTAATGGTTTGTAACTCCTAATCATAGGGTCAGAGGCTTAAATCCAGCAATGGGCGTACACGTACATGTACTTGTATGTTATGGACTTCAATTTGCCGCTCTCCCCTCAAGAATGTACTGGGTAACAATGAAGCCAGTGTTTGATCAGTCACTTTTACCTGATAGGACATCAAGCTGTTTGTACAGAGTATGTACTCCAAAGATTGTTTAAGATGGTATCAAAGCATAGTGCCTTTAGCACTACCGGTAGATGCTGAATATGTGCATTTTACAGATAGTTTTTTCCTTTCTTCCAACCTTTCTATAGATTCACTGCAGCGGCAAGCTCTGTCATTACCTAGACAGCAGTGATGAGGAAGTAGCCAATTGGATGGGCTACGTCAGCTGTTGTAAAGAGGCTAGCACCAACACCAACCTCTTGGCCTATCAGCACCAAGGCGCCATCTATTACCACAGTTTTGCAGTAATCAACCCTGGGGAGGAACTCGTGGTCTGCCTTCAGCATTTCAAATTAGAAGAAGGCCCCAGTGGCTTGCAAGGTGAAATATACAGAGTTGGCCAGTTTTATCGTTCATTCCCCAAAGATGTATTTTGTTTTGATATCCAAGCTACATGTACATGTTCAAATTTCTTTGTAAATTATCAAAAATTCTTCAGTTTTGTGGACATGAAAATCAAGACACCTTCAATTAGTATGCAATAGAAATTCCGTCCCACCTACAGTACCTTCTCAGTATGGCAATAATTACTTTTTTAGCCTGGGTTCAAAATTACATGATGCACCCTAAGTGTGATTCAGTATAAAGCAAGTGTTATCTTTTTTTCAACTTTAAACATTTGTTTTTTAATTTAGGACTTGTTCAGGCTGGTGTTGGAGGAAGTAGATATTTAATTTTGTAAATTGGGAGAGAGAATTCCCAAAACTAATTAAATGAAATTTAACACAAAAAGGTATCACACTGTATCTGCCAAGTGTTACACCCAGTAGGCTCCAGAAATGGTCCTTACAGGTGTATCATTGAAACACCGTTGACCCTGTAATAAAATAGTGAACACAAATCAAGGTCAGCAGCAATGATGTAACTTTCTGCTGATTGGCTCGCTGGTGGGTGAACAATGAGCCCACATCCTGCCCCTTGCTGACGTGCCAAATTTCGGAGAGTCCATCATTTACATGTAGGGATAACAGAAAGTGGATAATATGGAACTTGAAAAATGCAGTGGGAGAAAAATGAAAAAAATAGTAATAATAATGATGATAATAATAATTAAGATAATAAGAGGGGACTCTTTTCCTATCTCTACACAAAATTGTTGCATTGATCAAACAATCAACATTTGTTGTCCTTTCCCAATGGTTGTTATTTAGATCAACCTCACATGTGCAGTGTGTGTCGATGTGCTCACCTGAGCCAAACGCTCCCTGCCGTGCGCTACCACCATGCAGAGCTCCCCAGAAGAAAATTAAGTCGGCAAGCGAAGGTGGCTGCATCGCCAGCCACAGCGGCCACCAAGAGGCTAGCTCTCAACAGCAAGATCGACAAGCTACGGCAGAAGCTGAAATCAGAGACAGACAAGGATTACAGCTCAGCCAGTGTGCGCGCCTTCAACTTTAAAACTCTGCCTGACCGATTCACCTCTGGCAGCAGCAGTTCATACGACAGCACATCAAGTTGTGGTGCAAATGAGCAAGCAGATCAACAAGAAACAGATCCTCCGCCATCTTGCAGAAGGAAATGTTCTAAAACAAAAGATGAGCCCAGTACTGTTGGGGACAGCAGCTCAGACCCAGCACATGATTCAGAACCGTGCACAGAGTCGCCAGTGTTGCCGTACATTCCAGCGAAAATGCAGAGGACATCCAGACCAAGCACGGTTGATAGCAGGAACAGTACATCCAAGGCAGAAGATTCTCTCAACAGTCCCAGCAGGGGTGACAGGAAGGCTGTGCCGTCCCTCGCTGGTTTGCTATCAACTCCGTCCAGTCTGGTTTGCCCAAGAACCACAGAAATGTGTGCCGGGACATCGGCCCCAGTGGTGACTGACTCACCAGACACATCCACTGCTGAGGGTGCTGGTGAGACAAGTAGTCAAGCCCAGGAGACAAAGCCCTATTATGGTAAAATGGTGCTGGAGTCTGCCTTCCTCAAAGAGAAATGTAAGACACTGCTGACGAGAATAGAAAAGCTCCTGCCAAACCGACGATTTTTCTGCCTTTATTGTGGATGGAGGTTCAGGGATCTGTACCACTTCATCAAGCATAAGCGGAGGCATATGAAGCGTTACCGGAGAGTGAAAGGGAGTGGTGTGTGTAAGGAAATGGGCAGTGTGGATGGGAATACGCTGAAATTGAACAAGGATTCGTCATTGTTTGTCTGTTCAGTCTGCAATCGGTCGTTCAAGGAGATTCACAAGATGAAGGTTCACGAGCGATCACATACTAACCATACGTGCCACTTCTGTGGCAGAATGTTTGGATCAAGCACTGCGCGCATCGTCCATGAGCGTGTCCACATTGGGGAATGCCCTTACCCGTGTGACGAATGCCCCAAAGCGTTTCACACCAGCTACATGCGAACACGACACAAACAGCAGTGCCATACCAATGAGTGGTTGTACAAGTGCAAGTTCTGCAACAAGAAGTTTAAAGTCAGGAATGCTATGACCACGCACATGAAAACTCACACCCAAGAGAAAAACCTTCCTTGCCCAGTCTGTGGGAAACACTTCGGACTGCCTCGGGATTTACTCAGGCACGTGAAAACCCATACGGATGAGCGGCCGTTCCAGTGCGAGTACTGCCAGAAGCGCTACAAACAGAAGTCCACGCTCACCACTCACATACAGAAACATTTTACGGGGGACTTTACCTGTCAGTACTGCCCACTGAAGTTTAGGACGATGCAAGCACATGCAAGGCACGAGAGCGTCCACACTGGGGTCAAACCCGTGTTCAAGAGGGTGGAGAAACCATTCCCCTGCAGGTACTGTGATCGTGTCTTCCCTAGGAATGTGAAGAGGAAGGTGCATGAGCGAGTGCATACGGGTGAGCTGCCTTTCCAGTGTGAGCTGTGTGAGCGAGCCTATTCCAGCAAGAAGGGACTGGAGAGCCACATGAGAACGCATTCCGATGAGCGGCCGTATCCCTGCCATGTTTGTGGAAAGAGCTTCAAGGAGCGCAACACACTCAAATGCCACATGCGAATCCACACAGGAGTGCGCCCATTCAAGTGCGAGCAATGCGACAAGACATTCCGGGTGAGCGATGCACTCAAGAAGCACCGTCGGTCACACAGTGACGAGCGTGCGTACAAGTGCCAGCAGTGCGAGAAGGCCTTCAAGCAGCTCTCTGCTCTCCGAAAGCATGAGCGCTGGCACCTGGGTCTTCGGCCACACATCTGCGACGTCTGTGGTCGTGACTTCGTGGACCGCTACCGCCTGCGCATCCACCAGAGCATCCACCTGGAGGTGCGGCCACACAAGTGCAACATGTGCGACAAGAGCTTCACTGAGGCCTGCCGACTGAAGCGACACTTACGGGAACACGAAAACCGCCGGGAATTCGGCTGTGAGACCTGCGGCAAGAAGTTCAACTTCAAGGACCAGCTGGAGACTCACATCAAGACCCACAGCGAGGAGAGACCCTTCCAGTGCCAGAGCTGCCCCAAGTGCTTCAAGAACAGCAGTGCTCTCCATCGCCACAAGCGTGTCCATTCTGACCAGACTTTCAACTGTCCCGTCTGCAACAAGGCGTTCAAGTTCATGAAATCACTCAGGAAGCATGCTCTGCAACACATTGGGAAGGACTTGATGTCATATGCGATGACATCAAGTCTGGCGGATCTCTGTGGTATAATACCCCAAAACTCAGAGTCCACTACTGGCAACGAAGCCTCCATATTAGTCAGTGAAACTCAGCTTGACAGCAGCAATGATGGCAGTACGGAGACGGCTATGTACACCAATCATTTTACCCACCATAGCACCGGCAGGCAGGCAGACATGGACCGGATGTACCCAAAGAGTCTTGGGATGTATCCAGATGAGTCACAGGCAAGTGAATCTGATCAGAGCACCATTATAGATGAGAAGGAGCCAGACCCTGAAAGCCCAAAAGGTCTTCTTCCAATCTCTCCTCTCACTGCTGTCAAAGTGGAGAGGTTTTCTGAAGACAAGTAGGCTGGTTCACCTCTAAACTATCTAGTCTGTCACATAAGTCAGGATTACTTCCAGCTGTAATTCATGTGTGCTCACAGCTGCACTCGAGTCCACTATAGGAAGGATTCATTCATAACTGAACTCGTCAACTCAGGCTTGTCAACTCAGAAAGTCCATTTGGAACATTTGAAAGCTGTCAATCTTGCCAGGTACAATGTACAGTGCCTATTAGAATGGGCACTGTGCAAAGTAAAGGAGGTCCTCCCAAACAGGTAGTGTCTTCAGTAGATGTACACAGTATGTACATGGGTCATTCTCTGAATTTGAGGTTCACTGTGACCTTTTTTTTGTCTTGGCCTGTGTAACTTGATAATCACTGAAATTGACTTCAAAGTATGTTTCTTTGACAGGTATTTTGCACAACTTCAACACTCTTGGCAATTTAAAAACAAAATCATACACCCCTGGATGTAACAGGGACGGGAAAAAATGAATGGACCACAAATTTATAGAATGACCCCTATTCTGAAGTGCTGCACTCATTTGTCTGAAACAAAGTACAACTCATAGACATGCTGTTAATTGACTACAACTGAAGCCCCAATTGTATACCATGTAGGAATGATACATTGTATTTTCACTTATACATGTTCCTGTATTTGTAGTGTGATGGACTTGTAGATAAGTATTTAATGTATTTTATAAGGTGTGTTGTATCGGGTGTCTCCAATTTGTTTTAATCTGTTTGTATGAATTTATATGTGTAAATAGTATCCCATATCTTACGGAGTCATCAATGAAACATCTCAACCAAGGTATGATTTTGTACAAAAGACCAAGTTTGAGGCTTGGGACAGTCAGTATTCACATTTTAATATATTTGAACAAGCTGTATTGATGTAATTCTGTATCTTGCCTCAATTAAGAATGGGCATTTTGTCAGTTTGAGTAACAACATGCACCCAACAAGATCAGAATAAGTTATTTGCAATTTGTGATGGGAAAACTTTAACCCCTTCGTACCAGTAACTCTTTTGACCGTGACTGCTGGGCTGCGGTATGCCCTGAGTGGAGGGCTTTGTCCATCAGCAGGCCCCACTGAACCAGCAGCTGCATGGTGAATAGACTGTATGTGTGGTATGCACTAATCCTCACACAAAGCCACGGCTCTTGCTGCCTCTTGCTGTCTCCTAGAGCGAAGGGGTTAATTATGAGATGCGGGTGGAAATTGAATGGAACTCAAAACAGTATAATATTACAAGTATTTATTTTTAAATCTGCATCATAAATGCGATAACTTCACACGTAGTTGCAGGACCATGAACTTGCCAAAATGACCGAGGTTACACCTTGACAATTTTCTTTTCTTTCCTGTCCAAAAATAAAGTGCTTCAATATGTGTTACCTTAATCACTGCCAGTGTATTTTGTGCAATGGGCCTGGACACGTGACATGGAACTAAAAAGTCCTGTTGTTGCTAGCATTATGAATACAGTAAAAAGCAAACTCTCCAGTGGTCTACTTTCTGATTCAAGGTAACAAGAAATGAATGAGAAGACATGAAGTCTATGCAAACGCTGCCACTTTCAAAAGCTTGTGACACTCTGGTAAGCTCCTGAGAATTCGAGTGTGGAAAAGTTGTTTAGATCAGTTGGCATCAAGGAAATCGAGTGAAAAGCTCAAATTTTTTTTCCGTTCTGTTCTGATGTTTGACAGGGCATTCAGCATAAAAATTGACAGAATCTTTTTAACATATTAAAAATTTGCAAAAACGCACTTTTTCCGGCAGGAGATTTAAAATTTGTTTCGTAAAAAAACTTAATGAACACCCAAGAAAAATTAAGAAATTTAAGACAACGCAGTACGATGATAAAGACATTCATGTGCACTGCATAGGGGGTCTGGGATCCAACTGCCATGTTTACAAACAATAAGCCTGGAAATAGGTTCACTTTGTGTACTTGCCTATGGAGCCAGTGGGGGCCAACAGTCTAATAACCATGACTGAGAAGTGCACACGTAAACACTTTGTGATGTTACCAGTTCAGAGGTCTGTTCTTATTGATGTTACAGGGCACCAGCTAATTTCATTTTGCCAGGGAAACACTGACCATCATGAATGACCGGGGTGGTGGACAGTTCTGCCCCTACACTGCGATTTGCATCCACTTTCGTTGCACGTGGTACCAACTGAATGCTGGCCAAAGATCGTATAGTGCCGCAAAGCGGCACAAGATGGCTAACTTCACCGCGAATACACGTAAAACGTTGTAATCGCATAGCCGCCATGCGCAATGCGCAGGCGCAGGTGCAGCGGCAGGCATGTGCACCTGGTGAGCCTGTGCCCAAGCGTTACTGTAAACTGCGCAGGCGTATCGCTTGCTCAAATGACGCCCATGATAATTACATCTTTTGGGCAGAGTTATCCATCTTGCGCCGTCGGCGTTATACAATCTTTGATGCTGACACATTAAATGCTTGTCGGGAGAAAAGCGCTGACATGGATGTACAGTATCACATGTACATGTACCTGCATTTGCTTAGCTGTCCCACTTTCCCCAACAGTGTAACCACTCAAATATTGGCTACAGAAGACATTACATTGCAATGAGTTTTCTTCCATTTTGTATCACTAAGACTTGTAAAAAAAACCAATTTAAAAACCTGAATAAAAAAATATAAAAACCAAAAGTCAAATGATGTATCCAAATGGTGTATCCAACTGATAAGGTGCATGCAGTGTGAGGTATGGGTCATTCTGTGAGGTTGGGGCACAATTTGTGACAGTGTCCATTGTTACGTGGGTTCCGTAAAAGTGAATAGCTATTTCCCTGCATGTGGATTCCAAATTGACATTGTTATACATCTTGCGTACAAGAAGGCTGAATACAGAGGTGTGTGTTATTTTTACAGAGTAAATGACCTATTCTACAGGTCATGACAGGTGGTAAAAGTTATCCATGTAACAAGGACACTGTCACAAATTGTGCCCCAACCTCACGGAATGACCCACATACTTATAATATTTTTTATTGAAGAAAAGAGGGGGGGGGTACTGCTGACCTTTTTGCTCAGTGGCAAGGTCCCTAGCTGCTGAAGCATTTTACTGTCAATCTATTTCTATCTGTCTGAGAAGCAGACAGGAGCCAATTTGTCACCAGGGAGAACTCTGGAGAGTTCAACCACTTCCTTTTACCTTAGAAGATATCTTTTTTTTTCCACGCTTGAAAGTTACTTTCTGTAGCTTGCTGCTGATCACCACAAAGCATGCCGATGTACATCTATCCTTATGTTTTTAAATAAATCATGTGTAGAGCTAGTAGATTTGTGCATGTCATGTAATAAAATATAATGTAATCCATAATGAAAGTGATCCTTGGTAAAAATAAAAGTGTTTTATTATTTTGTGCAACCTGGCTTTACCATACAAGTAAGTCGGGGAATCCCGTTTTGAGCACCATGGGTTTATAAACGGAGCCAGGGTGCCCGAAATAGGACAAAAGAGCTGGTCCATGTAACAAAAGACCGTACGTGGAACAAAAGACCTCCTGCTGGGAATTGCCATCATTTTTCGGCTTACATTTTTCGAAAGTAATCCGTCACTGTTTTGAAACAGTATACCACTGTTTTGGGCACAGCGGGCCCGCGGATTACCACCATGGACAGTGCTCCAGGGCCCTACTGATTAATGACACAGCACCGCTGCATGCTAATACAGCCGCGTTTGAAAAGATGCCACTTGCATTCACTGGGGACAAAGGAAATTATGCAATGCCTCACAATTCTGGGCTCTCTTTACAGGGCAGTAGGCCTGGCTGAAATATTCAGGAGTCAATGAAGGTTACTTGTCAGCTTAGAGTAGCCACCTAACAGTCATTTGTGTGAGTGTTAACGTCCATTAAATGAAATGATGAATTTTTGAAGAATTTTGAAAACTGAAAATCTTGGAAATCTCTGGTACGTGTGCAGGGCATTTTTAAAAGCACCCGGCACCCAGGCTCTAGGGTCTTTGTTGATTGCATGGTCTGTAAGTTTTTGATGAGCTTTTCATCTGGGAGAATGGGTCAGATATTATCATTGTCTGAAGCACATGGTTGATTCAGACAACTTGGCACTTTGTAGTGCTTCCTCCAAAATACTCTCACTGGAGTTTTAACTGGAGGTTACCATCAAGTAGTAGTTCTTTCCCTGACGCAATGTTCTTCAAGACTGAGAAGGATCCTTTCTGATGGTACATTTTAATTCTGTACAGGTTCTTGCTGCAGGGTTAACATCAATGATGTCTGGTACCTTTTCCTGTTCTTTCTTCGCTGTGCTCTTTTCCTCAAGACAAAGCTAGCTTGATCCTTTCTCATGCTGCATCTGAATTCTCTGCTTTGTCAAAGTTCTCACTGCTGGACTGAAATCAACGATGTCTGGTACCTAGTCTCGTTTCTTCCCTCTCTCTTTCCTCTTCTGCATCTTGCCCAGTGCTCGGTACAGCTCCTGCTTTGCTTCCTTCTGACGCATGTCCCTCTGTGCTTCAATGCCTTTCATCTGTAACACAGAGAGTGAGTCCACATGTATAAATGTACTTATTGCTACAGAGTCTGCTCTGTTTACAGAATTGTATTTTTGCCATCAAGTGGTCGGTAACCACGAAATTTGTCGACCCAATGCACGTTTGGAAAGGGTCAACAAATTTCGCACGTTATGATTGGCCAACGTGTTGCAAACTCTTGGTGGCGCACTATTGTGAATCGCCCGAATTGATGAACTGAAACGATGATTAAATACTCTGTAATCAATGTGCATATTGCATAAGTGCAAATCTTGTGGCACCTGGGAGGCACTGCGTGCCTTTTACTTCTTGGATACAGTTGTTGCAAGTCTCCATGTCTATGGCTTTGCAATCAAGTGGAAGAAGGCCTACCTTCTGTCTGTGAAGATTGACTCTCTGTGCCATGGTCTGTCTTTCCTTCCGCTGTCTCTCCTTGTACAATGTGCTCAGTTGATGCATCAATGTTGCCACCTGGGATACAAAAGCCAATAGTTCCAAACACAAAACACTCTCTTAGTGGGTCATAAACTGAGCTATTCTCGCCTTTAGACAAGACGCACATGGCCTCCTGGATGCTGGTACAGGCAAAAAGACCAGTGCGAGTGGTGAAGCCGTGAGGGCCTTGACCATCTCATGGAGCCTATCAATATTTATTTCTTCAAGTTACATGAATCAAGAATTATATGCTTTGCTTACTTTAAAAGCACTGGGAACATGACCTTTGTATGTAGCACGCTAACGCTGCTGCATGTGAAGGGTTACAAATAATTTGAATGCCGCTGCTTCATGTGCTTTATATCGGTGCCCAACATGCACGTGCACAACTGTTCCTTAAATCATGATGACTATTTTGTGCACACGCAAACAAGTTTTGACGCAATTTCTATCCAATAAGAACTCAATGACACTGGCGTTCCCCTTAGGTATTGGTGTTCCCCAGTGCTGTATGAAGCAAACTCATTTTCTTTTCGAGCATGTGTGGCATCACATTCTCAACAGAACTGAGTAATTTTAAATATTATTGGTCAGTATCTACAACATGTAATGCATGACAATTTCTCAACTAAATCGGCAGAGAAATTTGAAGAGAAACACAAGCCTTTTCCACGAGATAGCAAGGCGCTTGTGGCTTTGCTGCTCACCATGCTGCTTTGCTGGTACGGTATGCACATTCAGATTTCGAAACCCAGGCAATCCTTCCTGCCTATGATGCACACTTTCAGATGCCTTACCTAGTGATGCTGCCTTAACCCCTTCGCACCGGGAAGCGGTAAGAGCCGCTGTAAAAATTGAGATCCTCAGCCCACTTTTCAGCAATTATTCTCGGCCCACGCTCGAGCAAACACGGTGAAAGAAGGCAGATCCTGGCTCTTGTATATATGGTGATTGGCCTTTGTGTGTAGCCCAGAAATGAAAAGACCGAATTTGCATCATGATCACCAGCTTCACAATAGTCCCCACTTTGAAAAGAGGCAACGGGAACGTGGAAGCGTGAATAGAGCCGCAAGCCACCAAACAATGAGTCCTTTCAGTGTGTAAATCAAAGCGTGCAGAGCACGCAGGGCCACAAACCGAGAATTTGCGGTTTGGAAAGTGGCTTTCGTGGCCAAGCGAGGCTGGAATTCTCAGAGTCGGCTTTCGGAGAAAAGTCCCGGCGTCAAGGGGTTAAGGCACATTTCAAGGCGAGTTGTGTGCAGCACATGTACCGAAAGAAAAACCATACCTTCTTTTCTTGTGGCTCAAGGACAACTGCCCGGAAGTTCTTGCCTCCACCGTGTTTTGGCTTCCTCTTTTTCTCTGACTTGGGCTTATCCTTGAAGGGCAACGCCCTCTGAAGTGACTTGGGCACACGCAGGGCATTGAAGTAGCGAGGCTTTCGCTCTACAGGCTGTCAGCAAAAAAATAATAAAATTTCAAATAATTCCTCAACAACAATTATTAGAAGTAGTCTTTCGCAAATCAACAGTCCAATTGAACTTTTCCTGTCAGCTATGATTTAATTACAGCTTACTGTAAACATTCCTCGGCTTAACTGTCACATCTGCTCTCACCTGGACTTTAAACCATCTGACATCTGTTTGCCACATACACATGTAGCCGGTAAAAACTCACACACTACAGCTGATGCCATGCAGGTAACCTTTGACCAAACTAGCCGTGTCTTGGATGCACCTCTCAATAAATAGCCCAATGCAGCTGATGCTTAATGGCCAAATGAATGTTTTTCAAATGCAAACTTTCTGACTTCATTTTTTTGGAGGGGAGGGGGATAAGTCTTGACACAGATTGAGTCTGCCGTTACCTTGTAGATGGAGTCCGGATTGCTGACTGCCTTGATGTTCTTGTCTTTCCTGAGTTGGCCCACGGTCCGCATCCCTGTCCAGGAATCCTTCTCATCCTTCGGTAGGAGTAGCGTTGTCACAGGATTGTAAAACTTGGGAATTTCAATTGGCAGCCACGTTCTCATAAACACGATATCTGCAAATGAGGGTAAAAAAATAGAGATGGAACATCTAAAAGAAATGCCTGGATCGGAATTGATGATCACATTTGTGCATTAATGTTGATACAGGTATATAAAAAGGAGCGTGCATTACTCTAAGATTACATTGCATGAATGTCAACCATTCATGTAATGCAATCTTGAAATAACCGAGGGATGCAAGAGAATACGTGTACTTCACGGCACACAGTCCTGCCATTTTTGAGCTCAGGTGTTATTCTTGTTGGCATGAGTAGCATGCTGTAATGCAGCCAAAGAATTCCTCCGGTGCTAGAAGTACAGTACATATCTGCTGAAACACAATTTTTTTCAAAGAAGAAATTATGGTAAACTCTGGCTAAGTCAGCACTTTCGGGACTCAAGAAACTATGACGACTTACGTGAATGCTGACTTGTGCTGTAAGTCGTCATTTTGCCGACTAGTACACGTACACATGTATTGCCTTCGTGTATGTACATTATGATTCCTTGCACTAATTCAATGGCTTTGATTTACCCTGGATTATTTCTACCTCCCTGGTCGATCCCAGTAAATTCATTCTCAATTATTATCCTCACAGGCTGCAAATTCGATAACTGATGTGCCCCTAAGGACAAAGCAAGGACGGCAAGCCACCTGCAAATCATATCATGACTTGACAGTGCAGTACATACATGTACGAGATACAGTTACGGTACAGAAAACATACACTCATCTGCACTCGCATTGGTTAAGTTTGTTCAATAAGGCAACCCCCAAAATGGACAGAGCACATGCATGTAGCACTAGAGGGGTTACTGGTATTGATGTACTCATGCTGGCTATTATCAACCACGGCCTGTGCCGCCAACAAACAGACATCAGTCAAGCAGAGTGGGGCTTGTCACTTGACACTTCTTGGCAACCGTGGCGAAAGAAACTAATACGAAGCACAATTTTTTTTTAATGCCGACTCACACAAAGGAATTTTGTGGTTTTGTGGAAAGGGGACCAAGAAAAACATGCCAACTTATACGAAATGACGACTTATAAATGCCGACCTAGAAATGAATTTTTCAATGGAAATGCATTACAGATGATCAGGACTTTTGTCAAAAGGCCGACTTAAGACGATGTGACGATGTGTCAGAGTTTACTGTTGCTGTATATGCTGAATAAATGCTTACCACTTCTGAGTAGTTTATCTTCAAACGTCGCCCTGAAAGCTCCCTCCGGTGTCCTCAATGCTTTCTTAATTTGGCCTCGGATTCCACTGACGGTGCGCACTGAAGCGCCCTCAAACCTTGCAACTTCCAGTGGGGTATTGAACATACCCTTAACAGATAAAACCAAAGTCTTAATGTCATGACTTACATTGCAATTTTACTCTAGATTTCACATTACAGAAGCGCAATCAGCATTTTTGACTCAGAATTGAAACTAACCTTGAAAAGAACCCCCCCAGCCCACCTCCATAATGTTGGATATTCTAGTGTTAAGCATGAACACTCTTGTGTCTCCGAACTCCAAAGCCACTATCAGAATGATTACGTCTCCCTTCAAACCTTCTGTATGCAACATTTCACCATCAATTTCCTCCCAGTTACTAGGGCAACGTGCATGACTGTAACTGACCTCAATTCAATGGCCCCAACTGACCCAGCAAATTACATGTATGTAGACATACACTGATTCGCCTGCAGATGCGTTGTTTGTGTCTTCCAACATTATTACTAAAAGGTCCGATTTTAACAGCGACAGTAATACTGCTCAGACTTGTCAAAGAAATCACAACTCAAAGCCTGTCAGAATGCAACCAACAGGGAACAAACAACCATGCAAGAATGCACAGTCTCAAGCTATTTGCCTCGAGCGAGAAGTGAGACTGGTTCAGTCCCACAGTAGCTGGACACATCTCCAGCAGCCCGCAAGTCATCCAGTTTCTAGGTAAGCCACAAGCTATTAAAAAAATTGAATCCTTTGCAAGGGGGTGGTATGAACTAGCGAAGGTTTGTAGTAGCACCATGTGGCTGTCTCTTTTGAGAAGATGTGAGGTTCTTAAAATAACTGTTGAGCTGAAACTCATCATTTGGATCAGTACACTCTGACTGACCTTTTTCCAAATGTATGAAAACATACAAAGACTGCACACCCCTCCCCAGCATATTTTGTACACTCATGATTAAGTGATGAAAAAAAATACAGCTACCAGCCAACACCTACCCCGATGAATGCGGTGTGCTTGTGGATCTTGATGGGTGTTCCTACCAGCTTCAGTTTCTTGACAACATTGAGAGACTTGTCCAAGTCTAGGATGACTCCAGTGGCAGCAATACGGAAACCCGGCTGTAACGACCCCCCACCAAAAAAAGAACAATTACTACTCTCTACCACTACAACAACTCTTGCAAATTTCCAGAAAAATAATTGTAATTGTTCTTTTAAAAACCTCTATGATTATCTTTTTTCTTGTAATGAATACTTTAAAGAGTTTGGTAAAGGAATCAAAATGGTCAGTTTGAAAGACAGAAATATTTGATAGAAGGTGCCCTGGGTATGAAACGCAAAGGGTAAAAACATGCAGGTGCTGTGCTAAGAATTTAACATCATCTTGCTATGATGAAAAAGGTCATACATTTCTGCCAGCTACCGACTGCACTGCCAGAACCCCTGTCCCTTGAGGAGTTATGGGACCTGAAATAAAACACAGGAATAGGAACGCGAAATTCCAACGTCAAGTTTTGTTAACTGAAACAAGTTTCTTCATTATATTTTAGTGAAGACCATTAACCTAAGCATTATCCCAGGTCATCAGTCCAACGTAACCTCTACTAATCAGGAAGAAATAGGACCGTGAGACCTTCTGTGAATGTACATTTCACCAAAAACATATCAGCAACAAAAACTTTGGTTCAATGTCCTAATTACAAAGGTCATGATGTTAAACAAAGTAAAGATGTTGTGTAGAAAGTAGAAACATTATAAAATGAAACAGCATTTCACACCACTACTTGGAAAAACACCTTAAAGTTCAAACGAATGAAAGCTATCAACTAGAAGATAATTTCCATTCTTCTTATTACACTTGGTCACTTGGGAGACATTCCCATAGGAACATGCGCAAAATTTTTCAAACTGTAACGTCCCATAATTCAATATTTCCTAATCCGATCTTAACCAAACTTTGTATGTTTTCCTTTCAGACCCTAATCTATCATCTCTCAAAATGTGGACAGTAAAAATTTTCCTCCTTTTGGTAGTTGGAGCATTAGGGAGACATTGAAATGTCTCCCTAATGACCGATGTCTCCCTAATGTTGAAAAATTTACCACAAAATGTCTCCCAAGTGACCTATTTGGAAATATTCAAATACTGTTTTTGTCTATAATCTTGACAACCTCACCCCATATGCAGGCGGTGCAATGCAGATGTGCAGGTGTATATTTGAGTAGTCTGGTCCTCATGTTGTGATCCTGCATGCAGTACAGTGGGATAGTCTGGAATCTACGCCAGCCCACCGAGAAGATGAGAGGGTCTCGGGTCTTGAGGATGCGACTATGCCACCTGTGTTTCTTGAGCCTCATCTGCAAAGTGAGATGAAGGTCAAGGGGCAAAGGATATAGGATTAGAAGGTGATAACTCCCATCAAAAAAATTGGACAATGTGTCCCAGAGTTACATAGTATCGCAAAGTCAGGCTGTTTCTGAATCAACTTGCTCCGACACCGGGGCTGAATTATCCAATCTAGGTACAGTAGGCACTGTTCTAAGAGCCAACAAAACTTGGGGCCTACAAAAATATGGAGGGCCTACGAATATACCACTGTGGCCCACAAAACACCCGATTGACTTTTTTCTAAGGGGATGGAGCAGACCCCAACCCTGCCCACATGTCAACCTGCTGCAACTTTGACCCCACCAGAAAGCCTAGTTTCATCTCACCTGAACATAGCCAATGCTGTCCTCACTGCTCAATAGGCCACCGAGAATGACGGGGTACGTTGGGTTAAAGTTGGTTACAAATTCACAGGGAACACCAGAGACCTAGACATGACACAAAGTATGATTCACATTTAGGGTCTATTTGGGAAGTTTATATGCTAACATTTAACCATTGGTGTGTGACTAAATTTAAAGTTTTTGGTGCTTTCAAACCTTTCACTTACACAGTGATTTAGAATGTGTTATGTTTATACCTGCAGATAATTCCAATATGTCCCAACGTAATAAAAGGGTCAAAAGTTGCACAGGTGAAAGGGTCTTTTAAATAACCTCACACAATGGGTATCAACAGGAGCCCTCAACAATTTTAAGCCATGAAATGTTCATTTTCATCAGGATGCCAGACTGAGTGATACATCAAAACAAACAGCTTAGTTTGCTGTTTCTAATACAAACTAAAACAAATTACTAAAACAGTGGCCTTACGACTCGTTTTCAAGAACCATTTTTCAGCAAGATGAGTCATTTCTACCAAGTTTATACAACTAGCAAATTTGGCAGAAAAGTAGAGTTTAGCAGATAATTGAAGAAACATTGAATACCACTTGAATTTTAAACAAAGGACCAAGTTGCTCTGAAGTAATGGCCAAGACTGCTCGTGCATAATGAAGTTCGCACATTGGGTTTCTTTGGAACAAGTCAATAGTGCTGTATTGTTCTGTTTTAATATTTCACTTCTTTAACCATCCACGTCATTCAACAACACAATACCAAAAAAGACAAGTTGCTCAAAAGACCACAGAGAAACATGGAAAGCAGAAGTTTGATCAAAAATTCATACCTCAACCCTCACATACAGTCCTGGTCTGAAACCCTCATATTGCGTCCTGAGTTCATCATCAAGATCTTCAAACTCGGCCCGGTTCAGCTAAAAAAAAAAAGAAGCAAAATGCTTCGACTGCATCATAACCGCTTGGGGTGCGAGTCATAACACGTCCAGTGTCATTCCAACCTCACAAGTGCAGAATAAGACAAAAAATACCAGAAACACCCTATGCATCTTTTATCAACTATTCCAGAAACACTGTAAAACAGGTAAACGTGTGTTATCCCACTTCTGGATTTCAGCACATTGGCAAAGTTCACTATAAAAAAATAACAGCCTGAGGGTATGCGCTAGCATGGGATAATTTGCATGGCACATGAACAAGTCCTGAGAGCTGTACAATGAGAGCTTTTTCTTGATAATCACACCTGGCTGGCAGAGTTGTAGTAGAGTCCTTCCCAAGTACCAAGTTTATTCTTGGATGTTATTAAAGATGATTTGGCAGGAGCAATACTGTATAATACAGATGCAAATTCCAAATGAAATTGAAGACCTCGGACAAATTGAATCTAAAATGAACTGAGTTTTTAAGAAAGGTTTTTGGAAAGTACTCATGGACTTTTTTTCCAAAGTATTTTCAAGCCCTTTTTCCAAAAGTTTGATTAAAAAGTATTTCATGTATCTGAAGTCCCAAGTTTTGTTACTCCTGTTAGTCAACTGTCAATGTTTCTTTTGCTTTCAGCACAATCAGGTCAAAATTAGGTCGTTAACAGACTTGCAAAGTACTTGACTACAACCCTTCCGAGAGTGCTTTGTCATATCAGTAATATCTTTCAGCTGGTTAGGGCTTCAGAAACCCAGATGACAATATCTGGAGTGATACGATTATGAAACACAAACCAACTAGCCTCATTTTGTACAGTAATGCTTGCTACCGGTAGGTTGTCTCAGTCCTTTGAGTAATCACAGTACCTTCTTATAGTCACCTTTGACCCCATACGAGAGCATGCAGACGTGATCTACTGCCCTGTCAGTCAATATATAAGTGTACTATTGTCCTCGTTGCCAGTCAATATGTGTATATGGACCCCTTTAATATTCTACCTGTGCCTGGTCCGCCATTTGGGCCTTGAGGTCATCAAAGTAGTCCCCATCCCCCTTTCCGTCATAGTCCAGGTCAAATGCTTGCTTTAGTTTCCTCTTCTTCTCCAGGCGTTGCTCCCGCTCACTCTTCTCTCTCTCTTCCTCGGCCTTCATCTTTGTGACTTGGTCGTCATCCTCACTATCGTCATGGCTTCCATCCCCAGAGTCTGCTTCTGCCTGGTGTGTGCTGCCTTGGTGAACCTCACCGGTTTCCAAGTCTTCAAAGTCACCGTAGAGTTCATCTGATAATGAACAAATGGAGAGAGCTTTTTTCTACATAGTCCTCTGACATTTCAAGGCTGCCACAAAACCAAACAGTCTGAGAAATCACACTAGAAAACATTGCCAAAACTTTTTTAACATGATCAAAATAAACTGTTTCAGACAAAGTCTCTTCAGTTCTGCCCTATGTGATCTCGCTACCCATCATAATCTGCACCCAGGTTCTGCCGTATCTTGTTAGATTCAAGACTGTTACAGCCTGGCATGTGGGGCTTCATGTCCTCTTCTCCTGCTCTCCTACTAAACATCCACCAAATCACTTTCAAAACTTGCATGCAAGTTAAACTGGCCGGCATAAGGAGGGTAGTGGAAGAAAGATTGGGCCATTGGGTTTGGTACACAGCACTGGAGTTTACTGAATTCCAGCGGCTTCAGGAGTATCTGAGTATATACCGTCTTGATCCAGAAGCATTTTCGCGTCTTCTTCCTTCTCCCACTGTCCAGTCACAAAACAGTCACGGATAAGCTCCTTAACCTGGTGAAGAAAAGTAGAACCACATCTACAATACAGATGTTTACATGGACATTTTTCAGGACGTTCTGGAATGTGATACTTGTATCACAAAGTAACATTTGTATTTTGCAAGTCATCTTGGGCAACCCTCTGGCTCTTGGACTCGGTAGCAGAAATTGTGTAATTTAACTTCAAACCTTTTGTGCATTCCCATCTTTGTCCAGGTTTTCTGTTTGCATATTCAACCTTTGAAACACCACCAAAACCTCTCCGTGAAGTCCCTGCTGGTGATATTCTCTCCAGCTGACTCCACTTTGTCCACAATGTTCCGTGCGTATTGTACTTCCAAGTCTTGTCCCTACCTCTTCAATGGTCCAGTCTCGGACGTGTTCCACTGGGAATGCAGAGCAGTCTTGGTTGTTCATCTCTCGTCTCTTTTTGCTCTTGGAGTCCTTGTCCGGCCTGCTCACCTTGAAGAGACCTCCCAAATTATCATCCTCATCACCTTCATCACCCTCATCATCCTGGCTAACGCCTGTAACAGTTTGACAATAAAGTATCCCTTGCAGTTCTTTATTGAATTGATGTACAAACGCAAAAGCTGCCATTCTAAAGACTTGCACTTTATTGATACAGTCATGCACACCATTAGAAAGCTTTTCCTTGACTTCATACCTGGCCAATCGGAAGACTTTTCAAATGGCATCTCAAATTCTAAAAATTATGATCCTAAACATACAAGTAAGATTGCCTACATGACATACCACTTCCATAGACAAGCTTGCGAAGGTTGGGTATGCTGTTCTGCTGTCTCAAAAATGACTGCGATGCCTTCTGAAGTAAGTTCTCCTTCCACTTCAGATGACCTGAATAACAAATGTAAGGTCTATGCTATGGACTCTGCACAGACACTGTTAACCCCAACAGCATTCAATTCTCCAACTATTGGAGGACGGCTGAAAATCTGAAAAAGTTAAGATACATCGGCTGACTTTTCAAATACAGCTAAACGACACAAATATTATATTTATCATTGAAACCTCATAACTAGCAATGCTCCAAGGCACCACCATAGACCAACATTTGCTGCAATGTACAAGACAAGCCACGTCTCTAGAGACTTATCAGATATGTACGTACAAAAGAAATGAGAGATCAGAAGCATGTTGACATCCACAGTTGAAAGTTCAAGGAACGGTTGGCCTTTTTAGCCCATTAGCATCTCTTTTGAATGTACATGCAGACTTCCTGGTCATGTTTACACATCGTCTGTGGTGAACTGAGTAAGTACCCATGCAGTCAGGTCTACCCCTGCAAGCCCATCACAAGCCATCCCCTCTTAAGCCAATTCACAAGCTGCTCAAATGAACTCAGACAAAAGCATTATTTTGTTATAGTTCAACTGACTATTGTGATTTGGCCTATGACTGGGCTTGTGAAAGAACTTGTGACAGCCTCGGCTACCACCCTGCCATTAAGGCCCATACAAAGCCAACAAGAGTATCAAGTATCAGTGTTTGTAAAAACCAACAAAACATTTATATGAAATTCAGTTGAGTTTGGCTCTCACCAGACCCAAACATGGACTCCTCTCCTTCCTCGGCACTAGCTTGGCCATCACTCGCCTCCTCTTGTCCTCCATAATTCTCCTCATGGTCGTCCTCATCATATTCCTCGTCAATGCCATCTCCATCATTATCATCTTCCTCTTCATCTTGATCACTCATTACTTCTGATGGAGCATCTCCTTTCTGTTTTGCTTTCATTATAGTTTCACCATCTGGGCGGTCATCTTTGATTTGGTACTTCCGAACTTCTGACCGTTTAGTTCTCTCCTTCTTGTCATGAGATTCTGGAGAGAGTTTGTTTTTTTCTGTCTTGGTGGTTTGGGAATTGATGGTGGAGCTGCACTTGATGCTAGTTCTGAAAAGTTGTATGTCTGAGTCAATGTCATCTTGATCACTAACATCGTCTTCTGCTTTTTTGTCATCATCTTCACTTTGATTGTCACTTTCGTCGTCCATGCTGTCTTCGTTATCATCTCCTGAATCATCGTCTTCATCATCATCTTCATCTTCTTCCTTTCTGCCTTCCTGTCTCATCTCTGCTGTTCTCCTATCTTCCTTCTTTGCATTCTTCATCCCTTTTTGCGATGAGACGTCCAATCTAGGGGCTCTCCTGGACGAGGCCTCACTGCTCCTTGGTAGCACATCTCGAGGCAGTTCAAGCTCATCTTCACTATCAGCAAAGGCAACATCCTCAAAATCCTAAGAAATGAACGCAAACCCAACATCACAGAAGGTACTCCGTGTACACGTATTAAGAGAATCTTCTTTTATGATTTGTTCTGTAAGGGAAAATTTGCCTTTTAATACCTGTATACAATGATCACTTGCCAAGAATCATTTTCTAAGAATTCTTCTTTGGAAAAGGCAGCATGATTACGTACTTGTCTGAACTTCTTCTTTCTTGGTTCTTGTGAACTCTGTTTGGAATCATACAAATGATGAGCATCTCCAATGTCATCGTCATCAGCATACTCATCTTCCTCAATTCCACTTTCTTCTTCGTCGTAATCCTTGAAAATAAACCATCAGTGGAGAGAAAATTGTATTTTCAAACCTAAGGTAACTCAGTCAATTATGATTTTTGAATGGTCAATGACACATTTGTTGAAAGGAGTGCTTCATTTATTCAATTTGTGATTAGCTAGTTATGTCATATGTAAACCAGAACTTCCACATGAATAGAATTGCGTCAAGAACATGTATACTGGACTCGGCAATATCCATTCCATAACTGCTGAAAGGGTGCTATTTCTGTGTGAAAACTAACAACACCAAAGGACTTGCTAATCGCCATTTAAAAGGCAAGCTATTACACAAAAAAACTTGCTTTGTGGTACCTCTTCTTCACTGTCCTCTTCCTCGTCACTTTCCTCTTCAAACACAGCCCGCCTCCTGGTGCGGCCGTCCTCAATTGCTATGACATCCTCTGTTGGCACAGCGACAAAGCGGGAATCACTGGTAACCTCATCTGACGTCATGGGTTCTGATCCCCGGAATAATGCCAACTTGCTGGCGGCCATCTTGGTATCCAGAGTATGTTGGGTGCTGATGAGGCTTGACACAAGCTCATTGGCTGGTTTATCCTCCTCCTGGTGATATGAATGTACATTAAGAATTTCATTTACATCAGGTTCCCTACCTATACAACAGACAAAATGTGAGGCAGTACTGTCGATGATAGAACTTGTTTAAGCATTTTATATGAACATCATTTCACAACACCAGCCCCTGATGTTAAATAACTTTCAATCCAGAAACTTGATTTGCATCAGTCAAATTTCAAATTCAGGTCAAATACCTCAAATACTAACCCTTAGAGCCATCACAATATTTGGACAATAATTCTATGTGTCACTCAATATTTTGAGCACACTGATGACAAAAGGCAGAGTGCACTGGCCAAGTCAACAACTCGTACACACATTCAGTCAACCTCTCCAGACCTGCCACGTGTGTCAGCACAACCAATTGGAACCATCAAAGCAGATAACATGCGTGCACATCACCCACTGCTGCCTATGTACACTGGCAAATCCCATTAAAAGGCAATCTGTACTGCTGTCAAGGAAAACCGTTAACATGGGTTTACACCTCCTCTGGTGAGATGTGGGTTAATGTTATCAGATGGCAAAGCATACACGAGCCACCAAGTTAAATGTTCTCAGATCTTCCTTTAGTTTGAAATCCTGCTCTCAATTCCTGGGGTCTTGACACGAACTCTGTCTCAGGCTTCAAATTGGCATGAAGCCCCTGACCTTGGAGATTCTAGGTCAACGTTTTATGAATGGGACATGCAGTCAAAGCTGGGAGTCTTTTCACTCGGTCGAAACACTGAAAGTCTATAAATCGTATATGAGATCAGAGATAATGACAGAAGACCAAGCAAAGCTTGCAGACGTCTTGGAATACGGCGGAATCAGCCTATCTTGACTTTCTATGTCAGGCTACTCAGCACTTCTTCAGTTCACTCCAGGACCTACTACATATTGAATTGTTAGTATCTCATGATTCGAGGCTCTCTTCAAATTTTGGGTCTAGGGACATTCGACGATGATTCTACATACGAACATTGCAAATGCCAAACTCTTGGAATTTGTGCAATTCAAAAATTTAATCTCTTCAATGGCAACCCCTGGTTCTCTTAGCGGACTCAGTGGGTTGTCTAGACCCTTCAGAGCTGACGTTATCCACAACAAGCGGAAATGGCTGCTAAATTAAGCACTGTTATTTTCCTATCATCAGATATGAGCCTAAAGTACCATACCAAACAGCCTAGCAAAAGAAAGACCTACTTGAGTGGTTGCACTATGGGGACGATTACTGCCCAAGTCGATGTATACAACATCTTTGTCGTAGATGATGCCTCCGACGCCAGACATTGGTGCATAGATCAAGCGTTCCTTCTCGTTGAGGGAGCGTTTCTTCTCCTTGTCTGGAAGCGGGCAGGGGTCAGGGAGGAAGGAGATGTCTTTGGTTGCAAAGTCACCGCAGCCTGAGAAATTAGAAGGAAATGAAATCTGACGTGATTCCTTTTCGTAGCTGGATGCTTTGGTTCTTCCTCCCAAAGTGATTTCTTTGCGAACCAAAGCTGAATCTATCAAAATGGAGCTGGTGTAACACAATTTACATGATCAGAAATGGACTGAGGGATTTTTCTATTACACATCAAGCAATACCAAATGACTGGAATCCTGCAATGAGTCAGTATTCCAATAAGGTTCAATATGCACGTGAGTTTGGCAATCAGTGAACTGATTCATGCACACTGAGCATGCATCAAACTGGCTGACATTCACATGTTCAGATTCAAGATGGCCAGTCCTCGAAGAAAAACCCAGCTGGCTTTACTGCAGGGCAACTGACCTCACTCCCCAAAAACTGGGACAGTAAAGAACATTCATCAGATGGGTAGAGACTGGAGATTCCGTACCTGGTACGTGTATGCTGCAACCCCTTTTCATTGGTGTCCCACGCATGTAGCCATATAAACTGACCGTTCGGTCACACTTGGAGTTCTGCCGACACAGCTCAGGATCAGTAAGATCTTCCATTCTGATGAGGGTGACAAGCCAGAATACAAATTTTGAAATTACTCTATGATTACAGCAATGGGCCTAAAACTCAATGAATGAGCAGAGAAAACTATCAACGTAGGCTGTGCCCAATTGACTCGGCCGTGGCTGGAAATAACACAGGAGTCTATGACAGCGGCTCTAGCCACAATCCACAATGCCATGTTTCATTTCAAACCTGAGACAATTCGAACATGGCCTTACAAAGGAATGACCCTTTTGAGCAGTTAACCTATCTGACCATAACAAAGAGTTAAATTTCTAATTGGTCTCTGCAGACTGCATGAATGTGTTTGATTCTGGACACTAAATAACATGACAAGCCTTCGGGACTGCTCAGTAGATAAACAAAATCAGCTGTGTCAAAGTAACGGCAAAGAAGAACTAATTTGATAGTCACACAAGAACACTCCACGAGTCTGTTTGGTCAAATACTATTCTGAAAAACACACCTATCTGCTAAGACATAGGGATGGGTGGTGCGCCAGACAAGTGGACGGAACTTCATAACTGAAATGAACCGGCCAAGGTTCAGAATCTCTCGGTTCTGGTAGTCTCCATGGACCATGCCAGACAAGTAGAAGAGCTTGGCACCCTACAAGAGACACAAATAGAGAGGTGGGTGTATTTAATAGTGAAGAGGGCATGCAGTCTATGCATCTCACAGTTTGACTGCATAAAGAACACGATTTTCATACTTTTAGGAGGACCAGATCCGGATGGTGACCCCTTGGAAGACTTAGCAACTGTAACAATCCTTCAATTTTAACATGTCTCTTCACCCGCTGTGGGCTAGCATTAGCGATCCATTTCTTGTTCAACAACCATGAAAGCAAGAAATCTAAAGGGGACATTTGTCAGATGGGGTCTCAGTTGACTTTAATGAAATCAAAGTACAAGTGTTGTAGTTGAATTTGTCACACCTCTTTGCAGGGAAAGCCAAGACACAAACCATTCAAATGAACTGTGATGAAAGCATTCCTTTGTCATTGCTCACCTGACACTCGTGTCTAGCCTTGTGAAGGGACTGTTGACTGAACTTGTATAAGGACTTGCAATAGATTGGACTACTGCTAAAAATGCATTTTAAGAAATCTTGATTGAGAGAAGGTTTCTGGGTACACCGTGTGGATTCAATCTCTCCTACAAGAGTGGTGGTTCTGAGAAGAATCGGTGAGAGTGTGAACTTGATGTTTCAAGTTTATCCTGGCATCTTTTCTTGGAAGATTCAACGAAACTGCGTAAACACTCTTGAGCTCACATGGCATGCCTCCAATAGCATACATGCGTGCATATCTCACTGAGTACGGTAAACAGAAACAACTTTTGCTGTCACAGTGAGTCAAATTTTCACAAAAATGGTATTAAAATGGGACATGAATACGTCGGTGAGATTATTCAACCTGATAGATCTCTGTCCAGAATCTGTGTTTGAGGCGTTTCTTGGTTTTCTGGAGTGCCTTGTTGTTCTTCATCTGGTCCAAGTGGGTCAAGACGCCCATGATGCGGGGGAATCCATGCACCTGGACAATGTTCAAAAACTCAAACGTCTCCATCTCAAAGCCAAAACTGGCATCCACCAGCAGTAGGACCTGCACAGATGCAGACAAAAATATGTACAATGAGTTGTGTGTGCATGTCAGCTGAGGGTCAGCCCAAGAGTAAAACGTACTACTGATCCAACAATTGGATTTTGCTGGAATGACAGGGAATTCCAGGGGTTGCTTTTATGGGTTTTAATGGGATCAGGTACATTTACTTACTTCTTTCCCTCATATAAACAGAAGTTAACATGGAGAAAATTAATAAGAATAAAAGTTACAACGTAACTTTTGATTTGCTCTTTGTAGGCAACCAATCAATGAGAATCATATACACAAACAAGCACACACTGGGTGTTTTGGACTTTGAGACACTTCAAAAGAAACAAAAACTCCCCCTTCCACAAAACCTGACCTCAGTTCAGGGCTAGGTTGACATAGCTTCTGTAAAGGCCAATACGGTATGGGTCCAGGAAGAACCACATGTACAATGTAATTTAAAACAGAAACATTTGTACATGCGCAAACATTTAGAAAGTTCAAGTGTAAATGTATGTATGTGGAAAAAGATTCACTTACTAGATCAGCAACCTTTGCTAGGTCTATCATGCAGCTGATGTCATTGTTGCACTCAATGAAGGTCAGTCGCCTCTTCTTTCCTGGGGAGAATAACAAAATAAGCAGGTCACGACCTTGTTAGGATCCACCACTTTTGCCTTGGTCTTGCATGCCTTGGTATGGCTTTGTCAGAATAAATACCTCTTTAAAACTCACACTATTACTGGCTTGGGGTAAAAGCTCTTGCATACAGTGACAACCCTTTGTGTCGATGGTTACAATTTCTTATTGAAGTTTAATCTACGTACATGCTGTAAAGTCCAATGACTTGTAATTATAAAAAAAGTACAGACAGGCCATCCTAGGATCACGATTCCAACTTTCATGGGTGTGTACCGTGTTGTGATGCAACTTTGACATAAAGAGGCAATGGGATCAGACAGCTTGGTAACTTCACATGTTGAGTTTTGTTTCAAGTCTTACGTTTTCTTTCACTGATATTTTTTAGCACAGGAGGGAGAGTATTGTTAAGGAAGAACCTGGCAGGAACTTGGCAACTTGCCAAAGCTCCTTCTTTTCATGAATCAGTCTTCATCAACCACACCTCTGGCTTTTACATCAAACTGGTTTTTTTTTTCTCTCATTTCGTTCAAATTAAGGTGAGGCATAAACTACACATACAATGAGAAATCATCTTTGTAAATGAAGCTACTTCTCACCTGAGACCACAGTAACTGGTCCTTGCACAGACGCAAGATTCTGCTTGGTAAAGTTCTTGACAAGGCATCGGATCAAGGTACTCTTGCCAACCTTAGGCGGACCCACGACGGCAATGACAATAGGCGGTGGCTCTAAGGGAGTCCTGTCTACCACCGGAATATGGTGCTTCTTGGTCTTGATATCTAAGGTCCTATCACAACCAATGACAGTATTGTTAACAATTGGAGAACTTTGAGAAGCTGGTGGCAACAGACATACCGGTCCTTTTTAACACTACTGCGAGTGCTCAGAGCAATGCACACACGCTCAGACCTGGTAAAAAGGACCGATATGTTTGCCGCCCCCAAGCATTTGAAAGTACGGTATACCATTGTCCACTATGATAGACATCCATATGAACCATTCAAGATCAATTTTAACTGAAAGCTTGTTTTAATTATTAAGAAAGTAAACAAGTTTTCTGTATCATCTTTATGGACACTGTTGGTTGTACAATGAACCAATCTGCCCTGAGTTGAAGTGCACCCCCCAAAACAAACACATTTGTAAGTTTTCCAAGCGGATTCTTGCACATGTTCTGCCTATACGCAAAGACCATACATTAAGGAATTTGTTACACGTACTCAGCGTGCTACGTGACAAACACGCCATTGATCTCTATTATACATGTAAATGCGCGCCTATGCAGTGAGTACCCAAAAAAGCGTGCACTCTTTTGTTCCGGATACATGTATACTTCTCATGTCATACATGTAGGTACACAAAGTACATCTTTTATTCGGTTAACATGAGATACGTGTATTTTGACCAGTGTTATTTGCCTTACATTGTACATGAGCAAAACTCTGCCAGCATCGTATGTGTACAGGCCATTAAAGATGTGTTGGTCTTAAGCTTTCATTGGCCATATACTGGTTCATGTACTTAAATCTGACAACTAGTTTTGCAAGACTACCGATACACTGATGGCTTCAGGACAATCCAACCCCTTCCATTTTTTTCAGAGCTTGATTTCCCCAATATTTTTCACAAACCAAATACATGTGTGAGCGAGTCTGTGTTGAGGATCCAAGACACTGAACTGCTGGTATCTGAGAAGTTTTCTGGCAACAGATGTCCTGACAGTCACGGTTTTAGCCATACAGCTGTTTGAGCATCTCTTCGATATTCTCTGTAAACCATTTTGGGCATGTACATGTACAAAGTATGAACATTCAAACATTTGAATTCTGTTTTACAAAAAAATTAAGACACTCAATTTTTCATAAGTGCAGACCAAAATCCATGCCTTGAGACACAGGCAAGATTAAATGGAGTTCACTGAACAACCGTATCAATCAATATATATGTACATGGAAACGGATGATGCATGGGTACAGTATTAGCATGCTTGCTGAGAGATTTGTTGCCAGGTCAACCACACTGCTCGATGCTGCAGGCAACCTTGGAAAGACTGACGAGAGAACCAAGTTTTACCTTCGAACACTTCTGGCCGTCTTGTTGACTGAGTTGATGGCAAATGCCCGCGGGTTCCTCTCTCGAGCAGTCTGGTCCTGTTCATGTTTGTTCTTTTCCTTCTTCTTCTTTGCCTTGGGGCCAGAGTGAACTTTACGATGAGGCTTGTGCTCTGCTTTCTCTGAATCCATGGCTTGAGGTCGGTGTAGAATATTCCTTCAAAACTAACATGAATGGTTGAGAAAGATTTGACTTTTGATACTGCACAGAAATACCTTTGCACAAGACATGAACCACAATTTCACTCAAATTTTGGTAAAAAATCCAAGTTGTACATGTTTTTAAAAAACTTGAAGAATGGGGCAAAGTGTTGAAGTGGTTTAACAATACAAAGAGGCAGAGGTGGTAACAAGTCAACTTTTGTAAGTCCAAGTCAAGTCACAAGTCAACTTTTGCAAGTCTAAGTCAAGTCAGAAGTCATTTGGTCCAAGCACAAGTCAAGTCAGAAGTCATTTGGTCCAAGCACAAGTCAAGTCAGAAGTCATTTGTTCCAAGCACAAGTCAAACCACAACTCATGTGATCACAGGTCAAGTCAAGTCACAACTCATTTGATCGCAGGTCAAGTCAAGTCAGAAGTCATTTGTTCCAAGCACAAGTCAAACCACAACTCATGTGATCACAGGTCAAGTCAAGTCACAACTCATTTGATCGCAAGTCAAGTCAAGTCACAACTCATTTGATCACATTTCAAGTCAAGCCACAACTCATTTGATCACAGGTCAAGTCAAGTCACAAACTTTTTTTCTCCAAGTACATGTCAAGTTGCACTACACTGTATGTGTGATTTCAAGCCACAGACTAGTCTTGGTTCCAAGACCTTCCATAGCTATTCTGCAATCCGCGACTCGAGTCACACAGGAAGGTTTTGGATATTTTTGTTTGACCATGGGCGGCAACAGACTGTGGAAAGAATGGTAGGATATGCATAATTCATATCACTTGGGTGATGATTGGCGGAAGTTATGTGAATAACCCGACCTGTCAACATGCTTCAAGGTCACGAACGACATTTTCGAGCTGATACATCAGTCAACATCATGTTCAACATTTTTTAAGATGCTTTGAGTTAAGCACTCACAAATATTCTTCTGTAGTCTAGGGCAATAGCCAAGAACTTGCGATGAGCGCAGGTAACCGAAAAATGTGAGCCATTTTCAATTTGTTGATACGGTCATGATGTATGTCTCTACCCACTTAATACTATCAATCTGGCCCATCTCTCCCCAAAAACGGGAAATTCACAGGAAGAATGCTAAAAAAATATCTAATTGTGGGTAGATGTTATAAAAAACATTCTATTAGAGTGTCTTGAAGGTATGTTACATCCACCTAAATGTGGTATTTGACACAGAAATTTTCGGCCTTTGAGATTGGGATGCTATTTGTGTTTCAGTTCTAGGCAGAGTGGTGTAATGAACTGCTATGAATAATTCAATATACCAGTAAGGCTCAAACAAAACTTGGGGAAAAAACTAAGAAAAACAAAAGCATTGCCAAATAAATATGGCTACAGCACCTAAGCGATTCAGACGTGGCCATGGGAAGACAATGTTAAAGTATGGCTGTAAAGTGCCCTTTGACAATGACTACATGTGCGCATAAAGTCTGCAACACAGTTAGAATATATGGAATCTTACATTTGATTGTGAAGCAAACACATCAAAAAGTTATCCTCTGCAATTTGAAGTTCATGTGTACCTGTACAAAGTTCCACTTTACTACAAATGATTGAATTTGCACACTGATCAACTTAACACCACCCTTGACAGGAGAAAAAATTCGAATCTGAGGTTCCACGGAAAAATACAAGAGACATTGGTGCTAACAATTACATGTATATTTGTACATCACTTAATCTAACACAATTCGTCTATGCACTGCAAGTATTATTCAGGTTGTTCAGATACAGAAATAAAAACAAAAAAATGAAGGGATACATGTGCATGTAGTGACATACATGCACATGTACATGCACATGTACCATCAGCAAAATAAACATGAAAACCTGCAACCTTAGGCAGCATGTATAATTTCCTACTACGCATTGAAATCCCAGCAAACTTATCTTAAGCACATACATGTACTGTTAAACACTAACAATAAAAGCATTGTTAATACAACATCCTGCTTATAACAATGAAATTGTTGGGTACCGGGGTATCTCAAAGTTTATGTTTTTCGACTTATTGTGACTTGTATAAGGTTATTTGCTAAGAGGGTCATTCCATGCAGTTGGGGCACAAGTTGTGACGGTGTCCTGTAGAGTACAGTAGATCATTTACTCTGGAAATAAAACACACACCTCTGTATTCAGCCTTCTTTCACGCAAGATGTATAACAATGTCAATTTGGAATCCACATGCAGGGAAATAGCTGTGCACTCATTTTTACGGAACCATGTAACAAATGACACTGTCATGATCTGTGCCCCAACCTCATGGAACGACCCAAGTACAAGTACATGTACCAACGGCCTCACTATGGAGCTGTTCAAGATTTTGTTACTTTAATGAATGAAACAATATGCAAACTACAGTTTTCTGATCGTCCATAACATTCACACCTTAAAGTCTGTAAAGTCTGTATTTATTTTCAGTGAAATCAATTCATCTGGCAGTCTGATTTAAATGAAAACGAGAAAGTGGCTGAAATGACCAAACTGTAGAAGTATTTTACTAACTTGTTCATTTAATGGTAACCTTGAAAACTACCGATGTCTTGCTAAGGTTAATTTCATTTCTCTTCATTTCTTCTTCTTTTTCAACTTGAATGATGTGTGATGGCACTTTTCACTGGCATCTTGAAATTCTGACTTGTACTCACTAGTGCCAAGCAAATATGTTATTTCGTGCTCAAAGACTTCATAAGGGTGTGCCAGTTTGTCCAACCCACATTTCTTGAAAAAATCCATATTGGTGCCTGTACTTGCCCTTACTTTGCAAATCTTCATTGCAAGGCACTCATTGACTATGAGGACCTAAGTCAATGCCTCCTTCCACAGGCATTTCAGGGCCTTTTTCCGAGGATCTCCTAGATCCTTCAGGTGTGTGAATAGCATGCAGAGGAAACTTTCTCCATCTTCTCCTCTCTCTGCACACAGCCAACATACGTCCTCCATAATTGGTGTTACCCTCTTGTTTTGGTGGTGGGCATCACTAATGTCTTTGAGTTCCTTATAAGGACAAAGTCAAAATCACCCTCTCATGGGGGCAGCCTTTTCTTTGAAGGGACATCTTGCAATGTGTTGCTTTAAGTTCTCCAGACAGACAATGTCCAAATGTTTTAAAACAGGCAATTTGTAGGGTCCAAGCATTAGGGTCCAAGAAGTTACTCGGATTAGGGCTTGGTCCCTATCACTTTGTGACTGATTTTTGATTTGATTTGATTTATTCACTATTTCCACAATATATTATTACAAAAAATAAGTTAAAGAAAAGCAAACTCAATGATTCCCCAAAGTGGAAAAACCGGTAATAAGCATAATGCAAAAAAGTTAAATTAACATATTTCCATTGCAGTCCCAACTGGTGAGAAAATTAACCCGAATAAGTACAGCAAAATAGATTTTAAAAAATTACATCCAAAAATTATAAAGCCATCAAAAATACAACAAATCTACATGCACTATCAGAACAGTGCTCTGCAAAAATCCCCCCAAAAGAAAATTGCGCGATGTTTCATATAGCCACAACTTGTACTAATAATTGAAATATTATGTTCAGCCCCGACCTTTATACATATTGTTCTGAACAACAAAAAAGCCGAAAAAACAACTATGTCAGAAAACAAATAACAACCATAGAACTTTTACTTAGCACTTCAATTAAATTATTATTAAAGATAGTAATTAATAGGTGACATGTAATAAAAGAAATGTAAGTTTATGTCAGTAATTATTTACTCTAAAGTATCAAATTCAAGCATTACACGTAAAAATAAAATTGAACTTGGCCTTGAAGCATCATCTTCAAGCTCATTGCACTAAAAATATATGTGCCATCCTGCAGATATATCTGGTAGGATATCCATCTTTATTTAGGCCTAGCTGTATTCGGCAGCACAAATTTTGTTGTATTACAATACAAGAAACTCTTTCAGCTTAGTTTTAAACAAGGGTTTCCTTTCACCACCACTGTTTCAAGGTGGATGACAGTGAATTCCATAATTTATCCCGGTGTAAAAAAAGAGTTTATCTGTTCCTTTGATAATGTTGATGTGGGATACATGTACACCCAGAACTGTGAGTTTATTTATTTATTTTATTTATTTTTATGATGCAAGATATGGGGCTGAGAGAACCCCCCCCCCGCCTTTGTGTTGGTCATTGTTTGATCGGAATCTCAGGAATTCTTTACAGACTTCTAGTCTAAGGGGGATGTGTCACTATTGGGTAACAATGGTCTAGAGTGTGTATAGGGATTGGACATGTGGGGGGGTATCCATCGGCCCCATATCGTGCACAGTATCCTCCCACGTGGGAACGAAGCGGACGTTGGACTCCACAGTTCTGGGGTAGGCCCCCGGCCCCATGCATGCCTTAACTTTCCACATTTTCGGTGATGGACACGGAGCAGCAAACAACCTGGAGATTCCAAGTTTGACATCGTGACTACAGAGTTGTTTACATCGCACGATGTGACTTAAAACTTACTGTAGGTCAAGCGTCGAAAACCCGTACCGTCGAAAACTGGGCCCACGCTCTACGATACATGGGGTACTATGTTGTTGTTACATTATTTACACTACATGGACTTGCACCGGCATAAAACAATGTTGAGGATAACGTCTTAAAATTTAAAATTTTGTTATTTCTTACCTATTTCTACCGCCACGTACACGTGCGCGTGCAGCGAAATCATAGATTTTATCTCTTCAACAAGTTCAACTCACATGGCCTGCAGGACGTCGCCATCTTAAGATTGCATTCTGGGTCTTTTTCCTTTCGCTATCTAGCCCTCGACGTTGAGGGCGCCAGCTTGATGGAACGGAGGTTTCCATCATTTTACACGTATATGTATGTTTGTGGTTTCGGCTCCAGAAATTGACGAAGTTTACGGCTTCACCAGCGTAAGTCATTGAAGCAAATTGCATTCTGCATAAGTGTTTGTCAAATTTGTGCATTAGTGTTGCAGAAATAGCTGTTAGGCCCCCTATTGACTAGTATTAGTAATAAACGGGCCCAACTCTGGAGCCGCCCAACGCATGATGTTATTGTTGGCCTTTTGTCATGTTTGTGTGTGTTTCATGTGTGGAGTTCATATGTAGGCCCATATGTTCCGTTGTCTGGTTGTAGGGCCTACTTCAGTACTTGAAGAGAAGGGAGTAATTGCAGAATAACCTGCAGCTCTAAAAAATGACCCCTGCAGTGACTGGTTACGTGGAGTTTATGTGATCATGACAAAGAAGACCATAACTGGTCATACTTACCATGTTTACGTGTAATTGTCATGAGGCTTACTGTATGTACAGCCATGACATCGTCATGGACTTACAGTATGATTTATAGGGCCCAGTCATTGTGACTAAAAATGAAGTGGAAATCAGACAAACTGTACTCTTTTGGACTTTTTTCTCCAACAGAAATCCTCCAGAGCTACAAATCAGAAAAAGAAAATGGATCAGTTTTTAGTGACATGGGAATGGTTGGAGTCAATTTGAAAAATGATAAAAGAAGAGTCTTAATGATAGCTGGCTGCTGGGAAATGAACCCAGCTGGGATCAGTTCACACAAACTGGCATAGTGAGTGTCAAGATACGATATATCCGCTCTCCGCTAAACCCAAGGACCTCGACATCTGGTGGTACATGTAATTTAATAACCTTTACGTGTAGATACGCATCAAAGACAGCACTGTCTGCTGTGAGCTTGCTAGATACTGTGTAGTTAAATCCACTGCCTTTTTTGAAATAAGTGTTCCTTCCTGCAGTGACATACCATGTTACTAATAAAAATAATAACTTATCCTAAAATGTCAAACTTAGGCCCTAGCAAGGAGAGTGGAAAGAATTCCATACAGACTCAGCTTGACACACTGTGCACAAACGTTATGATACTGCTCAGCTTGTCTCAAATATTCTTTGTTTTCTTTGTAAACATTTCCATTTTGCCTTGCTAAATTTGACTTTTTTTTAGACACTTACTTTTGGATGGTTAATACATGATGTAGCCTTTATATATGGAATTCTTTCCGGAAAAATATCGCAACCCATATGTACCGTAGGCCAAGGTACATGTAGCCTGCTTTTAGTTTGTTCTCATGATGCCAAGTGATGTCTTGGAAGGGGACTCTCTGATTTTATTTTGCTACCCGCTATCTTTTGACATCAACTTTGAAACTTAAATTTTTTATTAAAAAATGGACATTGAGCATAAAAATAACAGTGTCACAATCTATTTTGAGTTCAGTAGCTGACTTTAAGCATAATTTTAGACTGAAGGAAGATACTGATAAAATTCTGAGGCACAGATTTTAGATGAGTTGTGAATTTTTAATGCAAAAGAGTCTGAATGCATGGCTGCATACATGTAAATGATTCAGGGAGTATGCGTGCTACATTGACTGATGCTAGTGCTTAGTCAATGCTAATTTATGCTGGAGATGGGGCTGGAATAAGTGTTCAATAGGCCCTAGGCACCAATGTTCCATAGGCCCTAGGCACCAATGTTCTGTAGGCCTTAGGCACTAGTGTTCCATAGGCCCTAGGCACCAGAGTTCCACAGGCCCTAGGCACCAGAGTTCCACAGGCCCTAGGCACCAATCTTCCATAGTCCCTAGGCACCAGTGTTCCGTAGGCCTTAAGCACCAGTGTTCTGTAGTCCTTGGGTACCAGTGTCCCCTACATGCAGGCACTGGTGTTCTGTAGGCCCAAACAATTTTGTTTGCCCAAGGCACCTACATGTATATGTACTGTGCCTATTGGATACACTGGTCCTGACTGAAGATTTCCTGGCAGTTTTGCTACCAGAAATCTAATGGAAGTGTCCAATTTTCTGATGGCATTAGCCTTCCTTATTTCGGACTAAATCATTTAAAAGAATTTTAATTGTAATTTCTCTTGATCCTGTTGATAGTTTGGCCTTTTTGGAGGGGTGTCCAGAACATTTCTGCATTGAAACATCAAAGTAACTGCCAGTGATGAGTAACCAGCAGTCGAGTCCAAGGCCCCAGGCTACTACCATGGCAACGACCTCGACGACCTCAGCAACAACACCACCTTCAAACCCACCATTATTAGTGGAGCAATCTAAACATGTACGGTTATTGAGTTGTAATCTCTTGTACATGCTTCAGTATAAGGAAGCTTGACGNAGCAAGCCAGACACGGCACACAGTGACCCGTGTGTGTCCCAACTCACACAGAATCCAACACCATCTCCCTGGACCTTTCATCCCAAGTCTCACAAAATTCAACAACAAGTTCCTCAGGTACGGTACCAAACCTGCCAAAACCTCACAAAACCTGCTGTTGGAGTATGGCAGGTTTTGGGCAGTTAGGGTTAATTAAGCATAATTTTAGACTGAAGGAAGATACTAATAAAATTCTTAGGCACAGATTTTAGATGAGTAGTGAATTTTTAATGCAAAAGAGTCTGAATGCATGGCTGCGTAAATGATTCAGGGAGTATGCATGCTACATTGACTAATGCTAGTGCCTAGTCAATGCTAATTTATGCTGGAAATGGGGCTGGAATAAGTGTTCAATAGGCCCTCGGCACCAATGTTCCATAGGCCCTCGGCACCAATGTTCCATAGGCCCTAGGCACCAATGTTCTGTAGGCCCTAGGCAACTAGTGTTCCATAGGCCCTCGGAACCAATGTTCCATAGGCCCTAGGCACCAATGTTCTGTAGGCCCTAGGCACTCGTGTTCCATAGGCCCTAGGCACCAATGTTCTCTAGGCCCTAGGCACTAGTGTTCCATAGGCCCTAGGCACCAATCTTCCATAGGCCCTCGGCACCAGAGTTCCACAGGCCCTAGGCACCAGAGTTCCACAGGCCCTAGGCACCAATTTTCCATAGGCACCAGTGTTCTGTAGTCCTTAGGTACCGGTGTCCCCTACATGCAGGCACCGGTGTTCTGTAGGCCCAAAAATTTTGTTTGTTCAAGGCACCTACATGTATATGTACTGTGCCTATTGGATACACTGGTTCTGACTGAAGATTTCCTGGCAGGTTTGTTACCAGAAATGTAACAGAAGTGCCCAATTTTCTGTTGGCATTTAATAGCCTTCCTTATTTCAGACTAAATCATTTGAAAGGATTTTAATTGTAATTTCTCTTGATCCTGTTGATAGTTTGGCCTTTTTGGAGGGGTGTCCAGAACATTTCTGCATTGAAACATCAAAGTAACTACCAGTGATGAGTAACCAGCAGTCGAGTCCAAGGCCCCAGGCTACTACCATGGCAACGACCTCGACGACCTCAGCAACAACACCACCTTCAAACCCACCATTATTAGTGGAGCAATCTAAACATGTACGGTTATTGAGTTGCAATCTCTTGTACATGCTTTAGTGTAAGGAAGCTTGGCCCAAGCAACATGTAGATGAAAATTAGCCCATGATTAGCCCAGCTAACATGAACATGTATGCTTCCCCAACCAGTGAATCACAACGTGCTGTCATAAAGCTCACAGACATATACTGTCAAACCTCGTTTTCGCTGCTTAAGACAAGGAAATTGTTAGGTCCCAATCCTTTCTTTGTCATTGTTTTCATTCCTGATAATTCAAAGTTCCTGTCAAAACAAGGTAATTTGCCAAGTCTGAAGGACCTCTTATTAACAAGGTTTGTCTGCACATGTACAGTATCTGCCAATGATGGTGATGAATGTACCACATCATCAGCATTTATTGCTGTCTTGTTGATATTTGCCTTGGCACTTCACCCATCTGAATCCAACAGAATAAGAAAATATTGACCCTGAAACCAGCCTTGCCCACTGCTGGTACCTACATGTACATGTCCTCGTACATGAAGGTACACATGTACATGCATGTATGTGGGCTTTGTGGAGGAGCAGTGCGTGTTGGGGGTCACCTACATGCACTCACAAGAGCCAGTGAGAAATACCATTTACATGTACACGCAGTGGTTTGTGCTTTTGAACGGAGCCGAGTACCCACCGTCACAAGTCATGGACATGATAAAAATGGTGGTCAAGTGTCCGTAGCATGATACAACCTTTTCTTCTGCTTTGAAGTATGTGTTATTATACATAGTCTGCTGTACTTGTACATGTGTCTCTGGTTAAAGTGATGAATGGGCTTAGAAATAGGAACACAACAGCCAACCTTCCCTTGGTATGATCCCCTTATGTGGCTCAGGAAAAGCTGAACATGATCAAGTGCCTTGCTCAAGGACATACGAACAGCTGGATTGCTATCTTACACATGTACGTTTGAAGCTAAGTCAACCCTGATTTTTTGTTACCTTTGGTTTTCTTTTCCAGCCGATGACATCGCCATCTCCTTCTCCCTCATCGGTGCCTATCCTCCCCCCTGCCGTCCCACCCCCTGCTGTCCCACCCCCCGCCCACCAAAGGCTCACTGTACCTTCACCATCTAGCTCCAATGCATCAAGTGGCCATTCTCCCACTGCAGGTGAGCAGTAATGCTTAGAAGAAAAAGTGTCACCTGAACAAAAAGAATTCAACTAGGTCCATTTTTCTAACCTTGGGCAACCAGACTGCTGGCAATTGCTGGAAATCCGGCTTTCTCATATTTTGGGGAAAACCCCCGGCCCTTGGTGTTTGTTGGCCACAACAACTATTGTTAACACAAGAACGTTAATATCTCATATAAAACTTCCAAAAGATACAGCGCATTCCAATTAGATTTACACATATGTAGTTTGGGGCACTATATAAGCAGTGTCTTTTGAAATACGCATATGCGGAAATCCAGTCTATAAGGAGTTGACTTTGTTGGTTTCCATGCAACTTGTGTTAACTTTAGATAGCCAAAGTAGAGAACCAGTTATGCTCATGCCTCAAATGGTACACAAATTGAGGGAAATCACAGAATAATAACATGCCTGCATGGTTTCATAGTCACAGATGGACATGACGTTAAGTTTTGACATCCATTAAAACATGTCAAACTGGAAGTTGAGAGTCCTGAAAATATAAACTTACTTAATGGAAATTCAAAAGCAAGCTCAACTGACTGACTAGGATCAGAAAACAGCGATGGATGTTTTGTTTTGGACTGGTATTACACTTGCTTTAACCCTAACCTTCCCTAACCACACAGAATTGAACACCGTAAAGTGTGCGAATTTGTGGCACTGGGTACTGTACCCCTAAACTGCTTGTGCTTTAACATGGGTTCAGGCAGACCCAAAGTACACAGAGTCCAACAGTTTTTGTGCACAGTTTACCGTACGGTGTTGGAATTTGTGTGAATGGGTATGGTTCCTAGTAAATCGTTCTGGGGAGTTAGGGTTATAGAAGATCAGTGTAAAGCACATTGCACCGTGTACTGCCGTATTACAGTCCTTTTGCCCGTAAGCCATCGCTAGCCACACAGGAAAACCAACACAAGTGTTCAAACTTTTGCTAGCAAAATAAAGGTCAGAGTCTTTCAAAAGCACCATTTAGTGCATTACAAAAAGGGGGCAAGATACTCAGGTGGTTGAAGCCATTGGTGTTTATTATGAGGAGCAGTTTTTAGTCAGATCCCATGCGCATGTATTTTACTCATATTCTGGCACTTTTACTCCTACTTTACCCACTTGCAAAAATATTCTGGCCCTGGACTAAGAACCCACTGGCATTCTTGCTAAATTCTCATCATAGGTCCAAAGCAAATTTAATTAAGTGTTGTCCAGAGTTTGAGGCTTTGAGTACAATTTGCAGTGCATACATGTACCTGTATTATACCTTTGATGTAACATGGAAGTTGATTTGAAAAGAGTTGGCGGTTATTTGATAGTTGGGTAAGCATTGTACATAAATGTACAAACCACCATTGGGAGGGTTTGAATGAGCCATTGGTTTAATATTTTCCAGTAAACTTTATGTAATCTACCTGTAGCTGAATTTTTTTATTGTCTGATCACTTGGTATTCTCACTTTGTTTAGGAAGCATATACATGTACACGTACCATTGTAGAATACGTGTAGGTATTACAGTGAATGTACGGTACATGTAATTTTCTGTTTGCACTGGAAAGACCATAGTTAGTTTGCATGATTGCATCACATTTTAATATCCCTACAAAATGTTTAATTGCTTAGCATTAGTATTGGATGCTTGTCTTCCAGGTCTTGGCCCACCTGTTCTCAGCCCATCTCTCCATCAACACCCCAGCCTATACCCTAGTGGCTCCTCCCCTGTATCAGCCACACCTGTCCCAATGACAGTTACCAGCCCCATTGGCAAGCATGGTGGAAGCCTCGGGGCACTGACTGCCTCTGTCAATGCCCTCCAGCGTCCCACCAGCACCTCGGGCCACTACCTGGTTCAGCACTCCCCTAAGAGCCCCCCCTCCACCGCCCTTGTCAGTGGCATTCCCACGGGTATCCGGCTGCTGCGGCCACCTCTTAAGAGCCCCTCGGGTGCCCGGTCAGACCAGGCCATCATCAGCACCACTCAGACACCCATTTTCAATCGCTCCCACCACCTGCCCACCACGGCAACCTTGACCAGTCCCTCAGGGACAACTACCATGGTGCGGGTCACGCCTTCCATGCAGCAGGCCATTCATCATTCCCAGCAGCGTCCCCTCATCATTCAGCCTGGGATGATGAGTAACCTGGGATTGATCACAACGGCAGATGGCCCCCTGATCCGTGGGGTCACCCCAACATGTTCCATAGTCAACCCCACCATGATCAACCCTTACAATGTCGGCCAGTCCAAGCTACATTCTGCCCTGACTGGCTTTGGTGACGGGCACCCCCCACGAATCCATGTGCCACCTTCTCCTCATGGACCCCTCAGCCTTGTTGCCCAAGTCCAACCCCAAGGCAAAGGCACCTTTACACTGCATCCCCAGAAGACCATTGCCACATCAAACCTTCCCCTCCATGCTCAAATGAGGACAATTGCCCCTGCCAAGTCCCCAACCTCTCATGTCCCTTTGCAGCCCAAGCGTCCCCCACCTTATCCCTCTGGACCCAGCAACCCCCTCTCCCAACACCCACTGTCGCCTGGTGCCTCGGATGCTGTCAGACACAGTAACCCCAAAGTGAAGCCCCCCTCATCAGCCCCCAAGCCTGGGCCACAAGTTAGGCCCATCAAACCAGTGCAGCAGCAAGCTCAGACGTCGGGGGTCAAAGTGGTGAAACCGGTCCAACGGGAAAAGAAGTCCCCTCCTGCTCCAGTGCCTGTGCCCCCACTCGTTATCCCAACAGCCCCCGTCCGGCCTGACGTGACTTCAACAGTGCAACCTCAGCTGCCACAACCCCCCGCAACCCAGCCAGAGATAGTCAATCCCCAGCCAAGGGCTGAGGTGGTAGGGGTGACAGAAGGGGTGGCAAGAGTGGAGAGGCAGGTCCCAAAGGCTGTTGTCAAACCCCAGGTGCTGACCCACATCATTGACGGATTTATCATTGAAGAATCCAAGGAGCCATTTTCGGTGAGTTTTTGGAAAACAGACAAATTATTTTTCAAAAGCAGGAAATCTGTTCACTTGAAGGTGACAATCTACTGATGATTATGAAGGGTGTTTGCTGTGTTGATATGCAAGAAAAATCTTTGAAAAGCTTTCTGTTTGGCAAACGTTTTGGTTCATTATCAGCTAGTGTACCTGAATATTTTACAGTCAACTCATTCACAGAATTACAATGTAGTTTGTTTAATGAATGGACTGAAGGCATTTTGGATCAAGCATTACAGTCAAACAAAATGCACAAACGACTACATACCCGTATGAAAACAGCAACAAATTGAACAGGGACAATTCCATGCATAAGTGGAAATTTCAACATGGTGTACTGATCATTTTGAAGATCCTTGTTTATAGCTTTTTGTGATATATTTGCCAGTTCTGGTAATAGCACCCCTTATGCATGGTTCCCTGTGCCACATAATTGCTGAACCATGCAATCTGTTTAATTTATACAATCAGAGCTGGAAACAGACAGGAAGCACCAGCCTACCTGGCACCAGAGTGAGCTCATTGATTATTTTCCTCTTTCTCTCTCTTTTTGTTCTTTTTGTGTCACTTTATTTTATTTTTGGGTTTATTTGATAGTTTTTTTGCTTGCTCTGTCTCTTAATCTACATGTAGCTAGAAGTGTGTGATGTACATTGTTACAGGAGGATTTTGTGGTTGGCTTTTTCACCTTTTGTTTCATTCATAGGTTCTGCAACTTTCCATTGATCATGAGGTATTGCCTTGTTATCAACACTCAAAAAATGGAAATGCAAGCCTGGAATATTTTCAATTACTAATTTGTCAAGTCAGTAATTGGGGGAGGGGGTCAAGGAACTGTTAATATAAATACAAAAAGAGGAACATGACACCCACAAGCAGGTGCACTACCCCTTACATATGTATACTTGTGGGGTATTTCCTTTGTTCTCGTGTACAAAGCTCCCACACAACACGGAAAAAATTTCAAATCACTGCCATTTCAACCGAATTCAGTTTCCTGGGTTGAAATTTTGACCGTATGTCCCTTATATAAAACACTTCAATTTGCGGCAGATAAATGGCACTTGAAAATTCCTCCTTTTTGAGTAAATTTGAAATATCTGTTCATGAAATTCTTGTGGGGTACCACTTTCGTACCCCACAAGGATCACAACTGGCCTTGTGGGGTACCTTCCATTGTTCCGGTACCCCATAAGGCACCATGTACAAGCGCATATATACATGTACATGTACATGTATGCTTTCATAGAGCTCTTAGGAAGTAGAACACTAGTTCAGCTCCTACTTCAGATTGCATTTCATGTCTGAAAGGATCAGTTGAACTTTTTTAATAGCAATTGCAATAATTGCACATGTGATTTTGTTTTCTTTGAACTTAGAGGCATGTGTATGATTTCTTTCTGGGCTTGTTTTATTTTCCAACTCTGAGGTTTTGCTGTTAACACTTCAACTGAAGGCCAAAACTTTAATGACAGGTTTTGCCCTCACCTGACATATATGTTTATAAACACTGCCTACTCAGTGCTTATCTGAGAGCTTGTGAAAAAATGTACAAGCTTACTCAGATGGGACTCAAACCCATAACCTCTGATACCCCCTGCTACACCAGACTCCTACCAGCCAGCCAACCCGGCAAGCTCGGTGGTCGAGTGGTTAAGATATCTGCACCAGTAAGCAAGAGGTCGTGGGTTTGAGTCCCACCCAAGTAAGCTTGTGAATTTCTTTGTAAGCTCTCGGACAAGCACAAAGTACATGTATACAGTGTTTGCAAATATACATGTACATGTATGTATGTCAGGTAAGGGTAAAACCCATGATTAAAATTAACATCTCCCGGACACAAAGTACATCTTGGCAAAAACTTTGCTTAAAACTTGCATGCCCCGTCACTAGTGACAAAAATGAGGATTTTATTGGCATCTGACTTGTGACAGGCCCAAACACAAATCAAGTTGTATGGCAATAAATGATCATATTTGCAAGCTGGTAAGGTTTCAGAGAGGTGCTTTAGACTTGACAGTGACGTTAGTGCTAATTCATTATATCTATTACATCTTTGAACAGCGTTCTCAAAATTCTCTACGTTTTGACATTTGCTCCATCTCAGAAATAACACAAAGTGGCACATGTACATGTACATTGTTCCGGTACATGTATCACTTAAGTTTGCAATGTGAACAATGGTGAAACAGTAGGAGCCTACTGTACATGTACATGTGCACCACACCTCAGATCATGTGACTTGTTGGCTGGTAATAATCTCACAATAGGCCACTTATCACAGCAAGATCATTTGGAAATATTGCGGAGCTTAATTTAGGCTCATACACATGAAGTGCAGTGGTGTACAGAGTAGACTGGTGGCTGTCCTATGGCGTTTCAGCATGAGGTACATGCACATGCAGCACTGAAACTCAAGTTACTTCAGTTGCGACATTTTGTAGTGTTCAGTAGGGTCACCCTTACATGCCACTACAATGACTTGTAATCGTGGTAAATAATGGAAAGAAGTTTGTGCATAACCGCCTCCCATACATGTAGTGCATCAGTGTCGCAGGATGCAAATATATGTACCATACACCTCTTGTCAATAAGACCTTTGCAAGTTAAATTTGAATAAAATCTGGTGCACTGAGTTCAGGGCAAGCTTTCGCATAGCGACCACCATCTTTGGAATGGACTGGTTCCTTTATGCCCTCCTGATCCATTGAGAACAGTGTATTGTTGCAAGGTGTCTCTTATGTAACTAAGCAAAAGCTTGCCCCAAATCATGAGGTATAGCAACAGTGGTTTTTGTAAGGAGAACTCAAGTAATTATGTTCACGTGAATTTAAAGAACTCAGTGTACCAGATTTGGGTCAAAGTTAACTCGCAAAAGGCTTACTGTAAAAGTGCCTTACCTGTGACTGGGGGGAAGTTTCCAGCTCTAGAACAAAAGAATCATCTTTCATTGGCACTCGGGAGGAAATAATTGAAACATGCTGAACATTCATCAAGTCCTTGCATGGCATGTGTGGCTTTATCCAACATCTGTCTTACACATGTAATGTTTAGTTTTGTTATTTTGATTCTTGTCACTGGTGGTGAAAACTGAGTAAACGCTGTTCACACTCAGCAGTCTGCAAATGTGAGCAGTTCCTCTAGGTTTGATGCTGATTGTTGACAACAAGAGAGCAACAAGAAAAGCTTCATGCAGGTGTTCTCCGTCATTGCCTAGGAGCACTGAGAAAAGTATAATCTTCAAAGCACGAGTACTTTTGAATTGCATGTTTGTTAGATTGGTGATTATCACCAGATGGTTGGTGTAACAGTAAATACAGTGGACTATTTGTCACAGTTTTCATTGTTCATTTGTTTGTTGGTGGAATAACATGCACATGTACACCATATGTTTTGACTTGCTGCTTCCTTGTAGCAAGGCAGACCTGTTGTGATCGGATTTCTTAGTCTTAGAGACCACAAAGTGCATGTTTCTGGTGCAATGAGTTGGCTCTTGAGTCTTCGTATGCATTGTCGAGTTGGAGAAGGGAGGTCAACAATGTCAAGTGGCCCAAAACAAGGGAAATGATATTCTATCCAAAGCAACTAATTGTGGCTAGGAGTGGCTTGGAGTAGCATACTTGTCAGTGTACTTCTAGCCACAGCCACTGAATGTAGTTGGAGGATTAGAATCCTGCCCTGTTTTCAGCTGTGGCCATGGTATTTGTAGGTAGCCTCAGTGGCAGGAAACCAGTTTCAACCAGTGTACATGTCACACGCAGTAGCTGATTTATCAAGCAGAACATTTAGGGGGGACTCAGCAAAGATGCCTGGGTGTCAGCCCCACATCATTTGCCCTATTTAAGATGGCTGATGTGAATTATGGGGATAATTCTTAATGGTTCCAGATCCCTCCATCTTCCCTGTGGACGGATGACTACCCTCAACTTGACTCTCGCCTGCAGCGATCTCGAAATAACCAGGACGAGCGGCAGGAGGGATCCCAAGCCCAGAAACGACCAGGTATTCAATCATGCATGTAGTCTTAATTCAAGCCTATGCTCCAAACTGTATACAGATGTCCTCTAGTGAATAAAAATCCCCCCCCCGGAAAATCTCCTCAAGTGATCAAGCTGGTCACTCCTCTTAGCATGCATGTGCGTCATACATTTATGAAATGCACAAAGAGAATGGCAAGTTTCAGACAATGGAAAGGTGGCTATGTATTCTTCATGTATAATATTATTTTCCACTCAATTACTTATTAATACGTAACTAATCCTTCGGCTGTTTACTAGTAGATGTCAATTTTCCAAAACATTTGCTTCAAATACAGACCTATTGAGGCCCTGGGCAGTATGCTCACAGGCATCTTGTAGGGTAAATGCCACCAGATAATTACTTTGCTTCAAGCTGTGCACACCTGGGTGCAGGCGTGGCATACATAGCGTGGACCTCTGCACAAAAGAAGTCCACATAATGCAGGGTGCGATGGCATTGTGTGGACTCGCACACGTCCACACAATGTTTCCCCTCTCTGAAGAACAGTTTCAGAGGCATTTCGGGGTCAAGGTTATCTGTGGCAAAATGAAGAGAAACAGTCCTAGAAATCATCATCAAAAATCCAGCACGAAATAGTTATCCTAGTGGGGGGAAAAAGAGAATTTGCCCCCTAGTTTCCTTAACCACTGGAGAACAAAGGAATGTCCACACTTTCCAAGTAAAACAGGTATGTGTGTGCATATACAGTCAGCCATACTTAGCCCATACAATTGCGTACGACTTGTGTACCTGTGTATGTGCAGAACATAACAAACAGGGATGGCAGATATCACTGCCTTGGCAATTGTTTTTTTTTTCATGTACATGTATACATGTACAGTTTGCAATGTTAAAACCAGCACAATTTCTTCTATAATGTGTCCAGAAATTGTACCCTGATTTGTGCCAGTTCTGTCTATGGCATGCACACTACATTATGAATTCTCTGTATAAATACACTGTAGGCGTGCAGTTTATACACGCTAATATGGTCTAATTTACATTTATCACTACAGTAGTCAGTGTCATTGTTGATTGTTCTGGGCATGCTTGACTTTTCACTCCTCTTTTTCCTTTGGTTTATTTTACTACAATCCACAATTTTTCTCTTTTTTTCTGGCTCTATTTTTAGCCCCATCGGAAGGGCGGGATGACGCTGACCGAACTCCCCTGCGGTGTGAATTCTGCGGCAAGGTGGACCGGCCACACAAATTCAAGCGGTCCAAACGTTTCTGCTCCCTGTCCTGCAGCAAACGCTACAACGTGGGCTGCAGCAAGCGCCTGGGGCTCTTTGCCCCCCAGCGGGAAAACTCAGAGCGGCTCAAGCACAAGCTGAAGCTGCAGACCAAGGCCAAGCCACTGAAGGGATCACGGGGGAAACATGGACGGCTCAGCTTCAACGTGGACAGGCCTTGGGTAAGGGTTGAATCGATTCAGACTAGAGAAAGCTCACAACATTTCCCTGTCCTGAGAACTTGTAATGTAGGTTTCCTTGGCCAATTCCAGAGAAAAGTCGTTCAATGTAACACAAAAGCCCACTTAAATTTGTTTTAGAAAGAATGATCCTTCACACAAGCATTCAAAAATCAAAAGCAGGCATTCGATTTCATTAATGAGCATTCTTTTTGAAAACATGTTCATTCAAACTTCAAACATCTTTTCGTTCATTCACATTCGTCAATGGGCTTGGAAAGAAGCTGATCGGGCATTCAAGTTAGCTGATACGCAATCTCCTTTAACTTGTGGAAATTCAAATTCCCTCCAGTGGTAAACGCTTTCTGGATCCTACAACAAAATTATTTTGCAAGAAAAAAGGTTTAACAGTGGATCTTGAGGCAGTTATTTGTCCACGTAACTTTTTACAAAAATTGTGGTGGCTGGGTGAGCATCGTAGGTTAGGAAAAGCTGATTAACCCTAACCCACTAGGGCCTTTTTACCAGGGCACATCCTCAGTCCTCCAAATTTCTCCGTGGCCCTACTTTGGGTTTTTATTGTTCTTTGTTTTTCGGGGGTGGGGGGAGTTGGGCACATCAGGTTGGTTGCTGGGCTGTAGCTGTTTTTTGGCAGAGTTGGCTGACAGCTTTACTTTTGTAATAAACAAAGCAGACATGTGCCATTGTTTTAAACACTGCAGTTGAGGATTGTGTGCTGTAATTTATGACCAGCAGCAGTGAACAATGGAACACACTATCCTTGGCTACATGTACACTGTAATTAGTATACTGTGTGACCATATGCACCACTATGTGACTGATTTTTAATACTTCATTCATCCTTAATCCTCCAAAATCCCCCAGCTTTTAAGTCAGCATTTATCCTCAATCCTCCAAAATCCTCCAGCCTTTAAAACAATATTCATCTTCAATCCTTCCAAATCCTCCATGCTTCAATCACCATTCATTCTGAATCCCCCCTAATCCTCCAATGTTCAAATCATTATTCATCCTAAATCCTCCAAAATCCTCCAAACCACCCAGAGGATTTTGGATGATTGAGGTGGGTTAAGGTTAATGCTATCCAGAGCAATAATGCAGAGAAAGGCCTGTAAATTTTTTTTGGTCATAATTGTTTCTTGTCATGTTTAGACATTAACCGCTTCCTGCTGGGGCAGTTATCAATGTTGATGATGCTGGGGCAGGATATCTATCACTTTTTTTTGTTTTCAAAATTCTTTAAAAATTCCTATCTTCATTTACTGCAAACTTATACCCACACGAAGCATTGTCTGGTCTCCACTCTAGCCTGACAGACAAAATTGATTGACGCCCGAGTATTTCAGCCTGGCCTGCAGCCTTGTAAAAAGAGCCCGGATTGTGCAGTGTTATGTATGATTCTTTTGTTTCCGAAACCGGCACAGTGCACTGCTGACCTCTTTTCAACAGGGGCCAGATTAGCGTGCAGCGGTGCTGTGTGGCTCATCGCTGCGGTGGTAGAGAGTTTTTGTCCCCGGTGGTAATCCGCTCGCTCTAAATGCCTCAAACTGTGGTATACTGTTTCAAAACAAGGCTGGATTATCTCCACTATTGAAAGCAAAAAAATGTTGGTAATGTCCAGCAGCCTGTTCCCTTTGTCCGAGTTTGGAGATATAAAGCATACGTGTCCGGATCCGGAATCCCTGGCAGGAAGTGGTTAACCCTAAATTTGTTTCCTTGAGTTACTGTTAACCTTTACCTGTACATACCATATACACATATTTTGAAATGGTCCAAATAATCAGATATTAAACACAGAATATGTAGCATCAGTACGTAGAACAAAGAGCAAACAAAACTGTCTGATGTGACTCAAGAAATGGGCATTTATGCAAACAGAAAATAAAGAATACAAGTGAATCATTGACTATCATTAAAACATTGAGTATGGAACAGGAATATCATGCAGAAGGCCGTAGAGTGAAAGACAGATGGCATTAACTTTCTCCAGTGCTCCTAAATTGAACACTCAGATAGCAAAATAGATCCTGTACGCATCGATGAGTTTTAATTTGACTGCAGCTATTGGAAAAAATGCAGCAGAGATTGCACTGAAGAAGGCTGATTGTGCAGTCTTGAATGTCCATAAAAGAACTGGCATGACGGAAATGAAACCGAAGGGCAGAGCTTACAAATTGTGTGCATGAAAACGAGTTTGAATGTCAGAATAGGGAAAAGAATGATAGCATCTGTGCAAATGTGAATACCTGGGACCAAAATGCATGGATTATTGCTGAAATTGGCTGGGAAAACCTATATTTTCCAAAATACCACAACCCACAAAAATGCTCATACCATTCCGTATTTGTTCCTGCATGCCATTACCGTCCCTGCTTACTAAACATTCCAAAAGATTCTAACTCAGGCCCAATGCATACTTTCTCTAATGTTCTGATAAGTATTGAAGCACCTCTCATTTTTATAGATCACTTGCATTCTGAATGTAAGGATGGTAAGAGCCATAGTAATTTCTGTTGCTTTCCATTCAGCAGATTTTGCTAGCAGCCATTAACTCCAGTTTAGCTGCATGCACGTAGTGTGTTTTACATGCTGTCCGTATGTCACACAGCACCCCCTGTTGTTCATGCACTGAGCCATTATAGTATTTTAACATGTAACAAGAAGATAATTTCAAAGATTCAGACTAGAGTTTTAAAAAGCTCCAGGACCCCCCATGGTGTATAATAGGCCACCACCAGAAACTGCAGGTCACCTCATAATGCCAAAAAGCATTGTACAAGCACTGGGTGAGGTCAAATTGTTGTCATTTGGTCAGACAGACAATTTGTCCAATGACATTTGGCCTGAAGGCTGTATCCACCTCTTTCTGTCAACAGTCCAAATTCATTATGCTGTTTCAAATCTGTTTTCAATGTTATTTCCAAATCAGTTGTGCGTAAAATTTACTGTCATTACTATTTTTTAAAAACCAATCACCTGCCACATACTTCTGGTGAATTTTTGAAAACCCTATACTGCTTATAGGGTTTTCAAAAATATCCTCACTAGAAAAACTTGGCATTGATTTCAGTTCATGCTTGCATGTGTTTTGTGTAGCTTGCTAATGAACCTAACCCACCTTGTTAACACAGGTTATCACTTTACTTTCAGTGTCATCTGCTCAATGCGAAGTCTTTCCATCCCTTCACACAGACAGAGAGAGTCTATGGCCAAGACCCACCCCCGGGCACCTCAGGCTCCGCCTCCCTGCCCCCTGGTGGCAATCCCTCTTCTGCCACCACTGCCAGCCAGGACAGAGACAGCAACAGCAGCAGCCTGGGCCCCTCTGAGGGTTCCTCCTCAATGGAATCCTCCCTGACTTTATCCCCAGCTCCCAACAGCGATGCAGAAGACACCACACCACCAGTCTCGGACGATGCATTTGATGACCTGGCTGGTCTCGGGGGTGACCCTGCCAAGTGGTCAGTCCAGGATGTCTATGATTTCATCCGTGATCTGCCTGGCTGCTCAGACTATGCTGATGAGTTCCTCCGTCAGGAGATTGACGGTCAGGCCCTGATGCTTCTCAAGGAGGACCACTTGATGACAGCCATGAACATGAAGCTTGGACCAGCCCTCAAGATAATCAGTCGCATCTACTCATTGAAAGAGAAACTTTAACAGACCAAGTGTGAATGTGCAGCCATCTTGCATTTCCATCGCACACATTTGTTGCATTCCCATTCAAGCTTTTGCCAAGCAGCAGTCTGGTGCTTGTGTGATCAACCTCTCTTCACTTTGAGTGTTAACAAGTAACCAGACAAAGATGGCTGCCTTCAAACAGCAACGGTTACCGAGGAAAACCCGGGCTGACATCTGACAGTATTGTATGAAACTAATTTCCTTAATGTCAACATTTTTGACTGGTTTGATAATGTGATGTGTCATGTTTTGTAGAGAGAATTGTGATAAGCGTCCACAGTGTAGACTGATTACTTCAAGCTTATGGGAGTCTATTGACCAGGTTTCTTACAGCCGGAAGTACGCATTCAGTGATTTGGAGGTATTATGTCTTGTTACCATGCTGAGTTAGTCTTTTTAATGCATAAAAGCAACTTGTAACATTTTGAAGTAAAATTTCTGTACTTTTTTGAAAGTAGAAATACTACATTATTGAAAGTGAGAGTAGAGACAAGTTAGGCAGTTTACATGTACAATGTTAGTGCTTGAATGTAATTGCTTTCAAAATGGTTAGTGGAAAAGAAACTGTTTTCTTCACATTGTGTTTTGTGTGAAAATTGTATTCTTGTTTAACTCTGTCGACTTTAAGAAAATATGGCTTTTCTTTATTCATTGTTACAAAGGTGTTACAAAGGTGTTATCACCTAGACATGCTTGATAGGATTTGCATGCTAAAGACACCAGAATGTCAAATTCTGCTTTATTTTACAGTCTTTTGAATATTTATTCCATGTTAAGTCTTGTATATATAACTGTCTTACTTCTGCAGTACTTTTTTTCAACCCAAAAGGTCGGCTCAGCAACAGATGTAATTGGCATGTACTTGTCACTTAAAAAGTGCAGATGCCATTTATTACGGAGTCATTCATTGCAGTTTTACTGCAAACTGTTAGAAGTTACCCCATCTTGGATTTCCAGTTATATCGAGATCAGCACCGTGTTCCTGGAGAGCAAACACCAACCTGTTACTCTACCACTCACCTCACATGGCAGAGGTTGGAATCCCACTGGGTGCACCATGTTAGTTATCACCTTGGTTCATCATTCCCAACTCAATCATGTTTTCTCTTTTGGACTACCTGGAGGGGCTATCTGCAGTGGCATTTTCTTAAGTGGTGCATCCAGTGTTTAAGTTGGGGATTTCCTAAAGCACGATGAAATTTCAAAAAGTAAAAAATTCAAATTTTTTCATTTATAATGTTATATTCTTTCCCTTAAGGTGTTTGCATTTTCATTGCAAAAAATGAGGGTTGGGGTCAAGGCCACCCCTGTTGATTTCTTTTCTTGTTAACTCACCTTTCATTCAAAGCTGGCCTGCAAATGAACCTATGTAGCGACTCGTTGAAAAAAAATGACTCAAATCATTGGCAATTTCAGTTTATCTAGTATTCATAAATACTTAAAACAATTTAGCCATTCCTATTGGTTGAGAGCCTGTCACATGGCCTGCCTTTAAATGGTTGAAGAAGCACCAGCTTGCTGATCATTAACACTTTTTCAGTGTCACATGAAATTCAGACTCCTATAAAATCTGGTCCCTTTTCCCTTGTATCAGTTTAACGTTCACAATCCTCACTTGTTACGGTACCAATGAGTCAGCATTTTGAGAGTCCCAGATTCACATTAAACCGGCTTATTGTGTTCTTTGTGCCTCACATAGTATGCGCCATGTGCATGTCAATCTCCATATAACGGGATTGTTTACAACTACTCAGGAGAGGCACAGACCATTACATGGGTATTTGAATCAAAGCAAAGGAAGTAAAAACAATATCATTCAAAATTTCTTAGTCCTTTAACTCGTAAGTTTCTGTGTTTTTGAATGGGCATGAATATACTCTGGCCAGTGTTAAACGAATAATGCCCCTCTTTCAGTCGGCTCTGGATATTATCGTTGTCCATTCTCCTGATCCGGTGGTCAAGCACATATGAAATATACCAATCGCATGTACTTCTTGTCTTCTGCCTGAGGACACGACCACTTATTGTTCACTAGTTTGAATGAAATTTTTAAGGAATTTGTACGTTCAAATTAAGCTGTACTACATGGATCCCAGAACAAATGTGGACTTTCTATCAGAAGTAGTCTAATGATTAGGACCATCTCTGTTTTGTTTTTTTGTTACTTTGAAGCAGGAGTTTTTCTTGTGCATTGTATAGCCAGGATTTTTCTTAATGTATTTTTACAACACTTGCCATCAGCTTTTTCTTAAAATTATTTCCTCAGAGACACTATATTCATGCTTTTGATTTTTTTCGCATTTATCGCTTCCCAATAAATCAACAAACAGAAAACCCAAAAAGTGTACAGTATTTTAATAGTGTTATGTACGTGTGTGGCTGCTTAACGTCTGACTTGATGCAGCTGAGAATAATGACACATGGTGCAGTCTTGATTTGTATTTGACTGGATTGTTGAAGCTGCTCAGTTAATTACCAAGATGGCATCCGTCATTGAGGTGACACGAGAGATCTTAGCACGAGCGCTGTGCAATGCCAGTTGCGTTTACTTAGTGGGTGGAACAAGTCGACGCCGCATTATAGAGCTGTCGATAGTGGCTTTTAATCAAAATGTGAACAGCGGAATTAACAGTGGCCTTTTACCATTATTTTGGCGGGGTGGGGAGATTTGTAACAGAGACCTTTTAAAAGATGAGGCTAATGTGGGTGCATGCGAATTTAGGAAAGGAAACGAAATACGTGTTGTCTCCTATATCGCTTTTCTCGTAGATTTTAAACACACCCCACCCACTTATGTTACATGTGTAGTGTTGACATTCCTTTCGTGGAGAAGAATGACTTCGTGAAATATTTCAACTGGGAACACAATTTTTACCTAGATTTTTGTAAAATCTTTCCTAGACTGTTCCTCTTCCTTTTACGACGAAATAATAACCCTAACCTTCATATCCCTTCGAGCTTCCTGCGTCGTCTGGACATCTTTTGTTCATAAATCCACTCCAGGTATGTAAGGTTAACGTACAAATTTCCACCTTTGTTGTTTTTGTGGGCGTGGTGGCAGTGACTTATCCACCGAGGGAGGGGGCAGGGGGACTTCCCCCTGACAGAAATTTTTCGAATTTTTCTTAAAAAGAATGGGTGAGTAGAAAAGAAATTATTCACTGGAAACTTTTCTGTATATTTACATAGAATCTTATGTCAATTCTTATTATAACTGTCATGTTTATGTACAGAGGCTCATTTTGTATTAAAATGAACAGATTTTTATTTGTGGATTTACAAAGACATTGTTTTCCGACTAAAACAATTATGTTTTTGGAAGCAACTTAGACGAGGTTGAGGAAGGTTGCTTGCAAGGTTGATGGAAGCTACCTGCGCTTGACATTTCCTTACCCAATGGATGCAGTATTATCACAGTTGCTACCAGACTAATATATAACGACATACGGCTTTTTCGATTTTTCTTTCAATTTATAGTCACAGTTGGCAGGATGGAAGGTTAAAAAACATACTTGTTTTAGCAGTTCCTATTTTTGGTACGCAAGTTGACTTAAAATAAAATTCTTTTTTTCCTCAAAATCATTACCTGTTACTCGCAATAACATGTACATACGAGAAAAATGGCGAAACCAGCTTTATGAAAGTGGTTTGTGCAACAAAGTCAATTTGTAAATTTATATTACTTCATGTTACAGAGGACATTTACAAAGCTCGTTACAGGGTTCTGTTGTAACTCTAAAAAATCACTGTAAAGTCACAGAGTGCGTCTGTTACAAAGATTCTCTGTCATTTACTGACACATTCTACAGAAAAACCATTGTAGCACAACGTAATTTTTAATTCGGTATATATCTAATGTCCAAGCCCCAATTATCACCGTTTATTCTCCTCTGGTGTTCATCATTAGTCTAAGACCGACCAAGCACAATTTATTCCCTTTCATAAGTACCGTTTAGTCAGGGAGCCAAAAGGAATTTCCAAGGATTTTATTCCAGAATTTTACTTCCATTTTCCTGACCACCCGTCCATTATATTCCCTGTGCAAGTAGTCCGAAGAATCTCCTTATATAGACTTGGCGCGCGCGTAAACTGTCTCGTGTCCGGGGATCGCCATTACATATCGAGATCAATACTCGTGACGAGCGCGTTTTGACGCGGAGGGCATTATCAAAATACGGTCATGTTCCGCGTTTTAACTCTGTCTGAGATATAAAAATACTATTCAGTGAACAATAAAAATCAATGAAATACTCAACTGTCCGATGTTTTTGTTTTTTAGTAGGGTACACAGTAGTTCAATCTTTAAGATACCAGCATGACCAGTGCTTCGCGTTTATCGTATTCTGTCTGTTATTTTGTGTGAAGCATTGCAAATGCGTGAAGATATAGCATGCATTTTTGTTTGACCAGTGTGTCCAAGGTTCGTCAAGTTGCTACTTACCACGTCTTATGATGGGTGCACCATAGCATGTCATGTGTTCTACAATTCACCGATCAGATGACAGTTTTTTCCGTAGTTTAATTTACAAAATGATTACTGCTTCGAGCGGTGTTGTTAGTTAAACACTAGTTCCTCGGGTTGATCTGTCTAACATTCTATGTTTTTAACTACGAAACACAAGCTTGTACTGCTAACTACATCATCACGTTTCATAAATCTCTCCCACAGATTCTATTTGGTGTCAGGAATAACTACATATTTCAACAATAATTTCAACTGAAATGTGGTTCTATTTGAAAACGTTTCTTGAACATTTACCAGCAAGTTCTCCAAACTACCAGTTGCAAATGTTTGAAAAAAAAAAACAAAAACACTGTAGGGCTTGTAGCTCTGGAATAAAGATCACACCTGTAAGTATTTACACCCTTTGCACACAATAAAAACGTGCTTCAGTTGCTAGGTGTTAGTACTTGGTTGCAACAGAATAGAGTACTTTTGTTTATGCACAGCACGAGAGCAAAAATAGCGCATGTCATGGTTGTCGGCCAATCAAGCTCCAGAACGTAATTGATGAGGTGTAATTCATCAAACATAAATACGTATTACCGCTAATGGGTCATTAGACATTCCCATGAGAAGGTACACACAAATTTTCCGCCTTTACTGTCCCATAATTCAATATTTCCTTGTCTGATCTGAACCAAACTTTGTATGTTTCCATTCTAGACCCTAATCTATAACTCTCAAAAGTTGGACGGTAA